CCAGGAAGTTTCTGATGTCTTGTATATCTTTAATTATTGCTCTCTCTCTCTCTCTTTTTATTGTATTTTGATACAGGAAGAATGCAATAAAACCAAACAGGAGGCAGGTTCCCAAAATGCCTCTTTATCACTGGCTTCAGACTAGTAAGCATTCTGCTCCTGTGGGTCAGAGAAGAAATCTCAAAATATGCAAAATAATAATAATAATTGTTGTTGTTATTTTATTTATATCCTGCCCATCTGGCTGGGTTTTCCCCGCCCCTCTGGGCAGCTTACAGCATATATAAAAACATAATAAATCTAGCCGTATGAAGTACTGACCAGAGCGAAATATTTAACAAAGCAATCATAAGCAACATTTGCACAGTTTGTGGGAACAAGAATATTTCAAAACACACACCAAATAGTCAGTGTATGCCCTCTAGTGTTACTCTCCGGTTTGACACGATTTACAGGGAATAGTGTTCAGTCCTGAGTTCTCACCAGGTTTATTCCCCTCTCTCCCATCTCCCATGTAGATTTTTCGAAACATGGAGTAATAGGAACACATTTAAAGATAGAAGGGTGGGGGAATACGTTGTGGAGAAAGATTTGAAGATGTGGATAAACCAAGGAAGAATGCTGAGAGCAATAACAATGAGATGGGGTGGGGAACCTCCTGTCTGTGCCAAGGCTGCCCCTCCCAGTCCATTCAAGGCAGGATTACCATTGATGCAACAGGTTCGTGCTTGCAAGGAGGCCCAGAATGTGAACTTTCATTAAGAAACATTAACTAAATCTCTAGTGTTCCTGGAATGAAAGTTAGACACTATGGCTGTATTTTGGGGGTTCTGGGCTGTCTTTGCTGTCTCTTCTAGGTTGAACCCACCTCAGTAAACACAATTGGATGGCAGAACTGGCCACTCTTTTTCCTTCTAAGTTGAGGACAGAACTTCTCTGTGTGTAAAAAGGTAAAGGTAAAGGGACCCCTGACCATTAGGTCCAGTCGTGACCAACTCTGGGGTTGCGGCACTCATCTCGCTTTATTGGCCGAGGGAGCCGGCATACAGCTTCCGGGTCATGTGGCCAGCATGACTAAGTCACTTCTGGCGAACCAGAGCAGTGCACGAAATGCCGTTTACCTTCCCGCTGGTTCGGTACCTATTTATCTACTTGCACAGAGTCTCTCTGTGTGGTGGTGGTTAAATAGGTGTTTGCTCCAAAAGACTTTTGCAAAGTTGGGAGCAGGTTACAGCAAGCCAGCCTTTCTGTTCTGTTGCTGTCAGCCAATGGGGAGGTGGCGGATCACTGCTCTAATCCTGTGTTTGCTCCTCTTGCTAAAGCTGCAATCTCAACCTAATTTACATGGAAGTAAGCGCCCCACCCCCACCCCCACCCCAACTCAGCTGGAGTTAGTGCTAAGTAAGCATGGCAAGGATCCCACTGCAAAGGGCTGACATGCCCAGTTAAGACGTCCCCTTCTGCAAGGTTATTTGCTCATGGAGGCATTTTGAGGATGTCGTTTATGATCTCCTGTAGTCCCACCAGGACTCCACAGGGTCTTTCAGAAACTGAAAGGGGGGTGGGAGTTGTGGCTGCTCTCCTCTCCTTTAGGCTTGTTTGCCCACGAGAAACATTGGGAAGTTGAGAGGAGGAGGGTCATTATTCTAGCTGGCTTTTGCTCCCTTTGCTAAAGTTGCAATCCTAATCCCATTTACCTGGGAGGAAATCCCATTATAGAAGAGTATGGTTGGCATCAGTCTTCTGTACAAAACAATCCATAAACTATGATTACCTCAAAAGGTAAGCCCCAAATAGATTATACTGGGTTTTTCTTTTGTGTTCACATTCTGGATTGTTTACTCAGCAAAAATTTCTGGTGAGTTCAATGGAAATTACCCCCTAGTAAATATATGTGGGATTGCAGCCTGTGTCTCCCAAAATTCTGAAGAACACCCTCAATTAATTTTGTAACCAAGTTATCTGCAGCAGATGGGACTCTTTCACAATCAAATTTCTGGCCAAGCATTTTGCTACACTCCCCACCTGTTCAGCATTCTCATAACTTCTCAAATCAAGTTTACAACTGAGTATAAACCTAATCTGTCCCATGAGGTCACACCTGTTTGCTCATTTTTATTCTACCACCATCTTATTCACCCTCCTGAGTATCGTTGCTGCAATAAAGGCAGCGGCATTTATTTTTTCAATTTTTATTCCACTTTTCTGTGGAGAAGTTCAAGGTCCCACACAAGCTTTTCAACAACTTTGAGGATAAGGTTAGACAAAGACCGTTTTCAAGTCAGGTGGTAGGCAGGGACTCCCGTTTTCTCTCCCCCCTTCTTTCTGTTTTATTCTATCATACACACAGGAACCCCACCCCATTTTACACACACACATGCACCCATCTCTTCCCCACTCCCCCATCAAGCACTCCCTGCCTTTTCTTCCCACTCCTTCCAAATTGTTATTCGTTCTTGTGGTCTGTTTGCAGCCTTCAAAGCATCTGCCCAGGGCTGGCTCAACCATGAGGCAAGGTGAGGAAACCGCCTCAGGCGGCATGGTCCACTGGGGCAGCAGTTCCTGATGTTGATTCCTCCCCCCCCCCATGTAGATCTTTCCTGGCTTGGAGGGGCATGCCATTTTGGGATCTTCATCAGGTACTAAAATGTACTGGGCCTGCCCTGCACCTGCCATTGCTTCCCTTCACCACCTAGCTTGCACTCCCACAAGATGAGTACCCAGCAATGAGAGTGATGGGGAAGCATGCAGGCAGATGCACAAGCTCAGAAGCTCAACCCTGAAGCAAAGCAATGAGAGCACCTGTCCAAAGTCTTCTCCCATCTCGTTGAGAACAGAATACTTTTGGTCTCATCTAGCAGGACTGTTATGGTCTTACAGGCTACACACAGAAGTCCACAGAAGTCTAGAAGCAGAAGAGTGGAGGTTTGCACTTGAGACTAGGGACACTTCAGGTGTTTGCAGACTCTGTATTTTGCAGTTGGGTTTCAGTGGCATACCAGTAAATTCAGATTGCACAATCATAGTGGATTTGGAATGCTAAAGGAAGAAATGTGCAGCCTGCTCTTGGGAGGATAAAAGAATCGTAGTCAGTCCTGCCTGCAAAGTGTAACAGATCAAAGATGCAGGAAGCTTTATCTCATGGAAGGTACTAATGCAACGCAAATACACCTGGCAATTAGAAGACAGATGGACAAGAACAACTGAAGTGTAACCTTTTTCTGCCATATTGTTTTCTGCCATTTGTCAAGAGCTGAGTGAAGCTGTTCCTTTCATGGTGCATATGCTTTACCACCAATCACATCCTTCTATATCTTGTGGATAGTTTCCAGTTTCAGGATGCGAATTATAGCGTGGTTTATCCTAGGAATCCTTGAAGACTTGCTTAAGTGTAAGATTGGAGTCATCTCTGAGGTGGTTTCTGAATACAGAATCATTTATAAGAGGAGGGGCTTGTTGAACCTTGGGCATGACAGATTTAACTACAGTGGTACCTCAGGTTGAGTACTTAATTCGTTCGAGGTCTCTGGAAGCAGCAGTGGGGTGGTGTCACTCTATACTCTGCCCTCCTTGCCACAATCCCTGTGTGCCTGCCTATGTGCTCCGGCGGCGTGGCAGCAGCAGGAGGCCCCATTAGCTAAAGTGGTACCTTGGGTTAAGTACTTAATTCGTTCCGGAGGTCCGTTCTTAACCTGAAACTGTTCTTAACCTGAAGCACCACTTTAGCTAATGGGGCCTCCCGCTGCTGCCACGCCACCGGAGCACGATTTCTGCTCTCATCCTGAAGCAAAGTTCTTAACCCGAGGTACTATTTCTGGGTTAGCGGAGTGTGTAACCTGAAGCGTATGTAACCTGAAGCGTATATAACCCGAGGTACTACTGTATGCTGCACTACGCTTGGTATCGTTTACAAAGGTTTTCTGTTGAGAACTTGGCTCACGTTTACTACGCTATGATTTCAGACATTCTATCTTCATTCCCCAGCATCAGAAAATCCCAGCTCGCAGAACAGCAATAGCATTGTGGGAATTCCAGTGTATGAATGGTAAACACATTAACAGTTCATATTGGATAAACAAATGTAATAGTGAATGAGTTGGCTTTACCTACCTCACAACAGTAGTGCCGGAGCAGGAACTGGAAATAACCCAGGCAGGAATGAATGGTAGTGAACTTTCTTAGATTAAGGGGCATCATGGTAGGAGTAAGTGTTGGGAGTCTAAACAGTATGTAGAATACCACTTGCAAAAGTCACCACTGAAAATGGAGCCACAGATGCTGTAACTCAGTGATGGCCAAACTTGGCCCTCCAGCTGTTTTGGGACTACAATTCTCATCATCCCTGACCACTGGTCCTGTCAGCTAGGGATGATGGGAGTTGTAGTCCCAAAACAGCTGGAGGGCCAAGTTTGGCCATCACTGCCGTAACTAGAACAAGGACCAATAATATGGTAGTAAATAGGTGCTGGAATTGGTGAGAAGAAGCAAAGGGAGCAGATGCAGTAGTGGTGATAATCAGGATACAGAGGAAGATTTTTCTTGTAGACTCCGAATTGCTAAGTTTTCATTGTGGAATCTAAGTGCAGAGCTCACTTAAGCACCTATAACAATTGCAAATATCCCAGTGGTCAGCAACAGGATGTCCTCTAAGCTAAACAGCATGTCTCAGAGGAATCAGATGGCATTTGTGAGCTCATGTACCTTTAATATCAACCCCAATGGACTATCCAAAGCCTGATGAAATGAGTAATTCCAGGGCTGTGAATGTTGTAAAAATACAGGAACAATGTTGGTAGTGGCTTCTGCTAGATAAAACACCCTCAGAAATCTTGCTGTATATGAGTGTGAATAGTTTCTCTGGACCATTCAAGGTGGCTATGGAGACATACTTATCTTAAATCTAAGAGAGCTAAGTTGGTGTGCAAATGACCCAAACAGCAATCACAGAAAAAATTGCAACTGACAGGAAGAGCAAAATACATTACATTCCACAGAAGAAACAAGGTTAAAATGAAGTTTATTAGGTTTTTTTGTGGGGTTTTTTTGTTTTGTTTTAGTTTTTTATATAAAACTGTTTGTGAAACAGCTATTTTATTCCCATGGCAGAGTGACCACTGAAAGATGCACTAACCCCTTCTTAAGGCCTTAACAAGAGAAAAAGTTTTGTTTTTTAAAAAACTCAAATGTTTAAAAATTACACAATGTACAAACAAACTAAAATTAACCATGTGGTGTAGGCTGCTAAATAGACATTCTCCCTTCCTTCCTTTGGGAAACAAAAGACAGAGAAGAGAAGGGTTAATTGGATTTTCCTGGTCAGCTTAACACACACTGATTATGTCAACATTCAGACTTCCTGTTGAATGCCCCTTTCTAGCAGGCAAGCCAACATCCTCCTCCAGACTACCCCCCAAAAAGGCAGCAGCTCCTTGGAATGATTTGGGAGTATTTGTCAATGCCAAGAATGGCGCAAATCCCCCACCTTTTGGTACAGAGTAACGTATAATAAGGTCAGAATATCTGTATATGAAGCTAATAGAAGCCACTCTTATTTCACAAGTCACATGACATAGGAGTCTTCTGGTGCTTCCTTTCTTAATAAAAATAAATAGCGTTTCTTAAAAAGAAAAAAAATCCCCTTTTCACACATACACAAATACAAACATCCCATTCCCTGCAACCATTCATTCCCACCTCCCACCCCTACGGACAATTTCACCAACAGACAGGGGGGAAATTCATATTCTTTAAAACCTGGGTTATCTGTTGTGGAAGTTGGGAGTAAAGAGACAAGTTTGATTAAGCAAGCTCATAACTCCTTTTGAAACAAGTTGAGTTCCATTTGCAAAGGCCTTGTTTGAATTTTACTTATACTTGTTCATAAGCAACTTGGAACATATATGGGTCCTAAAAATTCAATTTAATGCATAAAAAGGGATAGCGCACCTTTCATTTAAAACAAGTCTATCAAGACTAAAAATAGATCTTTATATATATAATCTATATATATATTTTATCCCTCCCTCTTTAATTCCCCCACTTTCTTTTCTTTTCCCTCCCCATCCCATAGTCACTATGGAGATTGTGTCCATGAAAACAGCTGGTTCAGACTCCTTGATCATATTCTGTGATGTTGTCGGTCAAGTGTGATGAAAGAGTTGATGAAGGAAGTGCTGGCATTGGCAGGCACATCAAGAGAGGGGCATGACTGCACAGTGGGAAAGAATCCATCCAATCATGAATGTCCACCGCTTTCTTATCTCAACAGCTTAACCTGTAACAGGAGAAAAGCACTGCCATTAGAAAAATGTGCACGTGCTAAACATTTTTTATTAACTTGTTGGCAAAATTTAAGTCCATAGCCCAAGGAAATGTTGTAGCAGCAATACTTCCAAGAACTTGGTAGAACTGTTTATGAAAGTGTAGCATTTATAATTCTTTTTTCCTTAAACAAAAAACCCCTTTAAGGTCGTGAAAAGCAAGCAATTCTGCAGTGATTATATGAAAGGAAAAATTGTAGCCCATTCCCTTCTGTTTAAGTGTCCATGTCAGAATTCATTACATTTAGTGCTGGGATATATGGCTGTTGGAAGATACAATGTGTGGCTAATTTAATCAGAGGGTGAATCTCTGCTATAGCCTGATAACAGTGCAGCCACTGAAAGGGGCTTCATCTCACCATACTTTGTATGGCCCTGCACAACCACCAGATAGCAACCATTAAAAAACCAACTCAGAATTACTATCCAATGATAGATTATTGGCAACCATGAGTGCACACTAAGGAGATGCCTTAACTACAGTAGCCGGTATTGTCTGGATTTAGAGGTAAGGTCAGCTGAAATTTATCGGTTCTATTTTACTGGAGGCACAAATGTCACTTTAAGCAGCTTGAGCAGTGGCATGTGTATGTATTTAATTTCCTCTGTAGACCATTATTAGTCACACTATGACAAGAAGTTTCAGACTCACTCCATTCTGCTAGTTAAGAGTGTTATACTCAGCCTTAAACATTCTGCAAATGCTTTAGGTGAAGTTCCTTTCAGATTGTCCACAGAATGTGAACTATTATTATATCTTTCCTGCATCTTAAATTAGGAGCCCTTCCAATGAATGTTTGTGCTTAAGTAAGCCCCATAAGATTCAGTGATACATCCAAGTAACTGTGCACACTTAAAAGGGGCTTAGCTAAAGTGTGAGTCCTTTGCCCGAGCAGTGGGGATCTTAAGAGTGATACTGACTTTTCAAATTGACTCTTCCATGCTTGTTGTTGTATGGATATATCAAATATGCATGAGCCCTATTCCCAAAAAAGAGGGGGAGGGGCTGGTTAGCCTTTCTATCTATCAGACCACTTTTCTCTATTATGGGTGGGACCTGGGAAATTCAACTGAATTTTCAGGTTGAATCAGATTCCCTTATATCTCCTTGCTTCTTAATTGTGGGTCTTATTCCTGAGCACACTGGCTACCAACCACCTATCTTTCAGATATTGTAAGCTATTTTGGACCACTGACTTTTACTTCTACAGGAGGCATACATGTATCTTGCTTTTGAACAGCTTAAGCAAAGAAAAAGGACCTTTAGGTAGATTTTTAAAACTAACTTAAAAACTTAACTGTGAAGCGTGAAGGCTGCTCCCTGCAAGGCCCATTCCACCTGGTCTAGGAGGTGGGGCCCAGACTCACCCAGCCCTACTATGTTAAATATGTATTCTGTAGTTGACATCCTTTGTAATGTTTTATTTTGAAACCTTGAAGATAATATTTTAGTTTTCTGTTATGTTGCTTTGACTGTATACTCTATATTTGATTTTCTTCAGATTGTTTTATTTTTGTTTTATTGATTTGTTTTATTGCAAGCTGTTCTTGCATATACTGCCCTGTTACAAGTTAACTGACAGTGGAACTACCCTCCACTGCTTATGGAAGCACATCAAAACTAATTTCACTATTTTGATGAATCAACAGGAGAAAGTAACCAATGTACGTGGGTGGCACTGTGGTCTAAACCACTGAGCCTAGGGCTTGCCGATCGGAAGGTCGGCAGTTCGAATCCCCACAATGAGGTGAGCTCCCGTTGCTCGGTCCCAGCTCCTGCCAACCTAGCAGTTCGAAAGCACATCAAAGTGCAAGTAGATAAATAGGTACCGCTCCGGCGGGAAGGTAAATGGCATTTCTGTGCGCTGCTCTGGTTTTGCCAGAAGCAGCTGGCCATATGACCCGGAAAAACTGTCTGCGGACAAACGTCAGCTCCCTCAGCTAGTAAAGCAAGCGTCACAACCCCAGAGACGTTCGCGACTGGACTTAACTGTCAGGGGTCCTTTACCTTTTAACCCATTCTCTACTGCCAGTCACAGATCTAGGACACCTATAACTCAAAAGGAGCCACCTCCCCCAAATTATTTACGAAGTAGGCATATTTTTCTGATATCAAAAAAGACCCAGGTGAACAGTTAAAGTGTAAATGGACATGAGACAATTAACTGAAAAGAGATATTCCCAAAAATATTAAAAGCAAATGATTGGCATTCATAATCCATTATAGGTTTCTTTAGAAAGAGCTGGGAGACTCCTGCCTCAGGCTTTTGTATACGGGAGGCCTGCCCTTACCTGGAAACAAGCCAGAGCAGTAAACCAGAAACTCAGAGACAGGCAACAAGACACACAACACTTCTCCTTTGTGCTCTGCTCTCTTCTAATTCCTGGAGACAATGCAGATCACTAGATTCACTCACAGTTTATCTTCATGCCTCAGAAATGTTGCAGAACTACTGGAGCAACCAGCTCAGAAAGAAACAGGTGGAGACATTCCATCTCTGTGTGACCAGGATAGCCTTTATGTATTGCTTTCAGGGGCCTTCACTGCACCAGGAAGAAGGCACATAGCCAAACCATTCTAAATGACACAGCATTTTGTGCACTACTCTTCAGGTATTAGGCAGTTCTATACGCAGTTCTCCTGATAGTTCAAATGGGTTGATATTATCGTATTGTTTTGTGCCTTGCCCTGGATTGCCTGCAGTAATAACAAATCTTATAAATAAAAAAAAATCTGCTCTGTTAAAACATTCACTTCATAAAGTATCAACAAAGCCTATTCACAGAGCAAGCACAAGGATTTCAAGCAATGCTTAAAAACAAAGGAAAAAACAAACAATGCTGTGTGCAAATAATTTCTAAATGGTGAGAAAGAAGTGGCACGGGTCAAAGTGACACAATTCCAACTTATACATGTACCGTCTTGCATGTAAGCAAAATAAGGTGGGCAGAATTTGTTCAAACTCACAAAATGTTCGCGAATAGGTAAGGGAGAAAGAAAGACCAATAAAGACCAATAAGAGACAGGGACTTCAGCAAACCAGCTAACTCATCAATAGTTTATAAAGTGTGCATTCCCATTCTGTAATGATAAAGATACTAATGATGGTATAGTTCCTGTACACTGAAGATATCTCTGTTATTCCGTGAATAATTCCTGTGAAAGCCATCCTAACTGAACCACCTATTAAGGGAAATCTCAATTCATAAAGCTAAATCTGTTCATATAGGATTGTCTATTGAATCCACTTACAGCTAAATAAATGTTCACGCCCCAATTCAAACATGACAAGACACAATGAAATAGTAATCAGAGAATGAATGTTCAATGCTAATTTTCAACAAGCTCCCTGTGGTGTAAATTGCTTTTTAAAACTCTATGAGGAAAACATAGATACCTCTGCCCTATTTTTAGATTACCATTTTTGTGTGTCTTTTGGAAGAACTCATTGAATGTTAGCATCTTGGTTTCACTGTCTACAAAATGTGGACAACAGGCCAGCATTATCTCCACACCCACATCCACAAGAACTAAAAACATACCAAGATATGCAAATATAACAATATCGTGGTAGGAGTGATTTCAATATGAGGATACCGGTAAAAAAAACTATCTTGAGATGAAAAACCCATTCCATGTGGATGAGCCTTGCAACTCAGCACTCAAGCTGGTTGTCTGTGGGGAATAACAATGGCCTCCAGGGGGAGAGGCGCATTCTCACTGCCATGGGGGCAGAGCTGAGCAGAGCTGGACTGTTATAGTAACTGCGTATGTATATGCATACATACACCCGCGTTCTAGCTTTAAAGAGCGACTGGCTTACTGGCTTCATTATGACAAACGAAGCAGCATTATAGAGGCCTTGTCCAGGGCTTGGACAGGTACAGTATTTGCAATACCCTCACAGCATGAAGAGGTGGGGGAGAGTAGATAGTGGTAACAACACGGCAGAGGGGGAAAGAAACAGAGTAACACGGTTGAAAGAAGCAGGGAAGCCAGGCAGATGCACTCTCCCCCCCCCCCCCCAGACACACACACAGTCAAATGTAAGTCTGTTCCAGGCTTCCTGTGGATTTCTCAGCCAAAAGGATAGAAGGATCTGCCCTGGAACATCATCCCAGTGTATATCTGGCATGGACTGGGAGGGCAAAGAAAAACCATCATTAGACTATCTGAGTCTGTGTCCCTCAGGATGTTCTGATTGCTTCTGCTGAGCTCAGAAAGACAGCTCTCTCTCTCTTGGCTTTTTCCAGAACACTGAAAGTATGTTATGATTATGATGCTATGCAGAGTTAATCACTGCCTTTTCCTCTAGGCACTTGTACCAGGCTGTCAGGCAGGCAACTGATCTTGACTTACTGGAGCTCAGAAAATGGGAATCTAAGTGAAATATGAGAGTTACCCATCAAATGATGATATATAAAACACCCAAGCTTCTGTGTTTACATAAATAGACAAACAGGTGATACATGGGAAGTCCATTAGGATACAGCAGAAAAGGGCTTCTCCCCAGTTCTGCCCTTCATTGGTGAAGTGGCAAGCTTAGTATGAAAATACAAGTAAATAGGAGTCAAAGTTAAAATCTTTGCATAGCAATATCACCACCTGTTTCTCCCTCGGGCTGGAGAGAAAGTGGCATCCTTCCCTCAACTCACCTGTGCTTGCTTTTATTTTCATTCCCACGAACACACTTCCCCCCTCACCCCCGCTCCGACTGCTCTGTGCTGAGGCTGCCTTTCACCATCTTGTTCTGCAAGGAAGGAAGAGAGCAAGGGAGGAGGGGCTAATGTCCAGTATGCCAAGAAGAAGATGAGGGGGAAAGAGAAGATAAAAAGGAGAGAGGCAGATGAGAAGGAAGATGGAACATGTGGAGAATGAAAGAGAGAAAGGAGCATCAGTACGAGAACCAAACAGATCTTTCAGACAGGATTTCTGCACCACAGCATTTGGAACTTTTGGGAGGAAAGAAATACCGTATTTTTCCCTCCATAGGGCGCACCTGACCATAGGGCGCACCTAGTTTTTAGAGGAGGAAAATACGGAAGAAAATATTCTGAATCAAAAGTTGTACTAAACTATTTAAAGCAGCAAAGTGGGCGGCTCCTGTCCGCTTTGCTGCTTTAAATTGAGCCTCAGAGGAGGGTAGGAAGGGGAACCATGGCTTATCTAAGTCCAGTTAATAATGCTGAGCCTGACTTATGGCCATCGAGATTAGCCTGGCCGTCTCAGTGGAAATCTGGGGAGGCTGGGGTGGACTTTCAGTGGTCAAAGTGTGGTTGTGTCTTCCTGCCCGGCATCTATTTCCTGCCCTCTTTCCCCCTGCACCCCCGCACCCTGCTTCCAGGGAAGGAAGCGGAGCCATGGATCCTCTGCTCGCAACTGCAGTGGATTCCCTCCACTTTGAAGCAGGAAAGTGGGAGAGGAGCTGCTTACATGAGTGTAAGCTGCTCCCCTCCCACTTTGCTGCTTCATAGGGAGCCCGAGAGGAGGGAATCCACTGCAGCCGCAAGCAGTGGAGGATCCATGGTCCCCTTCCTTCCCTCCTCCGTAGTTGCTTTGAAGAAGGAAAGTGGGAGAGGAGCTGCTTACACGAGTGTAAGCTGCTCCCCTCCCACATTGCCGCTTCAAAGGGAGCCTGGGAGGAGGGAATCTGCTGCAGCTTCCCCCACTTCCCGCAGAAGCCGCGCGCTCTTTAAAGGGGCTGCGCAGCTTCTCCTGGCTTTTCTGGGAGGTGGGGGGATTCCCCCACCTCGTAGAAAAGCCTGCAGGAGCCGCACAGCCTTTAAAGAGGGCGCCGCTCTTGGGGGCTTTTCCCCCAGGAGGGAGAAGGGACTGATGCGGCCAGTCAGTCCCTTCTCCCTCCTGGAGAAAAGCCCGCAAGAGCGCACGAAGCTTGTGTGCGGCTCTTGAGGGCTTTTCCCGCCTGCCTCCCCCCTGCATTCGCTCCATAGGACGCACACACATTTTCCCTTGCTTTTTAGGAGAGAAAAAGTGCGTCCTATGGTGCGAAAAATACGGTAAGCAGTTTAGCAAGAAAGTTGAGCTGTGCTCCATAATCACAAAGCTTTCCAGCTGAGCAACAAGAAGGTTTTTACAGCTTCTTCCTTAAGTGTTCTGAAATGACATTTTGTGAAAGATTTTTGCTCCCTGATGTCAGATGTTTTTAACCACTGATCAGAAATGTCAAACTTAAGCTTTTTTTTACCTTGTGGATGTTGAAATAGATTATATCTGTTTTTCATTATCTTAACTAAAAGAATCAACTTACAACAGAAAAGAGGAGTTAATACTACAAAACAAGTAACATATCTAGAAGTACTCTTCTTTCCAAATTAAAAGCGTTACTTCTTGCTATATCTCAATTAATTCTAAAACAACCACTTTTTAATACATGGGTCACTTCTTAGAGAGCGGAAGTCTTTGTCTTCTATTGAAACACAACACAGTTTCTAAACAATGTTGTACATATTCCAGAATCGCAGGAAAATAGCAAAAATAGATATACTGTGTTCAGTACATTGAGAGTCACATACTTAATTTTATTTTTAGTAAAACATCTCCTAGGCTTTATGGTTATGCAGATCAACTTGAACAGTGTGTGCACCCACAATGCCTGGTGGATTCTCCAATGTTAGAAAGAGTCTACAGGAGATTGGGGGATGAAGTTTCAGGACCCTGAATAATTGGGTTCGAGCCCCATACTCGGCAAATGATTCCTGCACTGCAGAGGGTTGGACTAGATGACCCTTGTGGTCCCTTCCAACTCTACAATTTGCCCAGTACTACAGGATGCAGAATTTAGTTTCTCGTGGCACATCTTTGCTTTTTAAAAGTACAGAGCATACATAAACGTATCTGAAAAATTTAGAAATGAGGAAATAATATTTATTCATTCCAAAAAGGTTCCTGGACCCATTTATCAGTACCATACAGACAAGGCAAACATGGTACACAGAAAGTTCAATGCAATTCCACAGCATATGCCCAATTTCTGATACACAAAAGAACATTTGGATCAGAGGAGTGACTGTCAGTGACATATTTATCAAGGGAAGAGCCATATCCTGTTGGTTGGTTGTTTGTTTGTTTGGTATTGCTATTTTTTGGTGTTGTGATACTGTATTGTTCTTAACCTGCATTGTGGTTCTTACCAGTTTTATAAGCTGCTCATGGATTCATGAATCAAAAGGCAGAGTATAAATATTAGAACAAATATATGCAACAACAACAAAAGGCTTTAATGACTAGAATCAACAATTTGGTGGCTGAATGCTCATTTCTCACATAAATTAGCAATGATGCCTCTGTTTGTTTATGTTGGTATTCTCTCCTGAACTCTGGTAATTTTTGCTCCTTAAAGACTAATCTTGTTCTATACAATTTGGTACATTTAGTGAGCAAAAACATGGGGTTTTTTTTTGCAAGCGGTCAACATTATCCAATATAACCTAAATAACTGTGAAGACATAATATGATGTGCAGTTTTTATTCAGTTATCTGAGGTTTGGCTGTTTCCAGAAGTCTTAATCCAACATGACCTGTGAACTTGAAAATATCTGTATTTCTAATATAACTATTTAACAAAGCAGCTACTTTGGCAAATTAAGTTTACGCTCAAAAAATTTTACAGCTTCCTTTCACAGAGATAGATAGCTGATCTTCAGATAGCTCCACATTCCTTGTTCTGTACTGTTTTTGAATAGAGAAACAAGGGGGGGTATCCCAAATACACCTTTACACATCATAAAGCATCATTCAGCAAGCAGAGGCTCAACCATGTCTGCATGTTATAAATTATCATCCAACTTTATATTGCTTAGCTATATACAGAAAAGTACATTATGGTTATTTTACAAATTGGTGCTTTAACAATATAACCAGAGGTTGAACAAGTAGACAAGAATTAGCTGGCCAATTGTGTCCAGCACAGCAAATAATGCCAACCCATCTCCAACAACTCAATTGATGAAAGGAAGTTTCCAATCAGCTTCCCATCCATTTCGAAACTTCTTTTTCTCAGACTATTTGCAGACAACAACTTTTAACAGAACATTTACTGAATAGCTACAGCCAAAGAAAAAAAATCAGTACAAAAGCTATGCAATGAAGCTATCTTTCATAGAATGAACAGAATCCAGATTAAAATAAACTAATTCCACAGAATAAAGAAAATATGAAGACTCATATTTTCTGACCATGCCATCCCACAGGAAATGGAAACACACACACACACACACACTCTATATAGAAAGAGATGTCAAAGAGTATATTTAGAAAGCATTGCCCAGAAACAAAATGTCTAAAAATAAACTGTGATGAGACCTATGTAGCAAATGGCAGCAAATTGATAACAACTTTATTACCTTGTGCTTGGGGCACCTCACTGAGAAATTCTCTTCGTTTAGTAAACAATCTAAAAGAGAAGAAAACAAAAGGTAAAAAATATTCTGAAAATAGCCACCAACTCCAAACCCAGCATGAAGTGATTTTAAACCACACTGCTAACAAAAGTGTTATGTTTGCTTCTTTATCTCCAATTATAGATCATTTTTTCGTAATATGAAAAAGGTGCTCACAATGTAGTAACCACTAATGTCTGAAGGAGAGATGGGTGCCTGCAAGCACACTGTAATCATGTACTCAAAAGTCTTAGCAAACTCACATTCCTAGGAATACAGTGGAACCTCGGGTTGCGAACGTGATCCGTGCAGGAGGCACGTTCGCAACCCGCAGCGCTGCGTCTGCGCGGGTTGCGATTCGGCGCTTCTGTGCAAAGCGTGATTTAGCGCTTCTGAGCATGCGCAAGCAACGAAACCCGGAAGTAACCCATTCCAGTACTTTCAGGTTCAGCGTGGTGCACAACCCGAAAATGTGTAACCTGAAGCGTCTGTAACCCGAGGTGCCACTGTATGCCTACTTATCTCCCCTTGTAACATGAAGTTGTTCAGGTAAAGAACATGCTACAAACACTTTTTTCAAAACTCTTAAGTCAATACAGAGGCTCTTTAACAGATTGATTCCATGCTCACCAATAAATTTTGATTAAAAAACTACTTGTTTATGGGCATTCTTCCTCGGGGTATACTTTCAGTTCAAGCTTCAGACATGTGATCCTGCTGCACCCTACATTCTTTTAACTATCTTTTTTTAGGGGGAGGGTGTCAAATTTCAGCTGCTTCATCAAGATAGTATGTTTTCAGAAAACCATTAATGGATCCAGTCCCCACAATTCCTTACAACCTCCATGTGACTCCCATGGTGGTAAATAAAAGCATGCTAATTTGAAATAATCTTAAATATGTGCTATAACCATATCCTCCTCCTGCTACAATCTGCTGGAAATGTTATAACAGTCAGCATGAGACTAACAAGGAAAAAACTGTTCTCTCTCTGATTTTGGCTCAGTTTCCTTTGCTGCAAGGGGTATGTCAGTGTTCCACATTGAAAGCTCTGAGCCGCATAAAAAGAAGCTTAAAGAAGGCTAAAACAATTCTGTGTAGTTCTCTAAGACAAGCATTTATCCCACCTGCAATTCAAAGCATGTGGGCCACATTCATACATAACATGAAAACACTGTTTATTGCAGCCTTCCAACTTGGTGCCCTCCAGATGTTTTAGACTCCCAATTCCCAATTCAGTTCCAAACAGCAGGGAAGGCTGGCTTACGATGGCATGTACAAGCTGGTAAAATCCCAAGCAAGCCCTGGTCTCATGTTCCCCCCACTCCTCTTCCTACACGGCATGAAGACATTTGCTTTTGCTTTCAATGAATATTGGGCTGGTGGTATTCTCAGGAACAGGGACTGCGGTTTATAATATACTCTAGTGCAGAGCTTTCCAAAGTTTTCAAGTTGGTGACACACTTTTTGGAAATGCATCATTCTGCAACACAGTAATTCAATTTAACCAAAGGTTAAACTAACCAATTCCAGCCCCAGGAAGAGTGCAGGGAGCGTTTGTGCGACACACCTACACACTGCAGCCGACAAACTAACGTGTCGTGACATACAGTTTGGAAAGCTCTGCTTGTCAGTTTCAAAAAATGCCAACTGAAAACATGGGTTATGAAGTTGGCTTGTTACTGTATATTCCAGGGTAATGTTGTTTACGCTTCAGTCTGAAGAGAATTCTGCTGCTCTTCCTCATAGAGAGTTGGTTCCAAAAGTTATTTTTGTTGAGGGTGGGGGCAACCTAGCAGGTGAAAACAATGGTGAGGGGAGGTGCTGCTGCTTCTCTATCTCACAGGGCATATAAAATGGATGACCACTGTTAAAAAGTGGGAGGCTAGGCCCAGCTTGGCTGGTGAGAGCAGAAGCATGTGGAACTGGCAGAACCTCACTCTCGGCTGCTGCTTCCCTTCCTACAGGGCAGGTGGACCTCAATATTCCAAACTCCATTAATATTCTAAACTCCAGACAACAAAGGAAAACCAAATAAATAAATGTGTGTTGTCAAGAAGCAAAGATCCCACACATTTTCTTCATACTTAGTTGGTAGTGGCTAATTTTGACTCATTGTGACAGGAACCAAGCAAGTTTTAAAAACAAAAACAAAACAACCTTCAGAGGGGTGGAGAAGGAAAACAGGAAGGAGAGGGGCTTGGTAAATTTTCCAGCAGTTAGTGGTGGGAGGGGTACAATTCTTACTTCCTTGCACAGAATTAATTCAGCTGCAAAATTTTGTTCTGTTTTCTTAAAGAACCAAGTACAGCATCTATACTGCAGGAAGACATACAAGTCTCAGTCTCATTCACAATGTTTCATCTCAGTTTTTAATCATCTAGATCCACAGCATCCTATGAAATGTACATACTGTACTTTTGACCATACTAACTAGCAACTACTAATATCTGTACTCTTCTTTAATTTTCCCACTCTTATGTCAGAGGCAGTCGACAGTAGTAAGACTATTCCTGTGTATGTTACGGAAAGTTAAGAGAGGCCAAAAATAGAAGGCTGACTCAGCAGAATTCAATGTCTTTCTTAGAAGGTAGTTTTATTTAGTCATGTCAGGATTATAAGCAGAAGCAACTCCATGTTGTTGAAATACCAGTATGGGAAGCAGGCACCAGTCTCATATGCTCCACAAAATCCAAAGAAAAAGCTCCAACACATGCACATCCAAAAGTATCTAGCATAAGAGCCGACTCACATGAGAGGCACACTATACAAGGATATGCTAACACAAAAGATTCTTCAAGTAGGATTTTTATATGCCAGTAAAAAGAATGTAACAACACACAAGCATGTTGTTACAGCAAATGCTCTGAAGTGCTTTGCAGCTCAACAATAGCTATCCTCTCTGGTATCAACTCCATTCACTGGTCTGCCATTTTAGTCTCTTGACAATCTCTGGCACTCCAAATGTCTTATGATTACATCTAATTATACTAATAGAGGAAGCAGGTACTATAATTCAATTCACTCCTTCAAATGAGGAAAGGCAGAAACCACACAAATCATGATCCTTTCTGTTCTACTTTTAGCATACTTTGGCAGAAGTCCTAATTATTTTCCAAGAGGAAACAGGTTTTAAACTCTGCACTAGTAAATATTTGTCTTGTGGTTGACACTTGTAAACATAAAATCTGGTATTTGAAGCAAATTCTTTTTCCATAATGTGTTGTGATTTATTATATAATGGAATATAATTCAGTTCTCACAGGTTACTTTTAAGTGGTTAGTGATTTTCACGATGCCTCTCTTATAAAGTCTTCTAGATCAAACCAGTGAACAGTCATTCCAAAATCATTTCCTTGTTCTTACCTGCATCAATGGCACACGGATAATGATATCGGAAAGAGCAGCCTTTGTTGTAGCAGCCTAGGGTGGCTCCTGGCTCCTGGCAATGAGAACATTTCTGAAAGAAATGGAAAGATAGAACACTAACTCGTATACAAATCTTGTGCCACTGTTTTACAGACACCCAAACACACAGCTACAAAAGGCTTCATTTGCTTAATTCTTTTGTCTAGGATTATTTAATAAAATTGACACCACACTTTTCCAACTACTGATGTAAAATGAACAAGGGCAATATCAGAAACTGTGTCAACCTTACTCAGTTGTCCACAGCTCACAGCTTCTCCTATTCCCAAGCCCTATAGCCTAACGCCCTCGATGCCTAAAAGTTTTCAACTGGGTATTATTTAATAATAAGTATTTGTAAATACTGCAAACACACGGATGATTATTCATTCTGACACACTATCTTCTCACAATACTGTTTGTGTGCTTGTTTACCTAGCACTTTATTTGTCTCATCCAGGGGCACCAACTTGCATAAAATATTGGAGGGTGGGTAGGTAAGGCCCCGCCCCGATCCTATGCACCTTAGACTTTGCAGCCTCTCTAATCACAAGACACGGCACACACAGTCCATTTACCTCCTTTGGCATCAGTCCCTGCCCCCAAGCCTGGCAACAGAGTGGCGGTAGGCAGGAGAGGGAGTGTAGCTGGGGAGCGTGTGAGCCAGTGCCAGGCAGCAGCTGTGTTCCTCTGAGGCACTTTCACAATGAAGGTTCAGTGCCCATTAACTTGCCCCCTCAAATGTTTTATTGGGGGAGCTAGAGTGACCTGGGCTCCTAGTATTTGGTGTCCTTGTCCTCATCCCTTGCTCACATTATTGTAAGAACTACATCTCTACGTCCATTAGCGGGTTTCCGGTTCCGATCTGCCTTAATGGAGGCAGCCCCCACAACATTGCAGGGATTGAAGGCGGGGAAAAACAAGAGTGGTAGAGGGTAAATCATTCTTGGAAATTCCTCCCAGGAAAGGGAGGAACGGGATTAACTCGCAGTCCGTCTCAGTACCTGGCTCTCGCTCCAGCATGGAAAGCAGAGGGCAGGGAGGCACTGAGTGTAAAAGCAATTCGTCTGGTGAAAACCCTCCCACGTCCCCATTAAGAAGCAGAGGTTCTTCTGCTAACTGGATTTTTAATTGGCTTTAAAGTCAGGCACGCTCTGAGAGAAGATGTTGTCATCAGAACTGCGGAATTACCCAGTTGCATTGATCTGAGATTTGGAACTGAGAAAGAGATTTTATTCGGTGTGGGCGGTAGATAGCGGAGAGGGAAGCCTCCAGTTTCCTGTTTACTTTGAGTTTCCTTATTAATGATTCGGCAACCCTCTCCAGACATAAAATTTTAAAGATACAAAATGAAGTTGGATTGCAGTATGAAATAAAACTAGTGATTAAAAGAACAGTTAGCTGTGTGTGGTTTAAAGAGATGGGGACAGCTCTAATACTGGAATTAATTATCTTGGAAAATTAGAGTGGATACCATCTCTACCCCCCCCCCTTAAAAACAACAGATAAGAGATACAACTTAAGTGGACTTTGGCCAAAATGCAGTTGTAAAGATGAAAGGAATTTGGAGCCATGGAGACTCTGATGGTCATTAATTGAAATGAAAGTACTCCAAGATCCCCTGCAGCGGAAGCTGGATCCCTCTTTCTTGGGCTGTGAAAATTTCTAGATGGTGATTGAGTAGTGAGAAAGAGTGGACTGTTGGATTATGTTATTGTCCAGAAACACCAAGCAAGATGAAAGCACGATGGGAGGGAACTAATGAGATATTTTGAGAATTCCCCAGGAATAGCCCCACCCCAGCTATGCTGAGAGATCACAGCAATTGGAGGAATTTCAAGAATGGGACAGCAGATAAAGGCTAAGGACTTTATAATTGGACATATTCAGGCTGACACATGCAGAGAAAAGGAAAATAATAAGAGCACCTCATTTGAAATCCTATGGAAAGTTAGATAAGGTATTAACATGAATAGTAATCTCTAAAAATGCAGCTGTTATCTTAAGGATTAATATTCCAACTGAAATGTAATTAGATGTTAATAAAAATATGAACTGCAGCAATACAAGAACTGGATAAAAAACACTGATCAAGGAGCGTGAGAAACCACTTTGATTAAATTGGATAAATTTGGAAATAATTGGAATTATCTTGATATTAATTGAAATCTGTATAACTGGCAAAACTGTGGTAATATTAGGTAAATATTGGAAAATTAATAAAAATTAATTATAAAAAAGTCGATTAGAACAGGAGTGGGAAAGATTTTTTAGCCTGAAGGCCCTCTACTCTCAATACACAGTTATTTAAACTTTGCCTCTACTTCTCCCCCCCCCCCAAACCAATTTCTGGTTTTGAAAAAAGATCCTGTTCATATGAATAGGAGCTTTTTTCTGAGCCTGTTTACCACAGAGGGTGTTTACAATTTTCAGGGGTGCTGACACTTGGGGAAGGCTAACCCTTCTCTCCCCAGCTGTCACTTCCAAAAATCACTCCCCCAGTGCAGCAATTAGCCTCAGGAATAAAAGTCCCATTTGCGTGATTACTAGGATTACCCTCAACCACCTACACAAATGTACTTTCTACTGAACTATAGCTCCACCAACTGTGCCCGGCAGAACTCATCTGCTACTGCTGCCAGCTTCCCTGCTGTCAAACAAGTCTCCAATCTGACAGATGCTGCTGCTTTCCAGTCTACGAGCACCATAATAGCTCCAGCTTCTCCACCTCCTGGGACCTGAAGCCATCTGTTTCTTTCAAGAATGAATAGGGCACAAGGCTCCACAATCTTGGCAAAAAGAAAAGGAACATTTCCAGAAATGAAGCGACCTAACCCTTGCCTTATATCAGAGATTTTGACATTTAATTTCCAAGCACCACAACTTGAGAGTGACAACTATCTTCGACTTCCTCCCACCTGGTAGCTTGTGCATTGCACTAACCTCTTTCATCAATCCCAGCAACCGGGATAGACTTTCTTTTTTAAGTATTTGCTTTCGTAACAATAATGAAACAGTATGTAACAACATAAACAAATAACTAATGTATAGTAAAATGCACTGGTTGTATCTATGTTGTTCTCTAAAACACTTGTTCTTCCCTTATGACTGGAATGATCTCTTTTTTTGTTTACAGTCATCCACAGTGTGTATGGCCAGTAGTTGCCAGTTACCTTTTACCCAGTATTGGTCTCTACAGCTACAGCAGGCGCTGTAACCTTCCAACAGTTTGACTTCACCCCAAAAAGCACTCCTGAGACAGGCAGATCCCGACAACAACATGCAGTATTAGAAACTCAGATATTTAAGCGAATCGCCAAATGGCACTTTTAACCTAGGTTACAGTCGCCGGAATGTCTATGAGTCTTTTTTTGTGGTGGAATTCATTATCATTATCGTTGTCATCATCATCATTATTCATTTCTGTGCCGCTTTATGTTTTAAAGAAAAAAAATCTCAAAGTTGTTTACAACACAAAACATGAAATAAAACAACCCAGAATAAAACAAATTCAAGTTTCAAGGAAAGTATTTCAGATCCTTCTCTAAGTAACATTTTGCTTTCCCCATATTTATTTATCTGCTTAATTTGTATAGTTCGCCTCTGCATATGAAAACAGGTACATGACTGTCTGCAGTCTCTCCAGCAGTGCAATGATTTTTATTTTAAATCTTCTTTTGAAATTAAATGTGAGGAATTTTTTATTTTTTAATTTTTTGGAAACTACTAGACTGGGGGTCAGGAACCTTCCAGAAATTGTTGGTCTCAAACGCCTATTAATCCCAACCAGCATGGCCAATAGTCTAGGGGCCAAAGGTTTTGATCCCTATGCAACAACTGTAGCAAACACTGTAGCCTGCCAGCCCTATTCAAAGTTTTGCAAAGCAAGCAACATTGTGCCACAATCAGAATTTATGACAGCAACAGGAGTGCTACAGTTTCATGGCTCTAAAATGTTCTGCCCTAAGTGAGCCATAATCAAACAGCATTATGTGGTGCAAATTGAGAATCTCACAAGGCTAACTATGAACAGCAAGCACAACAGGTACCAACTTTCAATACATCCTGACAAGTACCTTGAGGAAAGTTCTTCCTCTTCAAACTACCTACAACTGATCCAAAAACCAAAATGTGGGGTAAGGGATCACAAAGGGTCAATAGCAGATACCTAGACACCATCATATTAGGGAGCAGCGACAGAAACAAAAAATTAGGCAGATATCCATTTATTCATTCAATGTTTATCCCATCCTTCCTCCTGAAGGAACCCAGGACACTGTTATCTAAACAAGTTAAATATATACTGTATGCATGGGTTATATTTTATTTATCCATTGCTCTTTGCACAGAGATAAGTATCATAAAGCAACACAGCAAAAAAACAACATTAATACTGTGTTTATAAAAGGGCAAATCTTAACCTTCCCCTAAAGATGAGCACTAAAAAGTAAAACAACCCATAACTCACTAACCTCCCAAGTAAAAATCAAAGGTCTGAGTAAATAGATCTAGCTTGGCACCAACAAGCAAGCAATGATGGTGTCAGGCATGCTTCCCTGGGAAGAGCATTCTACAAATGAGAAGCCACCACTGAGATGGCCTGTTCTCATGCTGCCACCCTCCACACATCCCTCTAGAGAAAGCACACAGATCCAGGTCTGATTAGGTTCATATAGGAATAGGTATGGAGGTCCTAAGATACAAAATGCATTACAGATCAAACCCAGCATTTTAAATTGAGCCCATAAGTCTAAAAGAATTGACAGGCTAAAAATGTAATTCTCCCTTCTACACGATACCTGTCCTTTTGTTATACTAAGCAGTAAATTATGCGGTTTTTTTAAAAAAAAAATACAGCGTATGTAGCAAAATTTTAAAAAATATGCAAACAGGATGTACATAAACTATAAAGACCACAGAACCACTTCACACTAAATAAAAATATTGCCTTAGCATGCTAAGCACTGGTTACTAAGGGGTACTTCTAAATACTAATGTGGATAAAGAAAGAAAAACACTATGACATCACAATTAGCTGTCATTCTAATGTGATACATCTAGAGATGTGAAACAGACCAAAGGGCATACAAGATGACAGGAAGAGGTCAGCAGAAGCAGTGGTAGGCAAACTACACACTGAGGAGACTGTTGCTTGCCCAGGCAACAGACTATCTGAACCATTTTTCACTGTGTACCTAGCTTCATGACCCCACAATACAGCAAGAATCAGAAACACTGAAGTGGAATGTAACAGCTTATCTAAGCTCAGCTTCATGGGTAAAGAAGGGTTTGATGATCCCAAACGAGTCTAATGTGTTGTTACATTGTTTATGTCTCTAACACTACGCCGAACTACAAGTCTACTAAAAATGACTTAGAGAAAGATTCCTCTAATAACAATTTTTCAACATTACACAATACCACTGAGAAAGTACAGAAACAGAGAGATGCATTTCCACGAAGGACCTTTGTAATATTTGAGTTGTGATGCTCAACACAATAAGGGGCACCAAAATTAATGATGAGCCAAGCCCTCACTGGTCATACTGCACGCAATAACTTGCTGCTCAGTATGCGATCTGACACTACTGGAAATAATAGCATCTGAGTTTATATGAGTGCTCTATCTGTAGTGGCTTATTCACATATATAAATCATCACCTGATGGAGTAGTGTAGTCAACAAGTGTGAACAGGCTTTCAAAGATTTTTATTTAGAGGTAATAGGCAATTTTTCTGAGTATGCTAAGGAGCCTCCACAGTTTCAAATCTCTTCTTGCATAGGCTCAATCCTTCATCCTATGCTTCAACCAAATGTTTCCTAGGAAACTTTTAAAAATCTACTCAGCTTGTAGGGTATCTTTCAAAGTAATGGTTTCTGAGTGGAAGTGCCTATTATTCCCAGAAACAATATTTCAATAACAACTGAGCTAGATGTGAACTTTCACCTGCATACCCCAGGCAATTAACAATTGAGATTTATTACAAAAAAAAAAACACCACACCAATACAATTGAAGTTCCTTAATCAAAGCAGAGGAGCAAAATAGATACCCTAGGGAACCAACAGTAGAGTTCTTGGAGGGTGTGTCTGAGCCCTTTTTAAACTGTGAGGAAAGAGGCTGGTAATCTGGAATGTGTTTCTTATTGATTCACATTTTGGGACTCATTACAGCAAACGTCAGATTGCCTTTCCCATTACCACCTGGTGAAAACATGGCTATTACAGGAAGCTTTTGATAGTGGGTACTGTAATTTGTAACTCCTTGCTATGCTTTTGATTACTGGTATTGCTGTTATTACTGTCTGTTGGTTTAGGTTTGGGTTTATTGCTAATTGTTATTGTTGTTTTACTGTGCTTCTGGATTGCTTTTAATTACTTGGATTGTTACCTGTCTTTGATTTTATTTTAGGAAAGAAAAGTGGGATAGAAGTTTTACAAATAAATACAGTTGACTTGCAACCTACATGTGTTTAACATGTGCAGTTTCAACCTTATGCTGTTGAAGACTGGCCAGTTGAAATTGCACAAATTAAATGCACAGAAGACACAGAGTGCTTACTGGGCTCTGGGAGGCTCTCGCAAGATCAGACAACCTCAAAAGAGCCTGCTAGAGCCCAGCAAGTCAGGCAGATAACAAGATCACTTGTTGTGCACCGGTAAATGCTGCACTATGTTTTTACGGGCCACTTTCTGGTTTTTAAGGGTTGTTTTGACTATATGTGACTTCAACTTTACACAATATCCCTGGAACAAAACCCGTATGTAAGATGCGAGTCAACTGTAATACAATACCTATAATATTACACCTACCCCCTATCTACCCATGTTTAATTTTACAAACTGTCCTACATCTAAAGTGACAGCAGATGGCAGCAACCTTCTTGAAATGCAAAACACTGAATTAAGCCAAGGAGTTTCCCTTCTTTGGTTTAGGAATCTCCTTACAGCATACAGTATTACAGCCACGGATTCTACAGAGAAAAGAAACTTCACACTGTGATCAGACTTAGCCTTTCTGCTCTAAAAGTACTGAAAGTGCTTTGGCAAGAACTCCATAAAGGGGGGCAAAAGTAAGAGAATAGATAACTGGTTAACAGGCCTCTTCCTTATAATACATTTCAGTAGCAAAATATGCAAGTCAGCTAGAGTGCTTCATATGCTATATATTTAACAGGTATGCATTACAGAACACAATGCATAACTGTAATTTGAAGCACATACATACATACATCTATTGACTTGTCCACCACAATTAACTCCTGCTGATAAAATGCTATTTTCCCCAAGCTGAAACACTACTGCATTAAATGTCATCTGGAAAGGGCCATGAAAGCAGAATTTATTTCAAAAAAGAGGGGGTGCTGAGTTCATTCACAAGATACAGATATCATGAAGAGGTTCTATATGGCAGAATTATAGACTGATATGAACATAACATTCCTGAAGTGATAAGGAAACAGAGTTGTCCAGGCAATTATTTCTGGACACTGAAGTGATAAGGAAACAGAGTTGTCCAGGACAATTATTTCTACACTCTGGACATTTAGAGTGTAACATTTGGGATTTGGAATATTAAAAGTTAATCAAGGATTGGGAGCAGGACAAAGAACAACAGGTATCCCAGATATCCCAGACCTACAGTCTATTGCTCTTATTCCTTCCATCAACAGAGAAATTACTTGAAGGAAGTATTCCATCTTTCACTCGCTATCCCCCAAATACAGAATATTGGTCAATACCTTTGTTGCCCCATCTTTAATGTTATTGTTACTGTAACTATTTATATGCCACCTTCCAGCCAAAAAAACCCCACCCCCTGGCAACAACACATTGAAGCACCAAAAAAGGGGACTTTACAAAATTTGGAACAAAATCTTAACGTTTCAAAAATATTAAAAACTAAATGCATTCCTGTTCCTGCCAAAAAGGCAAAGAGAAGTCCCCAGAAAGATATGAGAGAGATCTATAGTAAATATTTAAGCAACAGGTCCTCCTTCAAGGGTCTCAGGCAAGGGGATGGGGCAAGGCAGGAAGAAACATTTACCTCTTGATGGTTCCAGCACATTCTCCCTGAAGGCAGTTTTGGAAGGCACTACTGAAAATACATTAATTCAAACTTTGATTTCTGCAGGGGAAGGTCTGAATGCTAAAGCTTTGAGAGCCAGAAATTCTTCTTCATAGCATGAGTTTGCATAGTATGTTATTCATGTGATAATTACAGTTATCACTGGTTGACCTGAATGTGTGAAATTGCTGTCATCAATTATCACATGACTTACCATCCAAGATCCTTGCCTCATATGCTTAAAATCTATTTTAATTTCTCTGAAAATCAGAGTACATGTTGCCAAATTAATCCCTTAAGGAAACAGGAAGTTTACAGTATATATAAAAGCAGTACTACACTCACCCATTTCCAAAAAGCTGATTGTCTGTTAGTGAAATAACTCAGTATTAAGCCAAGCAGAAAAAGCCAAAGAAAAGTCAACTGGCTACTTAGAGACCATGCATTTTCTGTGTTCTGAGACTGATAACTGATAAATCCATCGAGATTCAGTAACAATAAACCTTGGATTTGGCAAAGAGAAGCACAATGCAGGAAATTAAAGAAACTCAGGGCCTGTTATTGTTGGTACTTGACTGCTGGTATTCTACCCCAAGTAAAACCATTCCTCATTGCAAGGAAAAGGTACCAAATACATTAGAAGATGTCTGAATGTAAGATCTTTCTAACTCTGCAAGAGAGACTCCCATTTTCTAGAAAAGGAGAAAACAGAGGTATGGCTGAACACACACATGCCTTTGTAAGATTAGTAATAAAACCACACCCACAGCTTTATTGCGGTCCATTGACCCAGAATATAAACCATAGCCTGCAACTTTTCTATATTTATTTTTAGCTGGTGTGGTAAGAAAGTATGTTGATATACAAAAACTATCTAAACACTCACCAGTACAATGTGTTACAAGCTGTAAATATCCCTCCTAATGGTTATTAGCTTCTCCCTTCATCTAATGATCTAATCATTTTCTTGCAACACTCTCCTAGATTTCCCTTCTCTTCTTACTTTTGCTTTCTGTTCCTCTGCACTCACCACAGTTATTACATCTCCCTTATCTGTGCTGGCAGGGAGTTATGGTATCCTGGCTGCCACTGACCTTGCTACTCTGATAGAATAGACGAATTAGCCTGCCTTGTCTCAGGTAACTAACTGATTGCTCAAGGTGCCATTTTAGGCATCATCATGCCTAATTCCTATACAATTCCCTGCTTATGTAACTAAAATGGCAACAGCCAGGCACAAAAAAACCTTAAAAACCCACCAACCTAATAAGGTCTATGCATATTTAATACCCACAGAATGCTGGTTGGCAGTTGAGGGGCGTGTGAAATGAAAAATTGGGGTGGTGGGGAGAATGGAGTGGCTGGAAATGACACAGATATAGAGATATAGACCCTCAACACTTACTCTCTTGCTTTGAAAGTTCGTTCTCTCTCTCTCTCTCTCTCTCGCACACACACACACACATAATTTTGTTTGTAAGGCCCCACATGTATACTATATGCTACTTCCAGTTCCACTCCCCTAGTGCTGCTGCTTATGTAGCCAAAAGCACACCACCCACACATGCAGTAATCTAATTAACATTTGCATAAGTACGGAAACATATTTTGGAAAAAACTGTAAAAGAACAAAACCCCAAGAAAGTGGCCCAATTAGGATTGAGCTAGCTCAGTGTTCACAGAATGCATGCTTACTCGGGGGAGGGTGTGTGTGAAATAATGGGGGGCAGGGCGGGGGATGGAATCAAATGGCTGGAAAAGGACAGAGGGGCACCATCTTATTGGCCTGGGTCACATGGCATTCTAAGCAAAACTATGGTTTAGGGCAAATGTGCGTGCATGGCCTGGCTCAGTGTGTCATTGGAATTTGGGCTTATGGTTTAGCTCCCTGCAGCTTAAAGCTGTAACCAAGGTTTTCCTATATTCTATGGCTTATGATTTGTCCAGGAGGGCTAAACTATGAATTCTCTGGATGACAGGGAAGCAAAACAGCAAAATGGCCAGGGAAGAGTAAAGCAGCCACAATCTTCTCTTCGGAGCCTACATATTTGCATTAAGCCATGGTTTGGCTTATTCCTTTGAACAGGTAATTTCCTGGTCTCACTGAGGACCTGTTTTTATATGTCATGTCCATGATAGCTGAGAATGAGCACCAGTGAGGTTACCCCACACCCACAAACAAAATAAATGACTGAGCATGCTCAGCAAACACAAAATTTTGACTGATAGTTGAGGAGGGAAATTGAAACATGGCTGGGATCCTGAGTATACACACTGCAACTTTTTTTTGACAAGGCCTCACTTTATTAGAGTATGAATTCCTACACCCATAAATATCTTGTTAAATTTAATTCTTCCACCTAAGACTGATGATTTTTTGAGTGACACCTGCAGATCCCAATCAGCTGAAAGGTCTCATTCAACTTTCCCCAGCTCACTGCCTACAAATCTCTGTCAGTATATGGAAACATCGCAGCTGCAAACAGCCAGATTGTTGACATCACATGATGCGCCTATCTGTGGGAAAGAAGAATTTCCCAGGAAGTTCACAGGCTGGGAAAGGCTCTGTGAGGAGTGTAATTTGAAACCTTCCATTTGCGCATGTTCAGGAAGTTTGTTAGACGTGCTGGAAGAACTGAACTGAAAGGACGTGTTTTTCTGTAGTGCTGTAATGTCAGAAATAAACATGTAAATAGATTTCTGACTACTTTTCTTTCCCCTGCGGAAGCAGGAGGAGGGGGTGTGCATTTTACCCACGCTTGGGAAAATGTCGCCTATCAATATCTCCCTGTCTGTCCGGGAAGTCAGCCAGAGGAGGTTACCGGTAAGCAAGCTCCGAGAACTGTGAGAGGGGCCAGCCTCTGTGGAGGGGGCTTGCAAACTGACAATCTCATCTGTCCCAGCCAGCATGGCCAATGGTCAGGGCTGATGGGAGTTGTAGTAGTCCAGATGCAGCTTGTCACGCTGGCCACGTGACCCAGAAGTGTCTGCGGACAGCGCTGGCTCCCGGCCTATAGAGTGAGATGAGCGCACAACCCTAGAGTCTGGCAAGACTGGCCCGTACGGGCAGGGGTACATTTACCTTTACCTTTAACCCAACTTTATCCAGCTGGTTAGAACATTTCTGCATTGTCCTTTCCCTTAAGATAAGGCACAGGAAATAAATATATGGAACTCTTTGCTTATTTTTACAAACACAAATGTAATTACCAGTCAGTACCTTCCACTGGGAGGCCTGCCCACTTCGTCTCCTTAAGTTAAATGCAGGGAATACAGAGATGGAATTCTTAATGTGTGCAAATCTGATTCAGTAGCATTGTCTTCCATTGGGAGGCCAGCCTAGACATTCCCACAGAGAAGTGCCCAAAGGTAACAGAAATTTACTCCCATCACTTACACCACTGTAATGTAATACCCTTTGATTAGCACATGTTAATGATGTCATTCTATCTGAAAATTCCCTGACCCTGTGAGACTAAATTTGCTTTTCACTAGATTCTGTGTAAGGGAGACTGCATGTTCTAATAAATAATGCCATGTTCTCCTGCTGTAATCATTAATATTTACAATGTATGAGGAAATTATGGGACATTAAGAAATAAATTGTATTGTTTTCAACCATGTATATCAGAGTACAGTCTAAATTGTGAATATCTAAGAGCCATGACAGCATATTAGCTAACATTTTTCTTTGTTCTATTTTCTTATATGACTAATTTTATATTAACTTGTCTCTTAAATAAGAATTTTCCTTTAATAATATGCTTGAGTTTTCCTTTAGGACATTGGAAGCTCTACCCTATACAGTATTACATAAATCTCACCCCATTTATGCTCCTAGGCTACTTCTTTATAAAGCTGTCCAGTGTTAAACAGGAAACAAGTGCCTTGAATTCATATCATTCCCAAGTATTTCAGTTTGTTAGGAATGCCTTATCTCCTTGCACCTAAATCCATAACAAAAGTGGGGACTGCTACCCTGAGTTCAGGTGCCAATGTGGAAAGCTAGTTACCTACACCTATTCTTGTGTGTTCCCTCATTAGTGAGCCAGAGCTTAACATATATTACAGGCTCAACTAGACTAGTCCCTAGTTCAGAGCTTTCCAAACTATGTGTCACGACACATTAGTGTGTCTGCTGCAGTGTGTAGGTGTGTCTCATGAATGCTCCCCATGCACCTCCTGGGGCTGGAAAGGGGTTACTGTATTTTTCGCTCTATAGGACACACTTTTCCCCCTTCAAAAATGAAGGGGAAATGTGTGTGCGTCCTATGGAGCGAAGACGCCTTAGCCCTGCGACCCTCTCCCGGCTGGAGAGGTGACCCGCGGCTATGGCAGGAGCCTCTTTAGCTGCGTGCCACCTCTCCAGCCGGGAGAGCGCGCGCGGGGCTAAAGAAGCCATAGCCCCGCGACCCTCTCCCAGCTGGAGAGGTGACCCGCGACTATGGCAGCAGCCTCTCCGCTGCACGCCTTTCCGCTGCTCCCCGACCTGCTCTTTGGGGCTGGTGGTGGGCTTCCCCCCACCAGCCCCAAAGAGCAGGTCGAAAGAACCTGAAGCCTGGAGAGCGAGAGGGTCGGTGTGCACCGACCCCTCTCGCTCTCCAGGCTTCCAAGGTATCCGCCTGAAGGCGACTGAACGCACCTTAAACGGCACCTTGTTTTAGAGGGGGAAAACAAGAGGGCGAAAATTCTCCCCCTCTCTGCGCAGTGCCTTCTGCCGCTTCGCTGAAGGGGCGCTGGGCAGAGAGGGGGAGAATTTTTTTTCTTGTTCTCCCCCCTCTAAAACAAGGTGCGTCCTATTGTCTGGTGCGTCCTATGGTGCGAAAAATACGGTAGTTTAACCTCTGGTTTGCTAGTAAAACTGAATTACTGTGTCGCAGAATGATGAATGTCTAAAAAGTGTGTCTCTAACATGAAATGTCTGGAAAGCTCTGCTCTAGTTAATGACAACCGACTAGACTAAAGCAACGCAAACTGGGATGACACTATTTAAAAAGGACAAAAAAGCCCCAGATACGTTCCTCTCCTTGGAAGTAAATTCAACATGCATAGGATTGGTCTGCACAACTGCAATTTTAAGCAAATTTACAGCATAATCCTATATATGTTTTCTGAGAAGCAACTTTGAGACTCCCAGGTAAGTGTGTATAGCATGCTGCATTAAGAAGCAAATCCCACTAAACCTAATGGGACCTATTTCCAAACAAGCATTCTTAGGTTCCAGCTGTAATAAATATTCCACTTAGCCTCATATCTTTCTCATGAAGGCTGGGTAACCTTTTCAGGCACTCCCTTGCAGAAAAATGGTGAGGGTCACATACTGGCACAAAAGCCAAATGTATGGGTGAGTCTCCCCTTCTCTCCCTCTCCCCTTCAATCAACTATTAATTCATTCATTCTCTCTCTCTCTCTCTCTCTCTCTCTCACACACACACACACATCAATCCATCACCCCTTCACTCATTCAGTGACCTGTTTCTGCCACACATGGCAGGGACAAATAGAGGAGAAATGGCTTGGAGGAGATCAAACTGAGGAACAATATGATTCTTACACACAAAATAGTAAAGTTCTAAGGATCTTGCTTTATTGATTCAATCTAGAGTAGCCACCAGCCCTGGGGAGGAAGGCCAGGCTTGGTCCTGGAGATCTCCCACCCTCAGCTAGGCCTCACCACTGCCCTCCTTGTGTGCTGGCTAACAGAAGCTCCCATTCAACCAGAACAGATGTCAGGCATGCTTGCTGGGAAAGGAGATGGAATGGGCTTTTTGAAATGTCACACCTAATACACCTTGGTGTATCAAGCAAACACTCTACCGCTGTGAGCTGTGGCTGGAAGCAGGAACTGGTGCTGGATTAGAGAGCTGGATAGACCATTCAGAGGCTGGCAGGGCACAAGGCAAGGGAATCATTCTGTTGTGCCAACTGGAGGGCAATCAGAAATACTTTTCAGCAATACTTTTGGAAGCAAGACTAGTGACAGGTTTCAGCGACAATATTGGCACAGCCACAGCTTTTGCAGAAGAACTGGCACCAAATCTAGTAGCAGGGGTAAAAAATGGTGGCACAGGTTACCCACATGTGGTCTAGTGACCATTCCTTGCACCTGCCTGTTCCAGTACAAATGAAAACAAAGGAGGAAAAAACATGAATCCTTCCTACATTATTTCCCCCCACATTCGGGTGGGTGGAGGGGTGTAACCAATCAAACACAGGAAGTGAATAGAAAAGGGAGCATCTTTGTATCTGTCATATATATGTCTGAGCTGCATATCTGGCATTTTACATACCTCAGATCAAAATCTGACATTTGCACAATAGAAACATACCCCAACATGTATTTTAAGAGCACAAGCACAGTAAGTTGGTGGGGAAATCCTGTATGTGTATATCTGGATGGATGGATGCTGTCCTGTCGACTTCTGGCTTTGGTTCAGCCCACAGTTGGCAAGTAGCCACAGAAGGTAATCCACAAGGGAATATAGCCCTCAGGCTGAAAAACATTACCCAATAAAATTAAGCCACACTACTCACATACAGAATTCATGGCTTCATGAAATATTTGACTGCTCAGTTGACTGGTATCTCAACACTAACACCCATGTTGTACTATGCCTCAAGTACTTTAAACCCATTTTTCCTATGTTCTATATCATGCAGTGATAAAACCGGATTTCAGGAACCTTTTCTTCTTATGGAGGGGTGGTATATAAGGAAGATGATGTTTTATTTAGCAATAGATCTTGGAATAGTCTGGTTTTAAATTTGCCTGTACCCCAAATGTAGTGACTAGTTCTCCTTTGATAGGATATTTTCACACAAAAATACCTTAAATTTATATATAGTACAAATGGGATCACACTGCAGTTGGCACACTCCTGGATGTCATTAAGTGTTAAATTCCCCCCCACAACAAGTTTAAGGCTACAATCCTACAAGTTGGCATTAGGCCAGCTAAAGGGCTATAGGAAGCAATGTAAGTGCTGATCGGCTGGCAGAGTGGGCAGCCTGCCAACACAACAGCATTTATGCCACTAAAGCACTTCGGTACACCCACAGAAAGCTCTGCAGGCATGTATGTCCCACTGGTGGCATTCCACCAGGCGTGGGGAGCTGGGGCAATATGGGACATTCAGAGGGATCAGCAGGGGAAAGAACTATGGAACATTATTAGGGTCTGTAGGTTCCTACGTCTCTTGTTCTACTTGTATGCCCCCAAACAGCCACCTAATCTACACCAGCCCTTGCATCAACAATGGGGGGGGGGAATGGGAAGGAGCTGCCCAGTCTGGCTACATGTCGAAAAATTCAGGGATGCACCAATAGCTGACAGTAACTTAAATTTAGTTGGCATTGTTCACCAATATAGGCCTGAAAACTGAAGAAGCATTTGTTTGGGGGCATTTGCCGAATTCATCTGGGATTATGTGTATTTACAGCTGAATATTATCCTTCTCCAAATTTTGGACATTTGCCGTAATATATCTATGTAATCTGTGCATTAAAAGGACTGGAGATTCAATGACAGCACCTAGAGAAATTTACTTTATTTGGTATGAATAACAGCAAAATCAGCCTCAAGGAGAGTTACACCGATCTTTTAAAAACAGTAACATTTGACTCCAGGAGTAACTACAACATGTGTACTTCAAACAGTTTACCACTTCAAACAGGAGTAACCTACTACTGCTCCTCTTTGCTCAGCCCCCACACACCGAGAAGAACAGCATCTATCCCAGATGCCCTTGCACTAAATAAAAATGATGCTAATTTTGCAAAGGACATGAACTATTTAGGGTCAGATAGAAAAAGTAGTTACATTCTCTTCCCAAAGTCTTGTATTCAACTAAATTATATTCAGAGTAGACCCACTGAAATTAATTGACCTAACTTGGTCATGTTCGTTAATTTCAATGGAATTACGTATACTCTGAGTAAAACTTGGTTAACTGCCACCCAATTAGTTTACATAATTGCCTTTATCCCAGGGAAAACAGCCCACTATAGCTGGACTTTATGGCATTAATTAAAAGCTAAGTAACTACTGTACTAGGCAACTGTGAGAACCCTACAATAGTAGGAGTATGTCAAACAGGAGTTCCAGAACTAAACTGCCTATGTGAACATAACCTTCGTGACTGTGGAGGCACTTAATCTTGCAACTATTCATATAACTGAATCAGAACGATCCTGTAAGCATTCCCGCAATACCTATAAACAAAAAGAACCAGAATTCCTCAAATAAAAACACTCCAAAAATCTTCACAAAGCCAAGAGGCTGTGCAACCCCTCCTCCACAGTGGCATGTGAATTGGCCCCAATTGTTGATTCCAGGTAGAGAAGCAAAAGTGAGTCCCAAAGCAAGAAAGCTGTATGAGGTGCACAGTGGGGAACAAACTTTAATAATTGTCTTTTTTAATGCTGATTTTAATGTATGTGTTTGATTTGTTTTGGGATTAAAGGGTTGTAAGTCGCTTTGAGTTCCCATAGAAAAAAGTAACTAATTCATTTAATAAATAAGGAGGAGGAACCACCTAAAGGTAGGGCAGGAGAGGGGGAATTGAGGCATGAAAGGGCAACAATGAGAAATTCAATCCCTGGAGGAATGTCACAGGGCTTAAGATGAGTAGAATTTTATGTGGGAGATGGAAGGAGAACGAGGGAGAATGATCTAAAACCATGGTTTCCAACCTTCCCACCCACAGTCCACTTGAAAACGGCTGAGCATCTTGGTGGACTTAATGATTTTTCTGCCTGTTGTTTAGCAACTAATACACTGTGCCTTACAATTTTATGGAATTCAAGCTGTAATACAATAAAAAAACAATATATAAGAAACAAAATAAGCAATAGAAATACAATTAAAATCAATATGAATATTTAATGCTATAGATGTGCCGTCTGTTGTCTTCAGCCACAATTTACAGCATGGATCACTGGAATGAAGCATGTGTGGTCTGTGGACTGCAGTTTGGGAACCCCTGATCTAGACACATGCTAGAGAAAGGAAGGGGAACAGAGTAGGCAGTGACCTGACAAGCTGTGGCCTGAGGAAGCAGTGGTGGTATAAGGACGTGGAGTTGGAAAAGGAGGGTTAGAGACAGGAGGGCCATGGTACTTTACACAGAAAGGAAGGGAGCAGCCAAGAGGGCATAGGGTTGCTATGTCCCCCCAAAGACATTCTACCAGTTATGGTTTCTGCTGTCGCTGCAGCACTGTGAGCCTGGCAATTAGTGGGATAGGGGCACAAAGACTAAGAAGCAGCAGAGGTGGCATGACTGAATTTCACATATCATGATTCATTTTAAATTGCTAGCAAAGTTATGGTTCAGGTGCCTGTTGATTCTGCTAAGCACAAAATATTTGGTAGTGCAGTTCAGCTGAAACCTAGGCTGGGTTACCTATCAGTATGTAAGTTGGATTCAATGGGATAAAGAATATGATTTTATCTGTTGATCACATTCAAATTAATGAGAGATTACTGTCCCGAGAGAAAAAAATGCCCTGGAAGATCTCATTCCTTTTCAGTGGATGATTTATTTCAAGAGTAAAGCGTATCCAGCACTTCACTAGCACCACTGAGCCATGATCACTTCTCTGCCAAAGGCAGGGAGTTCAGGTTGAATGCTTTAGGCTCAATAGAATGAGGCCATTAAAGAAGCACCAGTTAGGAAGAAGGATGTAAAACTGCATACATTTCAAGGCTCCAGACCTCCATCCACCTTACACTTAGTGTTACATTCACAGTTTTATTCTGGATTGTTTTATTGGATGTTTTCATGTGTTTAAAATATAAAGCAGTATAGAAAAGAATAAAAATAAAAGTATAACAAGAATAAAATAACAACAATAATAATTTCATTGAAAAAATCACAAGCAGACATTCCGTGGTGATGACTGTAACCTAGATTAAGGTGCCATTTGTCAATTAGCTTATATATGTGAGTTTCTACATGGGTGGCGCTGTGGTCTAAACCACAGGGCCTAGGGCTTGCCGATCGGAAGGTCAGCAGTTTGAATCCCCGCAACGGGGTGAGCTCCCTTTGCTCGGTTCCTGCTCCTGCCCACCTCGCAGTTCAAAAGCACATCAAGTAGATAAATAGGTACCTCCCCAGCAGGAAGATAAACGGCGTTTCCATGCGCTGCTCTGGTTCACCAGAAGCAGCTTTGTCATGCTGGCCACATGACCCAGAAGCTGTCTGCAGACAAATGCTGGCTCCCTCGGCCTATAGAGCGAGATGAGCGCACAACCCCAGAGTCGTCTGCGACTGGACCTAACGGTCAGGGGTACCTTTACCTTTTATGTGAATTTCTAACACTGCGCTTAGGCAGATAACTATCTAGAAAAGCTCAGAAACAGATCCAACAACCTGCCCCATAATCTCCCACTCACCTTCCATGATAATTGCATCTAAGAGAGTACCAAGGGTTCCTGCATGCTTCTCTCCACTATCCCATGCTGTTAGCCTGGAGAGCCCTCACTTGCACTAGTCCCATATCATATCATAGTCCCATTCCCTCCTACACTCGTTAGCATATGGCTGAGCTCAGAACTAGAATGCAGTTACAACCTGAGCAATAATGTGTAGAAGAAGGCAAGCTAGTAAAACAGTTTGTAGGCTACTGAATGTCTGACTTACATGTGAGACTTTTTAGTCTGTGTTTAAAAATAAAGTAGCAGAACTTTCTGGTGATCAAATCAAAGCTGATGTTGAATTCAAAGCAAGAACCAAATTATAAATGAATAGCACCCTAACAGTCTTAGAAACATTTGATTTCCTTTATGAGCCATCATATTCACTATCCTCAATTGCTTAAATTATTTGTTTCTTTTTTTGTATAATCTGAAAATAATGAAGCGATGATACAAATAAAAGCCTATTATTGGAACAGGGGAGACAATTTTTTAAATATAGCACTAATATGTGTATGGGGCATCGAAAATTAATTTCAGCTTGTTTAAGCCAGAAGCTTAACCTCAGGTGGCAACACAAAATAGAAACTAGTTCAGCTAAGCCTTTCTATTGCCTCAGGATGTCTTTCGGCAGGTGTACCTCTCATTCCATTTTCTGTATCAGATACAAGTCTTTCCCTACAAATATATAACTGACGAGTTTCACTGTGATGGAAAGAAGAAAATACTAGGGTCCAAGAAGCATAAAGTTGTTAAAAGACAGAAATGGTAATAGAATTGTGTTCTTGCAATTAATCATATTTTGGCAGCTAGCTAGCCCTATTGGTTAAAAACCATAGTTAGTACCTTGGCTCCCAACCCCCCCCCCCCCCGGGCCACACAAAGTCACTAATATTCCTAATAGGGACCAGAAGTCAATGCACAAGGCAATTCTGTAAATGCCAGTCTAAAATTATACTACAAGTAATGTTGAGAGCAAATTCCAGTTACATATATAAAGGTAAAGAGACCCCTGACCATTAAGTCCAGTCGCGGACGACTCTGGGGTTGCGGCGTTCATCTCGCTTTACTGGCCGAGGGAGCTGGCGTTTGTCTGCAGCTTCCTGGTCATGTGGCCAGCATGACTAAGCTGCTTCTGGTGAACCAGAGCAACGCACGGAAATGCCGTTTACCTTCTCACCAGAGTGGTACCTATTTATCTACTTACACTCTGATGTGCTTTCGAACTGCTAGGATGGCAGGAGCAGGGACCGAGTAACGGGAGCTCACCCCGCTGCGGGGATTCGAACCGCCGACCTTCTGATCGGCAAGCCCTAGGCTCTCTGGTTTAGACCACAGCACCACCCGTGAGGCCATACCTAATCCACACAATTACAATGGCACCACCATTGCCAAGGCATAAGTGAAGGAAATAAAACCGGGAACACAGGAAACACCAAGCTGCCTGAAAAAGAAACATTACAGCATTATTCATTTATGGTACTCACCATCTCTTTAGCTATTTCCACAGCTTCCTGCAGCCCATAAAGCCTGCCACAGACCAGGTAAATCCCATTGGCCCAGAGAATACAGCCCTCGTGGACCCAAAATTCATTGCTGTCAAGAGGTAGTTCAGGAATTTGTAACTCCAACTCAGGACCACCTTCCGAAGTGGACATGGGGGGTTTAGAGTCCAAAGGAGCTTTTTCACCAACATTGCTACCCTCAGTGGTTGCCTTTTTACAAGCAGCGCCTCTCGAAAGGGAACGAGAGGCCCCAGCACAGTCCTCTGAGCGATGCCGTCTCTTAAAGCGAGGGTGGGCAGTGAGGCTTCTCTGCTCCTTTTGTTGCTGCTGCTGCTCTTCTTCCTCCTCCGTATCTGTCTTGGAACCATTAGACGCACTTTTATGTCGTACTTTGACTTTATTCTGCATTTCTGTGGCCCTCTTGGGAGGGGGATTCTTGGGCAATGTGGCCGCATAATCCTGGGGATAGAAAGGTCCAAAGAGATCACCCATGTTGCGATAGCTGGCCCACTTGCCACACAGGCAACAAACCAGGTGGCCCATGACAGAGGACTCTGTTACTACAGGGCCCTGTAGCATGAAAGAGGAAATAGGCAGTACTTTGCTCTCAACATTGCTGGGAGGTGGTGTTGATGACCTCTGCCCTTTGCGGCCCCTCACCAGCTTATTCTGCTCCTCTTCCTCTGCATTAATTATTGTGCATACAGCACCTATCTCACACTTGTTCACTACATGAATATAAGGGAAAAAAGACTTGTTCTTGTTATCAGTTTTATCAAGAGACTGTGTGGCATATTTCAGTTTGATCTCTGGTTCCTGGGGCTCCACAATTGGAGCAGCTCGTCTTGGCTTCCGCTTCCGTGGCTGTGCTGTAGGTTTCCTCCTCTCCCTTCGCTGTCTCTTAGGTTTAGGTTCTCCACCTCCTGCCTCCTCTGATGGCTGCAGAGCTTCTGGTACTGATGGAAGTGGCGGAAGCAGCAACTGTTGTTGAGGCGGAGGCGGCGGCGGCGGCGGCTGCTGTTGTTGCTGCTGCTGCTTCTTCTGTTTGTTAACACTACCAATAGGCCGCCCCTTCTTCTTACCAGAAGGAAAATAACCCTTTGGAGGAAAAGGATCTGGCTTGGGTGTCACAATGACGGCATCTCCACCCTTCTCTTCAGACTTTAGATTTGGTTCAGGAGTCAAGACTTTGGATGGAGAGACTGTTTTTAATTCGGAAAAGCTTATAGATCCTGCCCCAGTTAGTGAGCCATCTGTTCTTCCCTGACAAACAGATTTTTGTGAAGGTGCTGGGATCACAGTAGGCACTGGGGCCTCCTTGACAACACTTGCAAGTTCAGGTGTCTCTTTTTTTACTACCTCATCTCTATCCGCATGCCATTCTTCAGAAGATATTGTCAGAGAAATTTCACTAGTCAATTCTTGGCTCTCTTGATCCAGCACAATTTCTTCTTTTATATTTTCTGCTTCCATTCCATGATTGGACACATTCCCACCCTCTGGTGGGCCACTCTTCAGTGACAGAATGTCATCAAGGGTGACTGCATCTGGGCCAGATTCAGCACAATTTGAAGAAGCACTCCTCCGAACATTAGGGGATGTGATTTTTTGAACAATAGCTTCCAATTTTAACCCACGGCCCTTCCGTGGAGGCAGAATTTTTGTTTTAGCTGGGCTTGTGAGGGAAACAGCAGAGCAATTTCTATTGTCAGGACTTGGAAGATTCCTAGGAGATTCTCCTTTTGAGAGTGACTTACTAACATCTTGGCTTTGGGAAGAATGGGCATAGGAGTTGAGTGTTTTATCAGCTCCATCCTTTGATGAAGTGAGCAGGCGTCCTTTGTCTTCAGTGCCACTATTCTTCATTTCCTGCAACTGCCTCTTGCTGGGAATAGGAGAGATAAAAGAGCGGACTCTCCTTCTCATGATTAAAGGATTTTGAGAAGACTGCTCTTCTTGGCCAGGAATCCTTACCATGGCATTGCCAGATTTAAGTACATCTCCAGCATCTTCACGCTTGTGTGTATCACTATCTTGAGATGCAAATCTCTTCTGACTAGTTGCTCCTAGAGAGCCACTGTTTTTCCCAGTGGTCACCTGCCGGGAAAGATCCCAACCAGATTCTTGTTGCTGAATCTTTTGATTCAAATGTTTAATTTCAGCACACTTATTTTGAAGAGACCCATCACTCCCTAACAAGCAACGGCTTGTGTCTTGGCTGACAGCATCATGGTAAGAACCAGAATGGAGATACATCATTCCATCCTTGTCATTTTTCAAAGGACTCCTTACTCTGTCCAAGAACTGCTGTTGCCTTGGACTCTTTCTTGCTGTCTCCTGTCTATGCTGAGCAGCTGCAATCACTCCCTGGGCAGAGCTGCTACTCCAATCTTTGTATTCTTCCTGTTGTTGCTGGTACAGCTGCCTTTTGTAGTGGTATTGGGAATTCAGCCCCTGGTTAGGATCACCAAAAGCATGAGATCGAGCATTAGTGTGATAAACTGAAGCCAATGATGAGCTTTCAGAATTTGGAGGGAAAGGAGAGTGTAAGGAACCCCGGTTCACCCTGTCAGAAAGCACCATATGTGGATTCATGTGGTGAAGATCTGTGCCTGGACCTCTGCTTCTACCTGGTGACATCTTTAATTTGTCTGCCAGATCATGAAACTGAGAGGGAGATTTACCTCTCATTCCCTCTCGGCTGCTTCCCATTCTGCCGGGTCCTCGCCTGAGCTGTGATCGGCTATCTTGTTGCAAAAGGTACTCTGCTGCAGAATCAAGAGCTGCAGCTCCTGGGCTAGCATTGCCTCGGTAAGACTCATGCTTAAAACTTGCAAGATGACAATGGTCTCCAGATTTTTTATTGTTGAGGCTGGCAGAGGTCTTAGACTGTTCAAAATCTTCTTCCTTGATTTGCCCACTGTGAGACTTTAGCTTTGGTTCCATGGTCACCAGTCCACCAGGAAGGATGACTGACTGACCAGGAGTTAGACGGTCACTCCTTCCACTCCTGCCATCAGGACCCATGTGTCCCACAGAGTGAGGGCCAGGTTCTCTAGCAATCTGCCTCAAGGGTGATATATCACAAATAACTGATCTCCTCTCAGAGAGTCCTCCACCTTCATGAGCAGAGGATTGGGACTCTATCTCAAACTTTCGAGGCATGGGATAGTCTGCTAGATTTATCTGTTTCATCTCAGAAGTTGTGCCACTAGACTTTCTATCCCAGTGGCTCCAGTGTGGATTTTCCAAGAGAGAGCCTATGCTTTTGTTTAAAAGACCTCTATTACTTAATTCATTGGCTTGATTGATCAGGACATTGGGTCTCATGGTACCCTCAAGAGTTCCAGTCATCCCATGATGATCTTGTGCATTTCTAGAATATCTTCTGTCAGGGTGATGGTGATAGCCTTGCAAAACTTCCTGCAACAGACTAGGAAATTTCTCATTCCTGCCCTTTCGCTCACTATGTCCTGGAAAATCCCCTTTATCCTGACCTGAAGGATACTGAGGGAAGTTGCCAGCATTTCTCTGCATACTAACTCCAATATTGTCTTTGTAGCTATATCTCAAACTACCAGGGGATTTTGAAGGCTCGGTTCTGCCTGGAAAACTGGAGCCAACAACAGCATGACCAAGCTGTCCGTTCCCATCTCCGTTGTGGTTAGTGCTGCTGTCCCCACTTTTGCTCCCCTTACTCCCTCCTTGTGGCTCTTGCTGTGGTCCCAGAATCCCAGTGTCTTTCATCACACTGGCAGAAGATGGTGCTTGAGCACCTGTGGAAACATCATCTTGTTGCTGCTTATCCTGCCCACCTGACTTTTCCACTCTGCCCGTCATAGCTTCTCGGGAAACTATCACACCAACTGCCTTTTCATTGACCTTCGGGGGTGTCTCCACAGCAACTAAGGCCTCCTTTTCATCAGGAGGAGAGGCCACTTCTTCCTCATCTGCAGGGCTGGTGCTGAGCTTTGGAGGCTCATTTTGAGATGCTTGTGTTGGTGATGGGTGGGATCTCTCTAAATTACCCCCCTTGTAGGTGGTATCAGAACTGGTACTCTGACCGCTCAGTTGTCTCACCCTCTCGCCTTGGTCCTCCGAACTACTGGAGCAGCCACCATCAATTGATTCTGCCAGAGGAGACTTGAGCTGTTCCTCTGCTTGGGAAGAGCCTTCTGAGTTTGTGCAGCTATCAGCCTTTTTAGATAGTGAAGATCTTTTGGAGTTTTTCTTCTGAGGTGCCAAAGCATCTGAAAGTAGCATGTGCTGGACTGTATTGGGAAGATTTGCCACTTGACTACTTAAAGCACTTAGGCTGCTTAGTCCTGGATCCGTAAGCCTCTTTTCCTGCAGTCCTTCAAGCCCAAATCCCTTGAATCCTCCACCCTGAGCATTGGGACTTGGCATCATGGATGGTGTTGGACTAAGCTGAGGCATCATTTGTAAAATGCGGTTTCTAGAGGCTACAGGCATGTTGCTTTGTCCACACTGAAGGTTCTCACCACCTGCCATGAGAGGAGATGGTGTGGAGCTGCAGCTTGGGGACTGAACCACAGAGGCAGCTGGTGAGGGGTTAGATATGGGACTAAAATTCTGGTGGAACTGCATGGGTGATCTCACAGGAACCTCAGCCTGGTTGTACTGACCTACTTGACTCTGAAGAGACAGTTTGGTGGCAGTATTTGAGTACTGCATTATATGCTGTGAGGGAGGCTGCTGCTGCTGCTGCTGTTGTTGCTGCTGCTGCTGTGACTGCTGTGCCTGTCCCTGTGCCTGCTGACTGCCTTGGGGTAACTTTGACTGTTCAAAGTTCTTCATTGGCTGTGCCTGAAAGGTGTAGCTTGACTGAGTTCCATAAGTTTGCGAACTCGACCCAACAGCATGTCCTTCATACTGTGAACCAGCATTCACACTGTAACTGCCATCATAGTTCTGCCCAGATTGGCTAAAACGCTGAGGAGAAGGAAAAGAAGAAGAGGAAGAAGCAGGAGGCTGATAGTGTTGGCTATACTGACCCACTCGCAACTGATAGCCAGAAGCAGAGGAAGGCAGAGTTGAAGGACGCTGCATTGGCTGCATATGAGATGTGCTGGAGGCAGACTGGCTGGAGGCTTGTGGCAAAGGCTGATGAGACTGGTAGAGCTGTTGTCTCATCTGCTGAACCTGTTGCTGCTGCTGGCTCGAACTTTGCTGCTGGTACTGAGCACTTCCAGGGGAGAAAGGACCAGTATAATCCTGTTGATAATGGGTCACACCACTAAGGGATGAGTGTTGCGTTTGAAACTGGCTCACATGACCTTCACTCCCATACTGATTCCCAAAGCTGCTCCCTTGGGGTGGTCCATAGCTCTGTACTGGCCCAGAAGGCCTGCGCTGAGGAAGCTGCTGCCCTCCGGCTGCCACAGGATCCTTACTTGAGGCCATATAATAGAATTCTCCTGCTTCCTTTCTGAAACTTTGATAGCTCTGATGTCCAGAGCTCTCACCAGCCATTGAGGCAGAACTGCCTGCTGCTCCACGGCGCCCACTGCTGCTGCCACCTCCTCCAAAGCTCTGGAACATCTGAGCCTGCTGGCGGGTGCTAAATTCTTCTAGACGGGATGCACCATGCACTTCCTGTGGGTAGTTCTGCTGGTTTCCGTGGTAACTGCTTTGCTCTCGAAAGGACTGCATGCTGTTCAGCTGCAGACTGACAGCTCAGCAACCTGCCTAGAAGAGAAAAAGAGAAAAATAAATTAGCAAAATAATTCCTATTTCCCAGTAAAATAAGTAGTTTTTAATGTATATTTAAAATCACTTGTAGCAATTTCAAACTCAAAACGTCCTCTAGGTTTCTTGTCCTATTATCAGGAGTTTGGCCTGCTATCTAGGAAACTAGAGCAGAATGTCAGCTTGGTTTTATGTTACAAGGGTACTTAAGATTTTACTAGCTAACTTTTCAACATCTTGTTTGGAGGAATTGTTATGAGAGATGATAGAAATACGCTTTCCCAAACCAGCAATGCTGTACTGTTCACAACAGCATCCCACATCAAGAGGCTTGGACTGATGAAACTGCAGATATTTAAAATACATAGATTTCTTTTCCAACAGGCATATACAGATGAGTGTAAACACTTAGAGCAAGAAAAACAAAAGACACAAAGAACACACATGTAAATGTCAATTAAGATAATGAAGAGATCAGACAGTACTAAAATTACAAGTGAGGGGACTGTTTTTAGAAGGCTATATTCAGAGAGGGCATAATTTTGCTAAAATTGGGGGGAAAGGACTTGGGGGTTCTGGATTTCATTAAGCACTTCCTCGTCTATATTTTCCTCTCATAATTTGAGTAATGAGCTCAGGTAAACACATCACTCTTTGTCACAACAATGCACCTATCAAAGTAAAAGGAGAAGATATGAATTCGTCTGTAATTAGGTGAATTTGCCAATTTAAATTACCAAATGCCATAACTGTAAGACAGGTGACTCCACCATGATGTTTGCATGCAATGCATTTCAATTTGTTTCCTTTGGTGATTTGGTAAGTGTTTAATTCAGGTTCCAGATTATATTTGTGTACAAAGGCTATAAATGTGGTTTCATTTGTATAGTCATGGCAGAGAAACAGTATTTGTTGCAAGCTGTCAGCAGATGAGACAGATAAGTTGCAACTGTGTGGTGTTCCTTTAAGGGGAATGGTTTGGGGGTGACACAGGGAGAGGCCTAAAATTCCTCCCCCCAAAATTCCTATTAAGTATTATGAAAAGTGAAATCCAATGGGCTTTCCTGCTTTTTTATTCCCTTTCTTTGCAGTTTAAGAAAGCAGGAGTTAAGTGTGTTATAAGAACAGTTCATTAGTTAGTAAAAGTAATCAGTATGTAAGTATCAGTATTAAAGAAGTCAATCCTCCAAGAACCATCATTTCTTAGTTGTTGCAATAAGGTATGGAACATTAAAAGAGTAAGGGCTGGCTGCTAATGAAACTAATTAATTCCAACTAGCAGTCAACATGCACAATTAAAGCAGACCAATTACTTTATCTGCTTAACAATTACGTTCTTTGTGAGGTATCACAAGAATAACAGCACAGCATGCAGGTGTGAAAACATATCCATAGGCTAGAGAAGTTGAAGAGTTTGCTATGAAGCTGCACTGACAGAGGATATGCAGGCAAACAAACAGGCTGGGTGAGGAGGATCAGAACACTCCAACTCTTTTGTGCCCAAAAAGTGAGTTGCCAGAGGATGGAAGGCCACTCCCCTGTACCCAACATAGAAATACATAGGATGACAAGGAGCCACTGCTGAACACTCTTTGGGCCAGCTTCAAATCCACCTAACATACCATCTGGTAAAATGTTATTAAGACAAATATCATGAGAGACTTTGTCAAAAGCCTTGCAGGAATCAAGTCATACTTACTAGGTAGTAAGAATTGTGGAGCTGAATGTGACTTACTTTTTAGTAACTACCGGTATGCTTTGTACTGCACCTCATCTCATGATATGGACAAGCCATTCACATAAAATGGCAAGTTTACCTTTTGCCTGTTGAAGGATTCCAACATTGTTATTCCTACTGCAAGGGACGAGGGCGGGTATATAATTTATTTAAAAAAGATGTGTTCATCATCAGGTGCATATTTCATGCATACTTCTGTAGTATGATCAAGTTACTTCCTAAGTACTGATTAAATTAATTTGAGTTGGTGCAACAATCTTTTTCTCTCCCCTGGACCCTAAAGAATGTATATGTCGTTCTTCAATGGTTTATTAATTTACTACTTTCAATCCTGTCTTTCTGTTAAGGTGTTTGCAGCAGCATACATAGCATCTCCCCTTCCATTTTATCCTCACACAACTCCCCTGTAATGTTGCAAAAGATGAAGGGTTACTGGCTCACAGTATTCCAATGAGCTTTATGGCCAAGTGTGAATTTGAACCCAGGTCTTCTGGTCCCAGTCCAACACTCTGACTACTACACTATAAATGCTCAAAGATGATCCATATCCTCAAAGAATGAAAAGTATTGTGAAATGAATGAAAGGCATTGTGAGGAAAGCCATACCCTTCCTTATTCAGAATTTGTGACAATATCCACACAATGCAGGAAAAGACAGCAAAGTGATCTTGTTTACGTGAGTAACTTTCCAGGAAGGAAGTGCAGTAAATGGATTAGATCAACGGTTCATCAAATGTCACTTACTGAGGCCTACAGTTACATGACCGCCTTGGGAAGCTGCATGTAGTAATGTCCCTATAGATGAAAAGGCAATATAACAATGGTCCAAGTGCATTACCATAAGTCCAGTTTCAATTCTTGCACATGACTACACACACATTCAAAAGATAATTTGCAGTATGGTAAGCAGGAGAATGGTTGTCTGAATGGTATATTGAGCCTCTTTATACCCATGGTGACAGAGATAATGTCAATCAGCCCTCTTAGTGTAAAAGCCAACCGAGACACTTTTGATGAAGCTAAAGAATCAGAAATAAGAAGGCAAAACCCCAAGGCCCAGTTCAGATTATCTAAAGTGTTCTTTAGAATATGATAATCATGAACAAGATCCAGCAAGACTTAGTATTATGCTCTCACCCTCTCCTCTTGTGGTCCTCTGCATGCAAAAGAAGAGTAAATGCTTCTGCTTCCACCACCTTTGACTAAGTAAGAGCTTCCAGCTGCATATGAAATCAGAGCTGAGTTGCATATTACCTCTACTAAGAGCTGCATATTACCTCTACTTAGTTAACAAGGATATGAAACCTCTGTTTGATCCTGGTTTGCTTTAACTAATTAGTTAGAATAAATCAGAGTTGCTAGAGATCAGACATATCAAGAAATTGTGGTTTAGTCAAAACCGAAAGGTAAAGCTTTCACTTTTTACCACAGCTGTCATTTCACCACTTGCTGTTTTGTACAGCTGTCCACTGATATGAAAAGATCTCTGGGAGATTCATTTTTTAAAAAATTCTTTTGTTGTATGCATATGCCACCTTTTTGCCAAAATACTCAAGATGGTTTACCATTTTGAAATACTAAAACAAATAAACATGATAAAAAGTAGTAACAATCCGCTTAGCCTTAGGCCAACTGGGAGCTGATGGCATAAGCTCCCCGGCCTGAGCCATGTACACCAGGAAGTGTTTATACTGTTCATGTTGTTGTGAGTAAATAGCCCAAACATCTTAAGAACATAAAACATTTTCCACTGTTGGCCATGTCCAAACAATCATACCTTGGCTTAATACACTAAACCATAAACAAGACTTTTGCTCCCCCACACAGCCCTTTGCAATACATGCATCAAGCCAGGAAGTCTCCCATTAGCCATTATTTCGTTTTTCATGCAAACTGGGCAACTATGGTTATCAGCTTTAGAACAAGCCAGGATATCAAACCAACTTCAAACTGCAGTTTTATATCCTGGCCTGTTCCAAAGCCAGTAACTACAGTGATTTTGTCCGTGTGAACAAAATGGTTAATTCATGGTTTATAAGAGGCTTCCTCATTTGATTGCTAATGCTACAAAAGGGCTTTATGTGTAGAAAAATGGCTTGTTTATGTATCTGGTTACTAAGTTGAAAAATGATTGTCTGAAACAGGCCACTATTTGCATTACACCTATCCCCAACATGATGCCACCTGGCACATACAGCTAGCTTTTGTAAATTCTTAAAAAGCATACTTTTTGAAACATTTAGAATGAGTTCAAGAAGGGTGTGATGTGTCAAGAAAACATGTGACACATTTAGCACTAACAGTATTTTAGCTGCTGCACATGACACAGACAAGCCACTTAACAGGATAATGCAGTAATAGAAATACAAAAAAAAGGCCTACAACAAAATGTTGCAGTATAGAGGGTTTCTGTTCAGGTTTCCAGCAGCATCCCATGTCCACTAAATACAACGTCCTCACTGAGTTTTTTGGGTTTTTTCTCCATTGAGTTTTTGTTCCTCCAAACCTGGTATGCACATTTGTGCCCAATCCGAGCTCTATTAAATTCTTAATTTTGCCATTGATGGCTATAGACAATTCTCTCTTCTATCCCTTTGGCATGTTAAAAATAGATTCTTGGTGTGAAAGTCTGATATTTTCCTGGGATAGTTTTGGTTCATGCTCTTTGGTGGTGCTGTGAGGTTGGGAATGGGTTGTATTTGGACTGATTAAGTTGATATAATTGATACTTTGCATGCATTAACAGAAAGACATTGCATATTAATAAGCAATTCATGAACATAACCACTTTGACTTCACTATACATACTAACAAATTTCAATTGTTTATATCAACCTACTTTAATAATTTCAATAATGTTTCATTTTGCTATACTATCCACAATGACAATACAGTGGTACCTCAGGTTACATACGCTTCAGGTTAAAGACTCCACTAACCCAGAAATAGTGCTTCAGGTTAAGAACTTTGCTTCAGGATGAGAACAGAAATCGGGCTCCGGCGGCGCAGCAGCAGCAGAAGGCCCCATTAGCTAAAGTGGTGCTTCAGGTTAAGAACAGTTTCAGGTTAAGTACAGACCTCCGGAACGAATTAAGTTCTTAACCCGAGGTACCACTGTATAGTGAGTAGCAGACAACTACATTTAGTCACGCAATATGCGTAACTGGGATTCTGGTTAATGTGAATTTAACACAGCTGCCCTAGTGGGCCAGAAACCCAGATTTAAAGAACTCTGTGCAGTTTTGTATCATTTGAGCTGTTTACATGCTGCATCTCTTCAAATGAACAACTATGTTAACTAGAATATAATCAGCGGTCAAAACTTTAATACCTTTATTTAGACTACTGATCACAATGTAGTATCCAGTTTATGTCAAAATTATTCCATACATTTCCTCCGTTGCTAACTCTTTCAGACTAATATTGCAAGGGAGGAAGATCTTGCAGATTTACCATACAATCAGTACAGTGGTGCCTCGCAAGACGAAATTAATCCGTTCCGCGAGTGTCTTCGTCTAGCGGTTTTTTCGTCTTGCGAAGCAACCCTATTAGCGGATTAGCGCTATTAGCGGTTTAGCGGTTATTAAAGGCTTATCGGCTTAGTGGCTTAGCTGCTAAAAAGCTATTAAAGGCTTAGCGGCTTAGAAAAAGGGGGGGGAGCGAGAAAAAAATCTCAAGACTCGCAAGACATTTTCGTCTTGCGAAGCAAGCCCATAGGGAAATTCGTCCTGCGAAGCAACTCAAAAGCGGAAAACCCTTTCGTCTAGCGGGTTTTCCGTCTTGCGAGGCAGTCGTCTTGCGGGGCACCACTGTATATATTTTACTTGGAAGGAAATCTTGCTATGTTCAGTGGAGCTTATTCCTAGTTATGTGTGCACAGGATTACAGACATAGCTGTAGTAGAACTCTATATGTGTTACACAGAGGACTATCAAGACACAGGCAATGATACTCCCTTGGAAAATAACAAAACCATATTAAACAGCATGTCTCAAAGTTTAAATGCATATTTCAGAAAAGCATAATACAGCCTTCTTGGAACTGAACCAGTTCTAGATGTCAACAGGATCACAGGTCTGAATGCTCTCCATGACAAAAGAACTCCCAATAACCCATAAGGAGAAGATTAGAACACTTCTCTAACTAGTCTGATACAGTAGTGACAGGACGTAACTATTTAAATATGAAAGCTCACATACCACAGCACTCAGAATTGGTATTCAGCAGTAGAGTACATGCTTCACATGCAGAAGGGTCCAGGTTCAGTATCTGGTATCTGCATGTAAGAGGATCAGGTGCTCACAGACATCTCTGCCTCATACCCTAGAACCACTGCCAACCAGAGAAGACCATACTATGCAAGATGAAGGCATAGTGGGGGGCAGTGGCCTCAGGTGCACATTTTTGAGGGGGCACAATGAGGCACCCCCACGGCAGGTACGGAGCCCTGGCAGTTGAGGGATAGCAGCAGATGGGTTGGTCTAGCGGCCAAGTCAATGGAGGGAGTGTGCAAGGAGCCTGTTGGAGGTGGGCTCTGTCCACCCTCCACATGAGCATAAGTTGCAGGCTTACTGTATTTCTCTTCTATGTATACACCAAAAGGAAAAGGAGCACCAATTTGTTGCCTGAGGATTTTTAACCCAGAATATAAGCACAACTGTACCTTAGGTTGGTGGAATCTTTACTGTCAAGTGTGGTCAACTTCCTTAGAGCTTCACATCAAGTATGCTCATGAGGTGCTCAGAATGCACCGGAACACTCAGTTCCCTGACTTGCTATCTGCAGATGTCAGAATAGCCTGATATAGAGACCACTAAAGTACAGCAGTGTGTACAGCTGATTCCATATAGATCTAGCTGCACTATATTATAGTAAAATGTTATCCATTTTGACAAACAAAATGTATTAACTTCAGAAAATAAGAACTAGGATTTATTTATTTACAAGTAAAATAATAGGCACTAAAATAGTTATTACTATCCTGATAACAAACTAAAAATAAAAGAGCACTCACACCCACAAAAATGAAATGGTTAATTTCATATATCACAGAAACCTAAATATTGTTCTAATATGAGACTAACATAGACCAATTCCATGAAAACATACTTCATGGCAAACTGAATTGAGGACATGCAGCCAGACAAGGTACAAATAAATGTGACGTCACCTCACCCTTTTATCAAGAAGCTCAGGATGTCAATGAACAGGATTGTTCCATTTTTCCTCAACAGCCATTCTGCAGGCACAGATTAGGCTGAAAGATGGTGACCATGAACCAATTGCCACCATCAGTTTCACGGCAGAGCAGCATTTAAAGTCAGGTGTCCCCAATCCATTTCAAAACTATATACTATGCTTGTTAAATATGCTCTGGATTCCTTTTTGGAACTACTTGCCACCTAATACAGAAGCCAGGGAACTAAGAGTTTGTTACTTTCTTTTTTAAAAAAGTAGAATGTACTGCACAAAAAAGCATTGTTTAATTACTGAGGGCAATACAAGCCTGCTGCCCAAACACTACCTTGTTGTCATTCACAATTATGATTGTACTGGATAGCATAGATATAGGGGACATATGAACATTTATACTTTTGTTTTTTAAAAAACTAGTACATCAGGCAAAGGCAACACTAATTAGAAGTATTTAAGTCTTCCTAACTTTAACACTGCTCACCATATATAGCATTGCTATCACTCTTCTAGGCATTAACTCATGACACTTACTTCCAGTAAGTGGCTACAACACCAGTTAGGTTTTACCAGAAGTGACAGCATACCCTCTAACGACCTCAGTTGACTCTTATGAAGAAAAAAGGTGGATGGTGTGTTAGTAGGGAAAAGAGAGCGTGAGGCAATTACTGCTACAGAGCCATCAAGAAATATTTCATGCAATTCAATTTGGCTCATATTAATGCACAACATCAGGAAATATTATTCCCAACTCATTTAAGATATTTAATGTTTTGAGTCCCTACCTAGACCTTTACGTTTGTTGTTCAGAGTGACATGAGGTGGTCAATTCCATCAGTTTGCCTAAGAGATGAACTGAAAGAAAGCAAGGGACCAGCTGAACCGGAGAGGAGCTTACATCCTAAAAAAACACCATGAAGGTCAAAATTTTATTTATTTTTTCATTCATACTTCAATTTTTTGGAAGTCCTGCCTAGTCTACTCTTTTTTTAAAACAATCGCGCGTGCACGCACGCACACACTGTATAAGAGAGAAGCCACAGTGGGCCTAACTGAATCTCCTTCGGTTTGCTTCACACTGACTGAGGGAAGAAGCCAAGATGCCTTCTCTATCCCTCCATGAGACTACGATTCCTTCGACTTCTTCGAAAAGCATCGTCCCACCAGAGGATTGAAATCCCAGCAGGTATTCAAAGGGGAGCCATTCCCCCTGCCCCGCTTTAACCACCTTCCCTCCCTCCACATCGCACTTCCCCTCCGACATCCCTCTCCTTTTTTCAGATGCAATGTACGCAAGGAGGCAGGGAGGGAAGTGCGGGGCAGAAGGAGCAAAGGTAGATCGCAGGATTTCCTGAGGATCTCCCCACAACTCCGACCCCCCCCCCGCGGGCATTCCTCCTCCAAGCATCCATCGCCAGAGCCCGGCTGGGGGAGGGGCGCGGATGCTGCGGCCCGCCCGGGCACCCGTCTCCCCGTCTCCCGCCCCGCCTCAGCCGCGCGCCCCGCCCCTTCCACCGAGGCCCGCGACAGGGCTCCACACGCACCGAAGCCGTTACCTCAGCGTCGCTGTCCTCCCCCGCCCCCCCTTAGGGGGGGAGCGCGGAGCGGGCGGCGCTTCTCAGCGGCGCGTGGGGCGGCGGGGATCCGCGTCGAGCCGGGGGCGGCTCCGCGGTGGTGGTGCCGAGGTTTCTCTCTCCATTCTCCCCTCACACACACACACACAGGAAATAACACAGGATCAGCTGACAGGACCCGGCCAATGGGGCGGCGGCGGAGCAGCGCGCGCAAAAGGGAGGAGCGCGAGACGGCGGCGGCGCAGGGCGGGAGGGCGGCGCACTGCGCGTGCTCGAACCCGCCCTCCGAGGCGCAGAGGGGAGCTGGGCAAGCGCCTTCTTCAACCACGCGCTCGTTTAAAGAGGCAGCGCCCGGGCGGAACAGAACTCTGTGCCTCTTGCCTAGGGATGAAGGCGGGCACCGGCTTAAGCCAGTAGTAGCCTAATGCACACCTTGACCATTAACTTCCGTGGGACTTCCAAGTAAATACAGTAGCCCAGCGCCTCCCTCCCCAAAAGGAGGAGGAATTACAGCAGCGCAGGCGATTCCTGCGTCTCCCCGATATTTAAGGCTGCCATCCCTCGCGCACACTTTCGCGGAAGCAAAACCCCGTGAACAAACTAGGGCTTACTCCAGAGTAAATACGGATAGGATCCGGCTGCAGTTATGCAAGCAGCAGCAACTGGTAACATTTTCTATCTCGCGCTTCAGCCGGAAATGCTGCTACCACAGTTTCCAGCCCCTATTGCTTCCCTTTCACTATATTATCTCCCCTTCCCACCCCCACTGGCCCGCCAAGGGATGGGGGGCTGTGAGCAGAATCATAACGGGTTCAGTCAGAGGCAACGGCTTGAGTTGTCCAGATCACGGCTGGCACCAAAGGGTGGCGAGGTCTGACCCGCCATCCCAACCCACTCATGGTTCTCCCATAGGTGGCACTCAAGAAAATTAGAATTTGGAGGCAGCCCAAAAGAGTTCTTCCTGCCTAGAACCCACTCTGTCTAAATTTATCGTCCCCTGTCTCTCACCAGCTGCTGCTGAAACACGAATGTTTACTCATTTTTTTAAAAAGCATTGAAATGCCTAAACAAACAGGCCCTTACCAATAATGTCAGGTTCCTAGCTGCACAGCAGTGGCAAGATCCCAGGGCAATGTGTCTCCTATTAAAGCAACACTGTGATAAGCAACACCCTGCTATGAAGCCATAAAAAAGGTAAGACAAATCCTCAATGCAGGCTCATTATTAATCCAGCTTTTCAACTTCCCCACTGGATACCACATACTTGATCTACTTAACCAAGTCCCTGCCATTCACTGATTCCCACCCCTCTTACTTCCAGGCGGTGAAGAAATTAATTCTGCAAGCAGATCGTTTTCCTGCTAGAAAAAGGGCTACTTTAAACCGAACTCTTCAGTCCTGCACTACAGCAGAGTACTATAGCAAGTACTGTAATGGAAGCTCCTTGGACCATAAACCACCCATTTTTCTCCCACCCCATGAATCTATTCAAAATTTGTCATTATGCTGCTTCCACAGTAGGCATATACTGCGGCATCACAAACCAACCACTTTTTTTTTTTTTTTTTTGCTTTCCTGTGCACTTTTCTTTTTTCCAAAGCTCAGAAAATCCATGTTTTTAAACTCTATGAAATAGCTGTGTTATTGCCTACCACATTGCTATTGTGGCTGGTTATGGCCTGTATATAGTGCCCTAAAGCAGAGGTTTTCAACCTTTTTGAGCCCACGGTTCCCTTGACCAACTACATTCTTTCTGTGGCACCCCTGTGGGGCTCAGGAGCCCAGTTATTGCACCCCTTGCCTGCAGAGCTGGTAGCCTCTCACCCTTTTTTGAACACCTTCCCTTGTGGAGTGTTCTCTTAGCCTCCTCTCTGCTCCCCCCTCTTTGGGGGTCCTCTGGGCAGCCATAGCTGCCACCCCGGTCTCTGAGCTGCCCCCTCCAAAGAGAGGTGCCTCCTCACACTGCCCCACAGGGGCCTGGGAAGCACCCCCTGGCCCAGCCCCAGAGGCACCATTCACCTGGGGAGCTTGTAGCCAGGGCTGCTGCAACAAATAGTTGTGGAGGGCTTTGGGGAGCAGAGATGCAAGAGGATATCAGAGGAGGGAAGGAAGGAAAGAGGGACAGAGGCCAGTGTTGCCTGCAGCACCCCTGACCATCATTCAAGGCTCTAGGTCTGTCTCTCCCCTCTAGGAATCAGCTCTTCATTTTAACCCTGCCTTTTCCAAATATAATTGCCCTAATTTCCATATCCCCTCTGCATTTCCAAATTGCAGAGAGGGGGACAAAAAGGGAGTATTCAATCCTTTCCCCATCCATAAACGTTCCAGTTAAAATACATACTGGGGCTGGGGAACAGAGTGTTAGAAGTCTGGAAGCAGAATTATTTGACTTTCATCTTAAAAGCAGAGCTTTTTTTGAGGTGAGTAAGCACACAGTTTACAGTACTACATACCAAACTATAGATAATACAATATATTTCATTATCCAGGCTCCTGTCCAGCTCACAATGACAGAGGCTCTTACTTGAGACGAAGGTGGAATCTACACACATATAAAAACTGTTCCGAAAATGATTTTTTAGTAAAGCGTTTTAAAAAAAATACATTGAATTTTCCATAAGGCTCACTATCACCACCTCGTATCACGCTGTATATTGCACTTAAAACGTTTTATTTGCAGCTGCATAGCTGAGTCCTAAGGAATAAATCTCTAAGGCAGAAAAGAGATTCAGGCTCAGCAACAGGTAATGAGTCCTAGCAGCTGCTGCGCACAGACTAGATGACAGGAAAGGTGAAGCCAGCCAGCCTAGAAGCAGTGGTCCATGTTTAAGGAGTCCCAAGACCAAGGCAATGAGCTGAGAACCACATGGAAGAATTGGAGCCCCGCCCCGCCCTACTTTTAAAGATGGGGCAAGGAGAGCTCATTCCAGAGACTCTTGTGATCTGCAAGCCGGGGAGGGGGGGGCAGGAGAAGAGTTTCATCACCAGGTCCTGGGAGACCAGGTTGTGCCTCCCTTTCAGCCTCCAGTTCCTCCCCCCACCCCAGCTGGCTCCTGCCCTCCACCTTGGATTCAATTACTGCACTCTTTTCCTCAGGAAGAAAAAGGGGAGATGAGAGCCCTGCTTCCTCAGCAAGGGCAGTCATATCCTGAGAGGGAGAAGTAGATGCTGCCTCTAGCCTCTGTTCCCCAGTCCCATCTCATTTTCCTGTTCATGCTCCTAGGTCTCTGCCGCCCACTCCACTCCTGAGCCCAACAATGCCTTGGGACTCACGGAACTCTAGATAAATTACTACATGAGCAATAGTAAATTCAACTTTAGGAAACTGCACAAATTCTCCTGGTAAGACAACACACTTCTGCATTGATTAACACTTTCTAGTACAGTACTAGTACAGTGGTATCTTGGGTCGGGTTACATACGCTTCAGGTTACAGACTCCGCTAACCCAGAAATAGTACCTTTGCTTCAGGATGAGAACAGAAATCGTGCTCCAGCGGCAAGGCGGCAGCAGGAGGCCCCATTAGCTAAAGTGGTACCTCAGGTTAAGAACAGTTTCAGGTTAAGAACGGACCTCCGGAACAAATTAAGTACTTAACCCGAGGTACCACTGTACATTTCTTCAAGTAACATGATTTCACTACAGCAGTTCAGGAGTCATATCCAGTTTGCGGAAGGCCCAACAGTGAAGCACAGCATATATAGATGGTTATCTATAGATGTTTTACAGAGTCACTTGAACAGGTTCCACCCTCATGAGCTTACTAACCATTGGATTTACTTAGGCTGCCTATACCAACCTACTACCTGGGAGTAAGCACCATTGAACTCAGGAGTTACCTCAAAGTAAGTATGTGTAAGATTACACTGTTAAAAGCAGTAACCAAAAAGTAATGATTCAACCTATTCTTTGAAACTAGTTTGCTCCCATATCCACTAACCACCTTGTCCAATCTACTTAAATCAACATCAGTACAGTGGTGCCTCGCAAGACGAAATTAATCCGTTCCGCAAGAGTCTTCGTCTAGCGGTTTTTTCGTCTTGCGAAGCAAGCCCATTGACGGATTAGCGCTAATAGCGCTATCAGCTGTTTAGCGGCTATTAAAGGCTTAAAGGCTTAGGGTATTAGCTGCTAAAAGGCTATTAAAGGCTATTAATGGCTTAGCAGATTAGATAAAGGGGGGGGAAAGCGATAAAAAAATCTCAAGACTCGCAAGGTATTTTCGTCTTGCGAAGCAAGCCCATAGGGGAATTCGTCCTGCGAAGCAACTTCAAAACGGAAAACCCTTTCGTCTAGCGGTTTTTCCGTCTTGCGAGGCATTCGTCTTGCGGGGCACCACTGTATGAGAATTCTATGTTACACCTTTGTTGGATAGGGTTGCAATTCCTACAAGTTGCTACAACATTGCCAATACACCCAAAATACTTTGCCTACAAACATAGATTTCATTTCAATATTCACTTTTACAAATTATTGTCCATCAACTAGTGGAAAAATCTTTTTACCTTTCATTTACCAATTTATTCCCCTTGTAATAGTTGCAGCCCAGGCTTCTGTAGATTTACTCATGCCAAATTCAATTGGACTTATTCTCACCCTGCATAGCAGTACAACTCCAGAATCCTCAAACAATTATGTTTAAGTGGTAGAGATGTCACATAATGTCAGCTTGAACAAAAGGAAAATCCACAGGAGGAGTTGAATGGAGAAGCATTCCCTTCTTCCAACAGATGCAAGAACAGTGAGAATTTTTTCACCCAAAATTTATAGCTTGCTGGCAAGGACTGTCCCCAGCACAGCAGAAGAGGCCAGAAAGTCAATAAATCTCCATTATCTGAATCATTAGAAGCATCCCTGGTTGGTAATATACAAAAATGCAACTGAGGATATCCCATTTTTTCACCTTGTCTTTTTTTATAAAAAAAAAAGTACACAGAACAAGTTTTACAGCTTGACTTATGCACACGTGTTATTTTGTACAATTTAAAACGATGTTAACTACCCAAAGTATAAGTGATAATGGTTATTCTGAATACTATTTTAGTTTTAGGGTATCTCCATTTGGGAGGGAGCAGGGAGAGAATATCATTTTAGAGAAGAAAAAAAACTTTAAGCTACCTTTTACTGTTTTTCTATTAGAGCACTGATATGCTTAAATAACTACCTAAAAGGAAATTAACAACAGAACCTCTGTCTTTACACCTGGTAGGATGGATTCCAGAAGGCTAGGTTGCCTTCTGTAATTCATGTGACTGAATGCCTGGTTTATGACACACAGTTTCATCAAATCCTAGAACATCACCAAATAGCGGAATCCAGAGAATTTAAATTCACCTTGCAAATAACTTAGCCTTAATATATACGGTATTACTCCAATAAACCTTGCACCCTACTTTTAGAACATGCTACATAATAAGCTTCTAAATTTCTAAAGCTTCTATGCCATTTTTACAGAATGGTAACCCCTTCTTTTAAGAGCTATTATTCTTTAGAGACTCATAGCAGCTGAGCAGTGAGTATCTTAAATCATGCCAGAACTGAACATCACAAATGCAATATCCAAATGACCCATATTTGAAGGACAAGATCATCCTCAGCTATACTAAATAGTTTTGTACAAGCTATTTTGTACCCACAGTTCAACAACACCTACAATAACTCATTGAAGTTAACCTGATATTCATAATAAGGACAACCCTACTTAGAGTACTACTGTATTCCCATGATAAATAAATGATAGATTATATTAATATAAAAGCTTATCACAGCTACGAAACAAAAGCAAAGTTAATATTTGGGAAAAAAATGTTAGTAGAAGCTTAGCAAAAAAAGGAAAAAACCACAAATCCTAGTTTTAGACCAGAGACAGCCATGACAGTCCCAGCCCTTTAGATGCACTGAAAGAACATTGGATGTTAGTAATTACTCCTTTTATAAGTAAGGAAGGTGGCTTGGTCCTGCAGCTCAAATGCTTTTATCTTCTGGATGAGGCATCACACTCAGCTGGATCTCATATCATTCTTCCATTGCAATCTCTGTGAGTGAATGAAAACAGCTGGGGACCATCTTGGAGCAAGATTTAACTCTTTCATTTAACCCAGAGTGCATACTGTGGGATAAATATCAGCCTCATATAACCTGTAAGGTTAGCTCTAGTTGATATGTGAAGGGGTTAAGACCATAGAGTAAGCTGTTCTGCCAGACCCAACTAGGCCATATCCCCTCACCTTGAGAGGAAGTGTTAACAAGGCCTTTGCTTACTTCCACCATGTGAATCCAACCAGAAAGAACATCTGGGCTGATTGCGCCAAGCCCAGAGCAAGCCAACTTTGTGTTTCTCTACAAATAATTTAGAAACATATACCAATTTTGAAATGAAGTATTGCTGCCTGTCGTTTCTTGCTACTTTATGGAAAAGCACATGAATCTGATTTTTTAATGAGTTCATTAAGTAAACCATTTTTAACTTTGCACAAGTGTGTGGCCTATTTCTATGCTAAAGGGGAAGTAAAGGGGAACTTTGGGAGAAACTTAGAAAGGGGTATTTCAAAGGTATAACAGCCTATTATTTCCCTGCTTTACCTTACTGCACGTTTTGTGATTTTTAAATCTCTGCCGATGATGCTCTCTCACCAAGAGAGTATTTGCTCCAAACCTGGAACTCTGAACTCATATATTAGGGATGGTTAACCCTTTTCTGCTCAAGGACTGCATGATCTCATGGGCAACCTTCTGGGGGCAGCATGCTAGTGGTTGGTGGGGGCCAGAAGTAACAGCGGGTGGAGAAAGAGACGTGACTGTTCCCTTTGTACAGTCGGCGACATTCTAGCCAATCAAAAGTCCTGGGTTTCTGCACGCTCGCACACACCCCATTCTCCACCAAGACAAGCAAGAGGCATTACTGCAACCATACCAAATAAAACAGCACTTGAAGCCTAGGGAGGAAGCATGTCTGGAGAGTCCCAAGAGCTGGACAGAGAAGTCACAGTTTGCCTCTAGGCCTCTGGTTCCCCACCCGTCATATATCAAGGTATGTAGCTACATCAATTTGTCATCATGTCCACAGAATTTAAAACACTAAAATGGAAACTTGGTGGTGGGTAAAAAATGCCCTGAGGAAGGACATAATGCATCTTTGCAGAATCCTTGCAGAAGCTCTCCTTTAAGACTCCAGATACACTCATCCAGAATCTGAACTCTACTGCTGTGACTGAGGCTATAAAAACAAGACATCCCACAGTGTTATGGGAGGGAGGGAATTTCCAAAAAAAACCTCCACCCCATTACGAATGCTCAGACACCCAAGGCCACGTCGTATCTCTTCCTCATTAATCTGGAAAAAATACACTGACCAAATAAACCTATTTTACTCCACAGGCGACAGGAGTGTCTCCTACAGACAAAACAGAATAAAGACTGTGGGTTGCACAAAGGGAGGATGCTGTTCATCACAACTCCCTAAAATGCAGATAAGCTCCCATGTTGCATTGCTGAAAGCAACAGAAAGCACAATCAGCTTTGCTGGCAAACACTATATACTGCATTCCAATTATCAATACTGCTGCTAAACCCTCATGGCCCATTCTTCCAGACAAGTTTCGAGTAGAGATGAGCAGATTTCTCACTTCCCCTGTGTTATTGCTGTGCCAATCTGATATCCCTTGGGTTCTGCTTCACTTGTCTTCCAGTAGGAATTCCAGATTTCGAAATGCCAGTAACAGATTATGCACATTCACCCTCTGCTATGATAAAGAAAGCTTCCTGTGAGAGTGCAATTGTAATTATGCAGAAAAGGAAAGTATTAAAATCCTATGTTTTTGAAACGGGATCCTGTAGGAATGCCATTTATTAATTTTAAAATGACCCTGGAAGCAGCAATTTGTTCCTGTGAGATCTCCAACACTTGGGGGGGGGGGGTTTGACTGGTTTTCACATGTTTATCTCTTCATCCTATTGAACAATAGGAAGAACAAACTGTTGGCAGTTAAATTAAATTGATTAATAAATAAACAAACAAAATGGCCCCATCATTCATCAGACACCTATCTGCTCCTGAGGCTCAAAAGAATTCTGCTATATCAAACCAGAAAATCATCCAGACCAGCTTTTGTTTCAATAGTAGCAAACCAGACACCTCTGGGAAGCCCGCAATCAAGACACGAGTGCAACAGCACTCTCCTGTTCATGTTTCCCAGCAACGGGTATTCGGAGGCATAGCGTCTTGACATCGGAGGTAATACATAATAATTGGCAGAAAAAATGATGGTGGACAAGGCTGATGCCCTTTTAAAACCTTCCAGAATCTTGTGGTAGTGAATTCCATAGCTCAACTATTCAAACAACTACTTTGGCTGTGTCCACACTGGGTCATTAAAGTGTGCATGGGCGGTGTTTCCATGAGCACTTCCAATGTTATGCTTCCAAAACCTTTATCAATGTCTTCCATCCACACTTGTGGGCAGCAGTTGATGGTACATTTTGCCAGAAACATGAGAACAACTGTGGGCATATGCAGGACTACAGTGGTACCTCGGGTTACAGACACTTCAGGTTACAGACGCTTCAGGTTACAGACTCCGCTAACCCAGAAATAGTACCTCGGGTTAAGAACTTTGCTTCAGGATGAGAACAGAAATTGTGCTGCGGTGGTGCAGCAGCAGCTGGAGGCCCCATTAGCTAAAGTGGTGCTTTAGGTTAAGAACAGTTTCAGGTTATGATCAGACCTCCAGAACAAATTAAGTTCTTAACCCGAGGTACCACTGTATTTGTTTACCTGTGCACACTTCCCTTTTTTGTTTTTTTTGTTTTGAAACACAAGTTTTTTGATCCACCAGATTTGCATAAAAGAAGTTTTTTAAAAATTAAATATACAGTATATGCATCACTTGACGCCGGACAAGGATTTGGAATTGCTTGGATAAAATGTTGCCAATATAAAAACCCTGTTATTTTAATACAGCTGTTTTATTCAAGAGCAGTTCTGTGCAAAAGAGCTGCTTTAAAAATAAAAATACCGAGAACAATACTTTCAGCAACATTCACTGGAAAAAGGCAGGCAGCATCCCTTTCTTCAGGAAAAAAAAGGAAGTAGAGGTGATGACAATGGAAAGCACCCTGTGTAACATCACCAAAAAAAAAATCAGGACCCACACACAGAATGTACTTCATTATGTCTAGTCAGGTAACATGTAATTTTATTTTATATTTTCTTCCCTTATTGGATTAACCACAGATTAGGAAAATCTGAGTTTAGCCGGGGGAAAGTGCGAGCTGCCACTTGGATGAGGATGTTGTGTGGACACAAGCACCTTCAAATCCACATTAGACAAGTCCTTCCTTTTGTATATCCACCTGTAATACATCTTTCCTTACTCGCCTTTTTTTCTAAACTAAAAGGTGTTGTGACCTTTTCTGATAGGGGAGTTGCTCCAATCCAATTTTGGTTGCCCCTTTTCTGGTCTGTAGTTAGGAAGTTGGCTTTGTGGAGTGGGAGATCTGGGTTCAAATTCTGCTCCTCCTTTGCATCTAAAAACATTGTTACTGAAAGAACACCCAAAAGAAAACTTTGACTTGTATCTCCCTGTAGCTGGGCATGAACCAACACCACCTTTCCCAATGAAAAAGTATTTTGTTCCTCTCATACACACAAAAATACAACTGTGTTGAGAGGAGTGTTCTAGGGCTAGCACATTATTCCCACAGCAAGGCTTGAGCACTTCTCCTGGAAAACCCAAGAGGTCTTCATGTATGCTTCCTCCAAACAATGGAACGTAGGAATCTATCTTCTACCAAATCAGACTATTGGTCTATCTAACCAGTATCGTCTACACTGAAACATAGAGGCTTTGCAGGGTTTCAGAAATGGGACATTATTATCCCAGGAGCGCATGTCATTTTAGGGCATGAAACTTTCTTCAGTGAGGGGTGTTAAAAATATGTTTTTTTAGTGTAAATAATTCAAATCTGCTATTATTTGTAACATTTAGCTTGGAAAATCTACATTTGATTAAAAAACAAATAAACTGCCCTCGGAAAACCAAAGAAATTTAATTTTACCTTCTGAAAATGTCAGGTAATGCTTAATAATAATAAATATAAATGCAAGTACTTGACAATCATATTTAATGATTTCTATGCAATGTTACACATATTTTACTCACCTAGCAAAATAAAATTATATTAATTTAACCAAAGTATGTTATAACTTTTTAGCACCCCTCATTTTTGGAATTTGAAAGTCCTCCTTGGAGATTGAACCTGGAAACTTCTGCGTGCAAAGCAGACATTCTACCCAGTGCTATTTTTCTAGAAAAAGAGGTGCTGGAACCACGAACACCTCCCTCAGAACGGCAATGATTCCCACCTGAGAGGTACCAGAACTGAGTTCCAGTGAGTTCTGGCTGAAAAAAGCCATGGTTCTACCCAAGCTATGCTCTTTCCACCAATGGGCTGAGTGTTGTAATTGTAACAATAGTCCTGACTTCCTTCTCTTGCTCTGTTTACTTTGCAGAAAAGCATTTCAGTGTCTGATGTACTGAGGAATGTGCTATGGTCTTTTCCTGGGCACTTTTGTGTGTTGGGGGCATGTGCATTACAAGTACATAGAATCTTACGAGTTGGAAGAGACCCAAGGGTCATCTAGTCCAGCCCCCTGCAATGCAGGAATCTCAGCTAAAGCCTCCATGACAGATGGCCATTCAACCTCTGCTTAAAAACCTCTCCAAGGAAGGAGAGTCCACCACCTCTCATGGGAGTCTGTTCCACTGCTGTCAGAAAGTTTTTCCAAATGTTTAGTCTAGGGTTACCAGACATCCCCATTTCCTGGGGACAGTCCCCGTATTTGTGAATAAGTCCCTGGATAAATTCCATCCCCGAAATGTCCCCGGATTTCATCTAATGTCCCTGGGAAAGGCAGTAGCGACAGTCTCAGCAGCCCGGAGCAGTTGGCTCTGGATGGCTTCAGGAGCTGCTCAGAAGCCCCCATATGATGGTGGTGCAGGGGCTCTAAGATGCAGCTTCCAGGCTGCCTCCACCTTCCCTGACCTCAGCAACTAAGCTGTGAAGGGAGGCTTCACGCTGCCTATCGAAGCTTGTGTGCAAGCAGGAGGGGGCAGGGATCTGTCAGTTAGGCAACGGGACGCCTCCCTTCCAAGCTGAGGGATCCCTGCCCCCTCCTGCTTGAACACAAGTAGGAGCTGGGATGGGGCTGCTCCAAAAGGCAGGGTGAAGCCTTCCTTCCCAGCTGAGGGATCCCCGCCCCCTCCTGCTTGCACGCAAGTAGGAATGGGATTTGGGCTGCTCCCATGGGAAGGGAGGCATCACGCTGCCTGAGCCTTGCCGTCGCCGCTCTCGGCCCTCCTTCTCCGCCTTCCATGCCTGACCCACCACGCACCGCTTCCCCACCACCACTGAAGAACCAACAACTCAGGGGCTGCCCAGGCTCATAGAAAAAGAAGACAGAAGCCTTGGAGGAAGGGGAAACATGGCGGTTGAGGTCAAAGCGGTGACGGCCCTCTGCCACCGCCATTGCTGCAGCATCAACGTTCCGAACATGTAGTATGTATGTATTTATAGTGTCCCCAGATTCATTGAAAAAAATCTGGTAACCTTAGTTTAGTTGGAATCTCCTTTCTTGTAACTTGAAGCCATTGCCTTGAGTCCTACCCTCAAGAGCAGGAGAAAACAAGCATGTTCCCTCTTCCATGTGACAGCCCTTAAGATACTTGAAGATAGCTATCATACAGTGGTGCCTCGCAAGACGAAATTAATTCGTTCCACGAGTTTTGTCATCTTGCGATTTTTTTCGTCTTGCGAAGCACGGTGTCGGGAAAGTTTTGGAAAAGCTTCAAAAATCACCAAAGTCTTAAAAAACCTCAAAAAAGGCTACCACACCGCGTTCTATGAGTTGCTCCTCGAAGTCAAGTCGCAACTGTATTAACGGTGTTAAGAAAAAGGAAACAAACTTGCAAGACGTTTCCATCTTGCGAAGCAAGCCCATAGCGAAAATCGTCTTGCGAAGCAGCTCAAAAAACAAAAAACCCTTTCGTCTAGCGAGTTTTTTGTCTTGCGAGGCCTTCGTCTTGAGAGGTACCACTGTATATCCTCTTCTCTAGGCAGGTGATGGTGTGAAGTCATTCAGTAATAACTATAAAGTCGTACTTTGGAAGTCGAACAGAATCCGTTCCGGAAGTCCTTTCGACTTCCAAAACATTCGGAAATCAAAGTGTGACTTCTGATTGGCTGCAGGAAGCTTCTGTAGCCAATCGGAAGCCTTGGGAGCCACGTGGAACATTCAGGTTCCAAAGAACGTTCACAAACTGGAACACTTCTGGGTTTGCGGCATTCGGGAGCCAAAACGTCCGAGTACCAAAGCGTCCGGGATCCAAGGTATGACTGTACATTGATGCCTTTCCTGCATGGCAATTGTGACAGTGCCATCAGCCTGCCACCTCATGACTGAACAATAGAATTCATGGGGCATTGTAGAAGTGTCTGTTGGTGTCGTTACATCTGCAGCTATCTTCCGCAGTGCTTCTTTGTTCCTGCACATGCAGATGATCGCAACTACATTAGTATCCGAAGCTGTCCCCTTTACCTCTAGAAGGCATCCTTGTCTCGAGTCCAAAATATGAGGACACATTGTGGGATGTAGGGGAGATAGAGAAATCACTGAAAATCGCCTCCCTCCCCTTTCCACTAATTGATGCCTTCTGTCAGCAGAGACAGCACTGAATATCACCCTATGTCATTATTAGCTCTGATATAGTTGCCACCAGTATTGTAGGAATATAGGCTCACCCTGTAATTCAGGCAACTTTTAGCTGACTGACAATCAAACATCAAAGTGAATTTGTGAGACTATGCTCCCTATGTCCTTTCAAGAAACATTAACTTGTTATTTTCACTTAAGTCACACAAGGAACGGTCCAAGCCACAGGTCCATGTAGTTCACCACAGAGTTTGAGGGGATGTAGTAGGCAATCTTCTAGTCCAACTTTATGCTCAGTGCAGGAAGTTCAGTGCTAGGACATTGCCAGCAGATGGTTGGTCAAGTCACTACTCTGTAAAAAGACCTCAAGCAATGGAGAGCCTAAGACTCCTCGAAGTAATAAGTAATTCCACTGTCCAATTGTTCTGTTTGCAAAGCAGGTTTCTTCTAGAGTGCAACCAATATCTGCCCTCTTGCAACTTATGCCCAATAAAACTGTTCACCCTTTATATATACCCAAAAATTCACCGTGCTCTGCAAGAGAGGCCTGCTGCAGAAACCATCTTATCCAGAGGTCAATTCCATACAATATAGGCATCGGGACTTCAGTATGGTGGCAGCTACCCTTTGGAATCCTCTTCTGCTACATATCAGACAGGCACAATCTCTGTTGTCTTTTCAGCAACTATTGAAGACCTTCCTCTTCCAATAAGCCTTTTCAGTGGTGATCTTTAGCCTTGTCTGCATCTGTATTGGAACTATTTTTATCATAAGGAATTGTTTTTAAATATTTGTAACTTTTTATAATAGGAGGTGTTTTAAATATGGGACTGTTTTTAATTGTGTTTATACTATTCTTGTTTTGCGGTTGTAATTGTTTTATTTGTTTTATAATTGTGCATTTTTTGGTTGGGACCTGCCCTTGGACCATGCAGTGAAGAGTGGATAAGGAATCCAATAAACAAGCAAGCAAGCAAGCAAACAAACAAACATGACAAGTTTAGAATTTTTAGGTTGTGGAATGTAGAAATGTAGTACAGGCAGTGACCATATTTACGCATGTCCAGTTGACGTGTGACCGCGCACATGCCCATCACCACTGATGTAGTAGTGTCCAGGAAATGGAGTGGAGGCAGAACGGGTTTAAGCATGCTCCTCTGACACGCATAGGGGCCAAAAACGCAATCCCCGCACAAACGGGAAGTTGCTTGTTTGTAGGAACAGTGAACTCTGCAATCGGCATGGAAGAAGATTAATAAATTTGAATAGGGAGCAGCGAAGAAGAGACAAAGAGGCATATTTACAACTTGTGTGCAAAAGGGAGGATTATTATACAATGATTTGACAAAACTGCATTCACCCCCTTATATCACCAGGCAAGTGGACATTAAAGAGCTTGAGCTCTTCTCCCCTTCAGACACCTGATCTCAAATCTCAGCTTAACAACCACTGGAAATTCATTTTCAGTCAAGCCCAGGGTCACTAGGGATGAGTCTTGAGAATCTGTTCTGAATGGCAGGCCTCAGCCTGGAAATCTGTAATGCAAGAATAAAGTACATCTGATCAGATAGATAGGGCTTCCATTGGTTACATTTTTATGAGTCGTGACTGGTCCCATTAGGGCTAATGGGGCACAGCCTCATCAGCCGTCCTCAGGCAGCCCTCACGAACCTGGCTTCCTACTTACAATCAGTCCAGGAAGTGGCCTGGCTGACAGCTTCCTCCTCCTTAGTCTCAGCTTGGCCCTGTACAACTCAGCAGGGAAGAGGACAGGGCAAAACTAGAATGGCTCTGGCGCTACCTACTGTCAGCCTCCACGCCTTCTGGCCTACCAGTCCAGAAGAGCACTGGCCTCTGCTGCAGATATGTGTTCCAGCCTCACAATAACCTTGCAACAGGGGTTGCACTCAGACAGGGGTGCCAACTTGAATAAAATATTGGGAGGGCCCAGGTAAGCCCCACCCTGCATAGTCCATCACAAGAGGCAGTGAACACACATCATTTGAATGCCAATGCCTACCTTCTCAGCTGACCCAGGATCTGAACTTGAGTAACAATCACTTTTAACCATTACTCCACATACACCTGACAATGTAGGCACCGGCCCATAAAAAACCACAACACATTTGTTAGCCTTGACAGGTGCCCAAAATGTCTCTGTTCTTTTCATTGCTCACTATGGTTCTTCCCAGTGTTTCCATGCTGAGCACAAAAGCCAGGCGCAGGCTTCGGAGGCTGCTTCCAGGCAGGTCTGGGAGCCGGCAAGGCACCAGATTTGGAACATTTCTATCTAGGCAAATAGGTTGCGGGATGAATGACACACATTTGCCCTCAGAAATCAGGCCAGTAATGGCAGAGGTGTCTTTCTGCATCAGACTCTGTTCAAGTAGACTGCAGAGGTGCTCCAGGATTAAAGCAGCTGGCAATCTGGACTGAGAAACGGGCATCCTGGAGGTTCTGCCATTTGTCCCGCAAAGATTCGTGCACCTCTCCCCACAGGCACCCCCACCTCCCGCCTCCTCCATTGGGGCGCAAGAATAAAAGGGGCAGAGTGAATGACTCCTGACCTACACATCAGGATAGGCAAAGCATCGTGGCAGATCTGTGTGAGGCAAGGTAGCCCCCTGCCTCCAGCCCTTCATTTTAAAGACAGATCTCCCCCACCCACCCTCCGCCGCCCGCAATCTTTTGTCAGCAAGCCTCTCGGCGGACGTGATTGAGAGCGCAAGGTCCTCTCCAAAAGGACCCCCTTTCTCTGCAGAGGGCCTTTGAAGTCCTCCCCCTCCCCTGGAGTGTGCATTTAACAAGCAGGGAGCGAGGACACAATGTCACACACATCCTTCCAGTGTCGTGCTCTCCTCCCCGCTCCCCCCCCCACCCCGATCCTTCCTCTGCCAGACGCACACGCGCTAACACAAAATGACGGCTTCCTCGGCAGCCGGAGCCAGCAAAGCATTCTCTCCCCCGAACTCGGTGGGAGCGCAGGGCTCAGGGCAAGCAGCCCTGAGACCGATCCTATTTCCCTGAACCCCCCACCCCACCCAAAAATCCCCCACCTAAAGACAAACGGCATAGAAAACGTCGCTAGAGAGACGAGGGAGGGAGGGGCGGCTCCAGCAAACCTCCCCCACCCCCACTCCCGATCGTGGGGCACTGCGTGGCGGCTGCATCCGCATTGCTATTGTGATGTCGTCAGTGGAAAAGATGGAGAGATTTCTTCTCGCCCACACGCACGCAGGCGCCTGGGCGAATGTGACCCCGAGGCCCGGCACCTCGCTCCCTTCCCGGGTGCCTGCGCCACATTTTGCTCCCGGGCTGCTTCGGATCAAAGGCCCCCGCGCCCGCCCCCGGGAACCTGCGAAAAAAGAGGGGGGAGGAGGGGGGCGCACGGTCGCCGCCGCCGCCGCCACCTAAGAGACGCGCGAACCCAATAACCCATTTCTGTCACCTCTGCAACGCCGCAAGACAGACTGCTGCAGCGAGCAGCCAGGGCCTTTGCGAGCGGCCAAGCCGGAGGCTCGCGGCGGCCAGCCCACTAGGACGGCAGCTGCGCGCCTCTGAGAAATGGGCAGAAGCTGCTCGCCTGCCCCTCGCTTGCCATCGCTCCCCGCCTCCCTCCCCGCATGCACAGACCCAGACACCGCCGCCGCCGCCGAATGCACCGCACAGCCGAAGCGTCACTGGGTGGCTCGCACAGAACACACAGCCCCACGCCACACACACACACACACACACACACACACACACACACAGCCCAGCGCGTGTGGTCTGCAAGATCTGGCCTCTCCGGGCCAATGGGAACTTTCAAGAAGAAGAACGCAGACATGGAGCCAAAGCTACTGTACCTGCTTTCAGGCATCATTCTCGGCTCTTTTTTTTCCTCCTGCTGCTTCTCCCCACCCCCTTCCGATTTATCTCAGCTACTGGTTTTATAACGGGGAGGGGGAGAGGGATGGGAAGAGGTGGGGGCTTTCATTTCCCCCCCTCCCCTCTTCTTCAAGCCCCGTCTGCACCTTCTGTTTGAGCCTGCAAGTGAAGTCACAAGGCTGACTCTGTGACATCACATGGAGTCTACAAACACTGGATTGTGACTTCACTGCAGGATGGAGCGCGGAGGATTAAAAAAAAATAAAAAGGGGGAGGGGAGGGGGGAAAGGCTCTTATTCAAACACATATCTGCAAGAGTAACAAAGGGATCACAGTGAGAAGGACTACCAGAGGGAATACCATATACATATATATATACTGGTACCTACACATAAATAAATACACACACTATTTTGTGTCTAATAAAATAATAATTCAAGATGGATTGAGAAAATAATGGGGAAGAAGCAGCCCCTCTCCCCTGCCGTAAGTAAGTAAAATATTATTATTTTCTGCGCACAAGCACTTCCCCTTCAAAGAGTGTGGACACAACCATCCCAAAATCAGTTTGGTGGCCAAGATCAAGTGTGCATTGTGGATAGGAAGGACTGAGGACAGGGAAGCTTGGGGGGGGGGGGTTTGTCACTGGAAGAAATAAAAACAGCAGAACATGCTTAGCAGTTTAGAATTGGTTGCACTGGCAGAGCTCAGAAGATGTAACCTGAATAGAATTCAGCCAATACCAAATTTGATTACATGAAGGTCAAAGGTGCAATAAAGTCAATCTGCTTATTTCACTTGAAGGACCCACAGACAGAAATTCACAGCCACACGCTGGAACCGCTGCCTATCTCTCACTGTGAGAGAGCCTAGGACTAGAAAGGCCACGAGGGGCACTTGTCCTCATGTCTACCTAACTCAACAGGAGGCAGAAGGGCTTAGCCAAGGATAGAAAAGAGCAAGCAGCTTCAGTATACTACACTATTTACTACTAAGTGACATTCTCGCATTGGCTAGCAACCAAGTGGGCAATGATATTAGCAGGAAAACAGAGGCAGGAATATCTTCCAGGGCTGTATAATGATTCTGTACAGAAAAGGGTTATAACCACCCAGACTAGGGGGCAGGGTATGTTTAGGAAGAATAATTAGCATCTTTTGAATTTTTAGGACAAAAAAGAGGAGTGTTACAGTTATCCTTTTCAAGGCAAGAGTCAGATCTGCAGACTCAATGCTTGTTCAAGAGTGGTCCAAATCAGGTTCCTCCTCTCTCCTTTTCAGACATTAAACCAGCATCAAAACCAAACTTCCAATAATTAAGAGGCCACCAGGGATACTTATTTATTTCGTGAAAGAAGAAGGTAGGGAGGAAAACAACAAGACTAACAAATAAGGACAAGGAAGTGGCAAAGGGTGGGGGGAAACAATAAACAAGAACACCCTAACAAAACAACTGTAACAAGAGTAAACAAGAAGCCCAAACAGGACATTTTTCCTGCAGAGAAAAATATCAAACCGACCAGAGGCAGAACACATCTGGAGAGCCAATGATAGGATGGCTTCTCCTTCTCCTTGCTTGCACACCACAAAAGCAGCCCCTTACCCCCACAGATATTTCCCCACGGAAGGCAGTGAGAGTGGAGCTTGGATAGAGCCATGAGGCAGAGATGGATGTAGGCAGAAAGAAAAAGACTGGGACGGATCTGCAGCTTCTCCCTGCAGCTGCCTCTGGAAGCAGCAGTGGGGTGGTGCCACTCTGTACTCTGCCCTCCTTGCCACAATCCCTGTGTGCCTGCCTATGTATATGCAGTACAGAGGTACCTCGGGTTAAGTACTTAATGCGTTCCAGAGGTCCGTTCTTAACCTGAAACTGTTCTTAACCTGAAGCACCACTTTAGCTAATGGGCCTCCTGCTGTCGCTGCACCACCAGAGCACGATTTCTGCTCTCATCCTGAAGCAAAGTTCTTAACCCGAGGTAATATTTCTGGGTTAGCGGAGTCTGTACCCTGAAGCGTATGTAACCTGAAGCGTATGTAACCCGAGGTACCACCGTACCAAGAAATTCCCTGGGCCACAGATACATGCAGAGTGCCTGCTAACATCTCAAGATGTTGCATATATAAAAGCTTGCCTACTCCAAAAGACACTGGCTATATTAAACAGAAATCTATATATAATATATATTTCGGTCAATAACCGGTAGAGAACAGAAATCTCATTTCATGTGGCAACCCTGGCACCACCCACTGGTGAAATGGAAAGAGTGTGTCACAAGAAAAAAACACAGGCACAGGAGGTACTATTTTTATTTTGTAGTATTATTGCAGAGTTAAAGTGAAGGATAATATTCAACATTACCTAAGTCATTGACAGTGGGCCATTTTCAACTAACTCATTGCCCTGGAACATGCCAGCACAAGGACTCCTACTAGCACAATGGGATTTCCCCCTTCTCTTCCTCCCTCGTGCACCCCACACCCTCCCCAAATCTGCTCTGGTGGGTCAGGAGAACCCCCAGAACAGCATGTGGGGAGAGGAGAAGAAAGACTGTTCCGCTGGATGAGCAGGAATGTTTGCACTGACAGAATGATCCCTTTAGCCCACGTTGAAGACAACCCCATTTCTGTTAATTTTTTTCGAAATCTTGTCATTTTTACTGTCTCTTTATCAGATTATGTTGAATATCATCTGAGGTTGGTTTGCATGTTTTAAGGTGCATGTTTTCTCTGGGATGCCACTGTGGCATTCAAGCCCCTCCAAAGACTTGAAGAAACCAAACCTACCTCTCACCTAAGTACATTGTTACAATGGCACTAGAAAGATTGAATCTGTGAATACAAATGCTATACACAACTCAGGAAAGTACTATTTGAATTTGAATTTTAGTCATTAGAAATGTAGCTATTTCATTATGGTCATTATACGGTAATTCATTTTCCATTGTAAGCAATTTGTATTTTATCGTTCATGTGAACTGCCCAGAGAACGTGGCTGGACGCATGGTAGACAAATGCAATAAATAAATAATGTCAGAAATGTGCATTACTGTTCTGTGACCACAATTTATGTTCTATGGAAGAACATGGCATCCAGAATCTTCTCTCAGTAGCAGGTACTAGAGATCATTTTCTTTCTTTTTCCTAAGTGTCCCCCCCCCCCATTTTGTCTCATTTTTATGTAATAAAGTAAGTTTGTATATGCACATGTTGGGATGCAGGAAGGTGAATCTAATTCTGAAGAGAAACATTGCAGACCTGCAACTGTTGTTCTTCTGGTGCTCATCTTTATATTCATTCATATGGCACAGAAGCTAAATGTGGGATTTCAGAGAGATCACAGATGAAATAGAACTATATTTTCCTGAAGAACTCAGTTCTTTTAAAAGAAGATCCCTCCCCCAGGACTTCCGGGGTGGCGCCATCGGCAATGGCGGACTCCCTCTGATCTGGAGGGACTAGCTCCGCACGAAACGGGTCTTTTCCGCTACGGCGAAGCGGGGACCCTTTCAAAAATCACAGGCGGATGAAGCCTGTGACCATGGGACTCGGCGGGCACCCTTAGCGCCCCCCCCCACCCCGCAAAGGAACCCACTAACAGGCTCCAAAGCGAAGAGGGGGAAGTGGCGCGGTGCTGAGAGTCAACTGCTTTTTCCGTGGAGCGAAGCTGCATAGCCGTTGCCGGAGAGCGCTGCCTTTTTCCTGGGACAATTTGGCTTCTAAAATAATCACCCGTGAGTACTTAAATTTCGGACAATTGGACTTTAAATAAGGACTTGCGAGCAGAAAGGAATTGGACTTAAAAATTTACTTTAATTTGGCACTGAAACGGGAAGGTCTAAACAGGAAGTCAGCCTTCCGTTTCTTTGTAGATAGATTAAAGCAAAGACATGGCAAACTAGAGCTCAGAAAATCGCCTGTAAAAGATTAACTTTCATCATTTAAAATTGTTGAACCCCCTTCGGAAGCAGGAGAAGAGGGGGGATTTTTCGGACTGTTTAAACCTGCAGAAGTGAGGGTAAAGTAAAGTAACTTTCCACCGTCCTGATCCTGGAGCGGGGTGTTAGGACTGACGTTTTTTGAAGCTCATTGACCAGAGACAACGTTTTTGACAGATAGCTATAAGAAGAGAAACATTGATTCCACTGTTCCCCTTCGCTTTTTAAAGGAACAAATATTGACAAAATATCTGAAAAAGGAAACTTTGTTGCTAGACTTGGTCTTTAAAAGAAAGAACAAATAGAAGTTTTTCCCCTAGAGGGAGACTGTGAAACTGTAACCAACTCCGGGGAGCTTGCAGCTGTTACAGATTACAATCGTGGGAATAGATTTCTGACCTTGCAGGACAATGTATTCAGAAGCTCTGTTGTGTGCTTTCTATAAAACAAATGCCCTACTGGAACAGTTACATGAGAAGACGGATTTGATGACTGATTCGATCAGAAATTTTAAACAGGCAGTGGGAAATTTTGAACAGGCAGTGGGAAATTTTGAACAGGAAGTGGGAAAATATATGGCGCCCACCCAGGAATTAAATCAGGAGTGTGCCCTGACAGAACAGATGAGGGAAGAGGATGTTGCTGAATCTTAGGCGCCAGAGATGGAGGGAGCTGTGGCCCAACAGGAACATGAGCTTTTGGATTTGACAAATGAACTTGGAAAAAGCCAGATTTGGAAAGATAAAGTTTGGTTTGGTTTGGAAATGGGGGGCTGGATAGACCCCCCTATGCAGGGATGTTTGGACTTTTCAAGTCTGGCAATGGGCCGTGAGATGTTTGGGGTTGTGGGGGCTCCTAATTTTGGAGGGATTTTGAAACATGTTCTTAAATACCACATGGAGTTTAGTGTGGATTATGGAAAAGGGGCTGATCTGTCGAGAAGGGTCAAAAACATTGTCAAGCTGGAGTTCCCACGAGTGAAACGAGCAGGAGACAAGGGAAAATACAGTTATAAATATGAAGAAGAGCTGCGGAAGGGACATGGAAGAGACTTAAGGGCCTCGGATACAAGGATACCAGGTTAATGCGCTAGATCGATGGGATAATAAGGACTGACAAAACCCGGGACCAGGAGGAAGGGACGCTGGATGAAGATTGGATTGTTTTTATTTCTTTTTTACTACTAGGATTGTTTTATAAAATTGATGAATGTTAGAAAAATGTTGGAATGAAATTACTTGGCTTTAGTAAAAATGTTTAAAGAATTATGTAAGAATATTATGGTTATGAGAAGTTGGTAAAAATAAGATTTAAGTTTTAAGTTTCAAGGTTTTTATAGTAAGATAAGATTAAAATAGTTTAAGGTAATGTAATGACAGAATATTATGAAATATGGAAAGGATTTGCTGCGACAATTAACAACTAGGATACAAAAAAGGGGAGGAGGAGGAGGTCAAAGAAAGAAGGTAATGACAGTTGAGGATTTGAGAATAATGGATTTGTTTTTAAATGTTTGTGGTGTATTTTTGGTTTTTTTTTTGAATTTGTATTGTTTGATGTGGTTTGTTTTTTCTTTGCTCTTTCTTTTCTTTTTTTTCTACTTTGTTCTCTTTTGTAATTTAAAAAAAATAAATCCTCCGACCTTCTGATCAGCAAGTCCTAGACTCTGTGGTTTAACCCACAGCGCCACCCGTGTCCCAAGCCAAAATGCAAAGGTTTAAGCTTATTTAGTCTCAATGAAAACACTAGGGTTTAAAATTAACTTCAGGTTTTCTGGTTTGTGAACAGATCTGGCAACCTCCTTTACATCCTAGAAACCTTTCAGGCCTGGTACATATGCACAGTACAATTAAAGCAAGGGTGGAAAATCTGTAGGTCTCTCCAGATGTTGCGGGTGCGATCATCCCTGACCACTGGTCATGCTGGCTAGGACTGGGATGGAGTCCAACAACCCCTGGAGTACCACAGGTAGCTAGCTCATCACTGAATTAAAGGCTGCTTACTAGTACAAATCAAAAATCTAAACCAAGAGAATGATTTTTTTTAAGGTCAGTTTCAATGGCCCATTCCCTATGGTAGAAACACATGTGACTATTTTAAGATGGTCTTCTTTTCAATTTTCAATTCTGCATCATATGTTCAACTTGGCTTTGCCTCTGGCAACTATTGCCAAGATGAGAGAGACAATATTTTAAAATTACTTCTGCATATCAAGAAGACCTTTTCCAGAAGACCCTAAGCATGCTCTCTGAGATTCTACCGTGCATTTTTCTGTTTAGGGATATTTGTACACTGTTAATTCCCTGGCAGGTGGTAGCAAACATTTGTTATGTTTCCCTAACACTTTCCCCAGATGCTTTTCTGGAACAAATTCTAGGGAAATGTATTTTCCTGCTAAGTTACTGCGGTAAAGGGATGCGTTAGTTTTTGATGTGATTGGGTCCTCATATGGGGCCTTTGTTGCCTCAGTTTCACATGTGGAGCAACTGGTGTCAAATATATTCCCCACAAGAAAAAACAAAAAGTTACCATGTCAGAGGTCCTGTTCACACATGCATGTTCATAGCTTCACACCTGCAATATCAAATGATAGATTAGTCATACATGTGAAACAGGTATCACAGGGTTTTTGTTGTTGTTGTTGTTTTTTAAACAGACAGAGGTTTCTTATCACTTTCTAATGAAGGTAATTCACACATTCAGGTAAAAGCCATCAAGTGTGAGTAATGAACTGATGAGATATAAAAGAGATTTACAAGCCCACCATTGAAGGGCAATTCATTGTCCCATTGAAATGGTACCTCGGGTTACATACGCTTCAGGTTACAAACTCCGCTAACCCAGAAATAGTGCTTCAGGTTAAGAACTTTGCTTCAGGATGAGAACATAAATCATGCAATGGCGGCGCAGCAGCAGAAGGAGGCCCCATTAGCTAAAGTGGTGCTTCGCATTAAGAACAGTTTCAGGTTAAGAACAGACCTCCAGAATGAATTAAGTTCTTAACCTGAGGTACCACTATATTGTCATCTCATGTAATGGTACCTCATCTTATTTCACATAGGAGGGGAGACATTTGTTGGAATAATACCCAATTCAAACTTGTGCTCTTGGATTCATTAGACCTTGGAACAAACACATTTTTAAAACACTGTTAGTTATCAGGTGGGGGGGGGGATTAAACTATTGCACACAAATAGTTCCTCATGCAAAATTGAAAAGGTACAGCTCTCGTGCCCCAAGGCTATATTGTGTTTAAAATGAATCTAAGAATCAGCCTTGAGTGACATCCTAGAAAAAGATGGATAGTGCAGATTCCTCCTGAAATGCTGAATATTGGGGGGCAGAGAGAAATAATACCTTAGTGTCGACTTCATTTAGTGCCTACTACGTACTGTACATTTAGTGACCAGGGAGAAAAGACTGTAGGGTTAGTATCTATTATCTCCCGTTGCAGTAAACACAGGCCCAACAAGTACTTTGCCCTGTAAAGTTTTATTTTTATTTACACTGGCTAAGAAAAATGTGTGGGATAACCAGCTTCATATAACTAAAGTGCTTAAGTCTAATAAATGCATGAAGGGGTTAAGACCATAGAGTCAGCTCTATTACCAGGTGTACTTCACCTTGGGAGGGACCAGGTAATCAGCCCTACTGTTCTCTCCTAGCCTCCCTGAGAAGCTCAACATGTGAAGAGGTTTGAGCTGGTAGCTGTAGCTCAGTTTGCATGGCTCTCACAAGCCACGCTTGAGTTCATATACCAGTAATTTAGGAACTTTCACCATTTTGTAACTAAGTTTTACTTCCTGTGTTCTGAAGCACATGAATCTGACCATTGGAGAGTTTGCAAGCAAACCATGTTTAACATACCAAACATATGGTCTTTTTTCTATGCTGGGGGAAGTAGGAAACTCTGGAAAGGAACATTTTAAGGGGATATTTTGGAACTAGCTTTAAAGGGCACATTTTAAAGTTTTACATACTATATTTTCATGTTTAAGTTTGCTGCATAGTTTGTAATTTTATATCTAAGTGGGACATCTGCATCTAGAGAATGATACAATCTAACCAGATTAAGATTGGTTGAAGCCTTGGAGCGATACTAATTTATGAAGGGGCAGAAAAAGGTGGCTCCTCATAGCACTAAGATGTAGCACTAGGATAAATGGAAACAAAATCTGACATCTACAAGCATCAAGTCCCACTTTGCCACCATTTTATATGTCCTTAGATATCTTCACAACAGCCATGTGAGGTAGGCTAGGCTGAGAATTGTTGACTAGCCCAAGGGAGTAAGCAAAAACAATAAAAAGGGAAAGTGAGTTAGAATGTGAAACTGCACATGCTCAAAGTATTTTCATTTTTGTTTATGAAGGTTAGCAAAATGCTTTCTGTTTGCATTTTGCTGCGAGTTGTGAAACACTACAGGCTCAAAGTATTTTTTGTAGTCAACAGAAGCTTATGCCATAATAAATTTGTTAGTCTTTCAGATGCCACATGAGTTCATTTTTGGTATTTTACTTCATGTATTCCATTTTTGGGAGAATGGGGCTTTATTGTTGAGAACTGCACCAGGACTCCCAACTATCTTAATCTGGCTTTGGCTATCCAGCTAGGGACAGACAACTTATACAGTTGCCATTTAATCAACAGTGGACTGATTACATTTTTGTGGGGGTTTTGGCTTGTTTATTCAACTGATAAGTTACTGTAAAATAATTTATAGTATTAATGTATGTTTAAATCTATAAAATAAACACTGTTCACATTGATCTAGCTCAGGAGCAATTGCCAATCTGTCCTTCCTCATCCGTAGCTGAGAGCTATGAGTATTACATTGGCTCGTATGCATCATCACATTATGGAAAATGGAAAATTATCATAAAATGATGAAAGAACCCCTACCTGCACAATTCTCTCCCATCCCCCATCTTGCTGTAGATCTCTTGCAGCAATTGTTACCTGGAAAAAGGAAAGACACATGTCCTCATACAGCTTCCATATTCAAGGAAATGAGGCAGGGGAGGGAATGGGCCAAAGAGTGCATGCAGATGGGAGCAATCTCTGCCATAATACAACAACACCGATGTGACAGGGCATCGAGTTGTGCAACAACCTGATGTGACAGGAGACCATGAAATACACAAGAAGCACACTGACAGTTGTGAAGATGAAGATGTGATAATTTTATCTGAAAAGGACACAGGTTACCCGTCATTTCAATAATGTTAATAATTAGCAAGTAAACAAAGATGTTCTTGTAAAACTTCCATTTTCTAAATGCTGCATTATAACTCTAGGGGGGAAATTGTCGATTGCAAACCTCATCTGCAAAAATTGCAACGTGATATCACAGCATACAAGTGTTATAAGAAAAAATAAAACTACAGATCACCCTTGGACTTGCTTATACTGTATATAAATTGAACATAAAATTGTGGTCCCGTCTTAAGGTTCTGCTTGAAGCAATGTGTGATTTCTGCACTCTGGGAGTCACACTAACCCAATGAAGAACAAAACTGAGCAGTAAGCAGATACTAGAAACTACAGCAGCCAGTGTAAAAGCTCTTTATCTAGAAGGGGAAGAACCCAACAAAACATCAAAATCAGGGTTGAATGCTATTTTTTGGCGCATCTAATAGGACGTGTGTGTGTGTGTGTGTATGTGTGTGTGTGTGTGTGTGTGTGTAGAATATATATATATATATGGCTTTTTTTCAGCCAGAACGCTCTGGGACTCAGTTCTGGCACCTCTCAGGTGGACACCATTGCCATTCTAAGAGAACAAGAGAATTGTTCATGCTGAGTTTCAGCACCTCTTTTTCTAGAAAAATAGCACTGCACAGAGAATAAACAATCAGTCCCCCGGGCTTCTCAGTGCTCACTGCCCAAGAGTCTTAGTGCACATCCTACTGTCTCTAAATAATTCTAAATTGATGCTTGAAAGAGATTTCTAAACAGCCATCTGAGTGAGCAGTCCCAATTTCCTTTCTTTCAGGCTACATGCCAATATTTCATGAGCCCCATCATTTCTTCTCATTTACTGTCACACTTTACACCCCATTTTGCAATTAGCACACTGTTTAACATAGCACTGGTGTTATTTACTATATATTTTGGAAAACTGTCTATTTGATATGCATTTGGACACCTTTTATGATCTTGTAACCAAATTATGAGAATTATGATTATGGGGACTTCCAGGTGAATGTGGCAATGAGTAAGACTGCTTGTCCTTGAGCTAAGCAGTCTGCTTTAATTTGTTTTTAATTTGTTATGAATTGTTTCAAAGTTTTAAAGTCAATTGGCTAAGCAGTTAATGTTAATTGCTACATACAGGCAATGAGCATATTTGTTTTACTTCTATGTGGACTTAAAAGCCATATATTTTAATTGGAAGACAGGCACTGGGAGAGCAGCTGTGTTGGCTCTGCATTTTTAACTGATAAGAAAGGCTTAGAAGACTGTCTCAGCCAAAGGATACTCTGCAGTTTTAACATGGTTATTACATGAGCACAGACCCACATTGCTTCAGACGAAGTGTACAGAACTCCATTGCCAAATTTACTCCAGAAATGTATGCAGGGCTACTGTGACTCAGCAAGGGAGGCAGAGGTAACTGGAAATAAATTGTGGCAAGATGTAATTAATATGTATTACGTGGGCAGCTACGTGGCGAGTGTGCAAGTAATAGGGCTCATGATGCCTTATCCCAAGTAGGATGTTTTGCTACAAATTCCTTTAATAAAAGCCTAGCTAACTGGTCAACCAATCCCGACTTGCTAGGAGCTGAGATATATGTTCCCAGGCAACCTCAGCTTCCTCCACATAATGAAACCTCAACTATGCGTAATAACAATATTGGCATAATACTCGGCCACAACAGAGACTGAACCTCCCTCACTGTGGGAACTTTTACACATCCCATGTCTTCTGTCTAAACAAACAGTAGATGGAATCTTTAGAAAAACTGATGCATTAGAAAAAGTTTAAATACCATCACTGGTGCACTGGCTGGGTTTGTGGAGACATGAATTCTGAATGTAGCCCATCCAGATAAGCCCTACCTGCAAATAAACTTTTGTATACAGTGGTACCTTGAGTTACATATGCTTCAGGTTACATATGCTTCAGGTTACAGACTCTGCTAACCCATAAATATTACCTCGGGTTAAGAACTTTGCTTTAGGATGAGAACAGAAATCGTACTCCGGCGGCGTGGCAGCAGCAGGAGGCCCCTTTGCTAAAGTGGTGCTTCAGGTTAAGAACAGTTTCAGGTTAAGAACGGACCTCTGGAACGAATTAAGTACTTAACCCGAGGTACCACGGTAATCTTCTTTCAAATGTCATAACCCCACCTAGGTCCTTAAGCAGTCTCTTTTGCTCCTCTCTCCAAATCTTTATTCTCTTCTGTTTTGTTTAACTCATTTGCCTTTGCCTACCCATCTTGGCCATATTTCTCATTAGAGTGGTACCAGCTTCCTGTTTATCCTGTCCCAACAGTCCAGTTCCATCCTGGATAAAACTGAGCCCTTCTCTTTTGTACAGGCCAGACTTCTCCCCAAGTGCTCTCCAGTTGCCCTCTTCCCGACACCCATGTACAGTGGTACCTCAGGTTACATACGCTTCAGGTTACATACGCTTCAGGTTACATATGCTTCAGGTTACAGACTCTGCTAACCCAGAAATAGTGCTTCAGGTTAAGAACTTTGCTTCAGGATGAGAACAGAAACCGGGCTCCGGCGGCGCGGCAGCAGCAGGAGGCCCCATTAGCTAAAGTGGTGCTTCAGGTTAAGAACAGTTTCAGGTTAAGAACGGACCTCCAGACCGAATTAAGTACTTAACCACTGTATTGCAACTCCACAGCTGTGCCTTTTTCACTGACTCTCCACATGGAATCGGTAGCATTTCAGATACTTCCTTTGAAGTTGGATCACCTGATGTCATATGGCTTCAGGTGATTGACAGGCTGCACCCACCCATCAGATGTGGCCCACAGAGAGCAGGCCAGCTTTGGCCCACTGGCCAGGCCCAGTTTGCCACCCCTGCATTAGACCTCTCAAATGTAAGGTGCAGTGTATTTCCCTACATAAAGGACTGTATCTAAACCATGTGATTTATCTCACATCACATTTCAAATGTATGCATGCTTTCCTACTGAGAGACCAGCTACAAAAGAAATGAGCTGTGTTTAGAGCAGGGGCATGGACACTCTGTGCCCATGAGCACACAAAAACCAGCAGCTAGCCCTGTTTGACACTTGCTTATCACCTGGATAACCTACTGTCCAAATTCTTCCTCACTTTTAGGGTTGAATATTGTATAACCCACCACAGCACATGCAACATTTATATTATCTTCGGCCGTGATTATCTACAGCAGAGTGTAAGAAGTCTAATGAGTATCCGCCATCCCATAGGTATGGAGCAGACTTAAAAAACGTTGGGCCTAGGGGTATTGTGAAGAAATTCCTGGAGAACAGCCAAACTTAAAACAGATGTGGATCAAAGCTGAAGACAAGGATCAGCAGAAATGTTTTCTTGTTCAAGGGCAGATGCTATCTTTCAAACAGGTTGTTAATAAAATGAAATATCATTCTTTGATATATATTCCCAACTTCTTCAGCTTTGTGTTTGTTTTAAAATAGGTCAATCCAATGAAAACCTAATTTGAGAAGTTCAGCTTCAGTTGGACTATACCCTGAGCATTAAAGTTTGAAAGGGAAAGGAATAATGTGCCTTAAAAGTGTACACATGCACACAAACACACAATAGTTGCATTGGAAAGTAGTGGGTTACATTATTTAACTAAAGGTAAACCTTTTTTTAAATAAAAAGAACACGTTCCATGTTTAGAATCATGTTTGGAATACACATCAGTGTGCAGCATGGGACTACATATTCTTGTTGTCATATGTAGAGAATTTAGAGCATACGAGCTTGAATTGGTGATGGGAACTCTGTTGAAAGGGCACTTTGCATATAGCCAGCACTGATCTTCCAGGAATCCTTAAGAGTCCAACTCAGGATTCTACAAACAAGCAGTTCACTGGGAAGCTCAACTCAACTTCTGCTGCTGGAGCCACAAAGACATGGTACAAAGCAAAAGATGGACATTGCTGGAGATTCCAGCAACATTTCACCATTTCAACTCCTTCCCTCCCTTTTTCCATTGAATTGTTCTCCATTGAGCAACCAGGCAATTCCCAGTGATGCCTGCTCTGAACTTGCTGTTGTAGCCTCCATTCCTCCTTATGATTGAACCTCCTTGGATGTTTTTAAGCAGATGTTGGACGGCCATCTGTCATGTATGATCTAGCTGAGATTTCTGCACTGCTGGGGGTTGGGCTAGATGATCCTCAGGTTCCCTTCCAATTCTACAATTCTATAATCCTAAAGCATGGATGCAATACCAATTGACCCAAAACACAATTAGGGAGCAATCCTAACCAGGGTGGGGGTGAGGGTGAAGGTGAAGATGAGGTGGTAGAGCAGAGGAAGTGATGTTAACAAGGTTTTTTTTGGGGGGGGGACCCTCCTAAACCAAAGAAAGTAATGAATGTAGAATTTAGCTAATATTTGGGATATTTAAGGGGAAAATACAGGTTGCAGCAGTTCTCCTGGCTTTAGCCTAGGCAAACTAGCCTGGGCTAGTTGGATGTAAGTCATTATGAAACAATAGACAGCCATTGTCACTTCATGACGAATCTCCCAGACTGTGAAAATCCAGGTGTAAATATGTGACTAAATCATATTTCTTAAAGCTAGGGCAGTCTAAATCGCATTTTGATTCTCAAAGGAACACGGACCCTAGGTGAGCACCTGGAACCCCTTGGTATCTTGCCACAGCTCGGCAGAGATTGGGGGTGGCGTCCAACTTTTGTAACACTAAGCCCTGCTTGCGCCAGCTAGGATGGGGGTTGATGACAGTTTTTCTTTTTCTCCATTCTGGGGTAGGAGGTTAATCCCCCATTGGTTTTCAAGGAAGAAACAATGGCGTAGTTGATGGGCCAAATCCTGGGCCTCTTAGGGGGAAATGGAAGAGCTTTCGGTGCAGCAGATCCTAGGTCACCTCTGTCCCATTTCACAGCCTACCAGTGCAGAAATATTGCTGGCGGAAAATTTGTGCCCATGGAGCTTTCTGCGAACATACAAGGAGGACTGGTACAGAGGGGCATTTCCGCTCCATCCAAACCATCTCCAGGCTGGGTGTTAGGCTTGCAATGTTAACCCACCCGGAATCTATCCAGGCTAACAAAATAACTTTGTTATTCTTATGCAAGATGTTAAAGGAGTTGGAATGCTCATTATAGGTCTAGCACAAATTCCACAAGACAGCACAAAAGCAAATGAATGCCTTTTTACATATAGTGGTTTTGTTGGTATAGAAAGGTAATTTAAGAAGAAAAAGAAAAGGAAAGAAATATTTTGGCCATGCTACAGAATTCCCCAAGCTGAGAGGCTGCTGCTTAGAGGCATATTAATCATACTGTATTCTCCACCTAGATATTGCATGCACTCTCATCACTAATAGCTCTAATATTCTACTCAGTGTGTGCATGCTGCTGATGTTACATTACAGGAATATTAATTGCATTCCCTAGCTTCCCTTTCTTACACATGTATTTTCTAAAGGCTTGCTTCTGGGCATTGGGAGATTATTAACAAGAAGAGGAGTGGAGAGGAGTCCTTGAGGAAGAATTAGCAGCAGTGAAAATACAAAGCATAGTGGTTAACCATGGTTTGTCTCAGGGCACCAGAGCAAATAATTCCTTTCACTGTAAAGTAAAGCAAGTTTTCCTTCCTAGTGCCTCTCTAGCACCAGACTTGTCACAGGGCAAGATACAAGGCAAAATTAAACTTCAGGATCTTTCCCAAGGCCTGACAGCAAATCAATATCAGATTCAGGGACTACAGGAGCACCCGCTCCCCCAATAAGGTATGCAGGAGGGAATGAGAAAGCAAAGAGAGGAGGATAGTGGAATCATGTTCCTTTCTTCTCAACTGAGTAAGTTCAAGTCTGCCAATATCTACAGTTTAAATGTCCTCCACTTCCTAGTGCCAAGTTTTACACATGTGAAAGTTTAAACTAAGAATCATACAACACATATTCCCCCCCCACCCCCAGTGAAAGCAACATGATTGGCTCTCTGTGGAATACTCTTAACTGCACTTAAGTAATCACAGATGTTTACAGTTTCACTTTTAAAAGAAAGAAAAACAAACAAAAGCTGAAGGTCTTCCACTCACTGGCATTCCTGCTAGAGGAAGATGGGGAAGCCTCCCAGAAGTTTTTTTCTTCCTCTAGCCAACGACTGGGACCAGATGATCTCTCCCTCACCTCTGCGGCAACAGTGTATCTCGTTTATTTGTTTGGAAGGGAGAGGGAAGCAGCCTTCCAGCAGCTGTTGATCTTCTGACCAAGGGGACGCAGGGAATGTTGCGGTCTAAACCACTGAGCCTCTTGGGCTTGCCAATCATAAGGTTGGCAGTTTGAATCTGCTTGACGGGGTGAGCTCCCGTTGCTCTGTCCCAGCTTCTGCCAACCTAGCAGTTCGAAAGCATACCAGCACAAGTAGATAAATAGGTACCATTGTGGCAGGAAGGTATATGGCGTTCCCGTGTGGTTTCCCGTGTGCTCTGGCACTTGTCACGGTGTCCTGTTGTACCAGAAGCAGTTTAGACATGCTGGCCACATGACCCGGAAAACTGTCTGCGGGAAAACACTGACTCCCTTGGCCTGAAAGCGGAGATGAGAGCAGCACCCCATAATCGAATCGACTGGACTAAGCAGTCCAGGGGTCCTTTACTTTTACCTTGATCCTCTGGCCAATGACTGGAGCCAGGATATTCTTCCTCTTTCTGTTTTTCTTATTGGAGGTGAGAGGGTGACCTCCAGGCAATCCTCCTTTCTCTCATCAGTGTGTGGGGACGGTGTCTCTCTTCCATCAACTCTGCAGCCATATTGCAACTGACCATATCCAATTTTCAGTCAAGGAAACTCATATCCCATGACTAGAATTGTGCTAGTTAGGGTCCAACTAGATGTTAAATTAAAAGGGGGAACCACATCAGGACTGCAGCGCGGAGGGAGGCCTTAACCCTTTTCCTGCCTGCAACAATGCATGGGCATCTGCAGAACGTGTAAAACATCAACATTGAGAGGCCATTTATTGCTCTCTCAAAGTGCTGTGGCCCCAATCTAATTTGGGCTCAGAGGCAGATTTAGGCGAGCATGACTGGTTTGGTCACACTGGGCACAGTGCCTCGAGGGCACTGCAGGGGTGCCACAACTATGATGTAGAGTGGAAGGGATGTCGCAGAAATTTGAGCCCTCAAGGTCTGCCACTGCTGGGCTTCCCCACATGACTGCTTTTAACTTTTTTAAAAAATCCCCTTATGAGATGCCATAATGGACCTCCTGCATCTTGTCTAGATGGGCCCTTAAAGAGTGTTATTATTTAGCAAGTGACTGAGTAGCTGTGTTACTGGTAGCTCAGTTGGTAGAGCACGGGACTCTTAATCTCAGGGTCATGCATTTGAGCCCCACATCGGGCAAAAGATTCCTGCATTGCAGGTGGTTTAGCTAGATGACCCTTCCAATTCTACAATTCTATGATTCAAATTTCTCTCCTTTCAAAATATTCAAGGGATGGACCATCCCTCAATAACAGAGTACGTGCCATGCATGCATTTGGTTCCAGGTTGAATCACAGGCCTCCCCACTAAAAGTGTCAAGTAGTAGATTATACAGAAGACCCATGCCTGAGATCCTGGCGAGCTGCTGCCAGTCCAGATACAGTACTAGGCTAAATAAAGCATCTTCTGATATTCCCCACCCATCAAGTGAACAAACACAATCAGTAGATTTTTTTTCCTTTAAAAAAAAGATAACTATCACTCTGCAGTTCTCATCCTCAATTCTTCATTGCCAAAGCATGAGTTAGTAATAGTGACAAAGACTCATTAGGCATACATCAAGTGAAGATTCATATTAAGTCTGCAAAATCCCTCTTTCCCAATTCCACACAATATAAAATATACAGAAGGGGTGGGCAGGAAGGAACACTAACATATTGTATTAAAGGATTGTCTGTGAAAGCGAAGAAAAATGGTGCAATCTCATTTGCAACAGTAACTGCATTTTCAGTCAAGGAACCTTATAACATGTGAATAAAAGGGGAATGAGAAGGGCCCTTTTCAAGCCCCTCCTAAAAAAATACAAACAATGGAAGAAGAATCACAATTGATACCTAAATCTGTGTACTCAATCTATCTTTCAGTGAATTTTACTTCCAGGTAAACATGCATTAGAATGCAACCTTGGGCAATTAACTACAGAATAATTTTGTGCAGAGCATTTAAGGTGCTGCAGTGATTGTAGTATATCGTAACATTTTGGAAAGCAGTCCTTCATTGTTTATAGGAATGAACAATATTTTGGAAAATCCAAACAAACATTACATCACAAAAGCATTAGGACCTTTTCCAGGAGCATGCAACAGCCCTCAGTCAGCACCCTTCCTTTGCCCACATCCTTGCACCAACCTTGATCAGCCTTTTCCATGTCCCACATCTTAGCTTAGTACCTGCAGTGCAGTATACAATTGGGATGGGAGAAGCTGCCGTCGCTGTCATTTCTTTGAAGCTTGCAGTCACCTGCCAATCTCACCCTGTTTCTTCCTCCCCCTCCTGCAATCAATTTCTCTACACCATTAGTACATTTCCCTCTAGCTCAACAAAAAAGTAATGCAAACTTGACTCCTTATCTTATACCCTCTCAAAAAGAGTTTAATTACAAGTTGGTGATAAAATGTATATATGGGGGAGAGAACTGAGAAAGTCTGTCAGGAGTTGTGGTCTGCTTGGACTAATGCAGAGAGAGATACTTTTATAATTTGATTTACAGTAAGCCTGCCATGCAGCCTTTTTGCTGACTCTTCACAATGGATTTTTGGCAAACTCTGAATGGGTGTGCTGCTATTGTAAGCTAAAGGTTTCGGCACGCTCTTCACATGACACTGGGATAATCCAGCAATCTAACATACAGGGCAGACATGCTTTCCTAATCCAAGAAAGGAGAACATTTGCTTGCCAAACATTAAACATCACTGGAAAAGCATGGGGAATCTGCCTCTCTCTGCTTTAACTATATCCAGTCAATCTGCTGCAATCTGGTGCTTTTTGGAGAATTCCATCGGAAATGGAAATGGGAGCAGAAATTCCTGCACCTCGCATGCTTGTTTGAGATCAAGAACAGAAATCACGCAAGAAATATGAGCAGCATTCGTGACAGGTTTTTCCCCCCTCAATCCACAAATGTTACAGAAATGCTTTTTCCCCTACATTGTTCTTGATGCTTCCCTTCCACTGAAATGCACTGACATAGTTAATTATGTAATTAATTACATTTGTTTTGGCCACAGCAGATAGTGAGATGAGTAATGTAGGTTTCAGCAGAAGCCAAAGTGTAACACTACAGAAACAGCGCTGATTGCAGTAAACACACGATAGGACAGAAATCTCTGCCTCCTTACATCCCTAGTCTGGAGGAACCTTTCAAGAGACTGTGAGTATGGGTGGATCATGGCTGCTTTCCCCCCATTTGGCTAGACTGGTCTAAGCCTGCCAGGCAGCAGGGTCACATGAGCCACTTGCACATCAAGGAGATAGGTGAAGGCAAGTATTGACAGAGTAACATTTCAAATAAAGTTTGGCCCTAGTAGGATGGGTGTGTGCCATGGCTCCACTTCAGATAGCAAACTGTCTAGGTCTGGTACAGACAGCTGAAGTACTAGAGATGGGAATCAGGGGGGAAGCCACCTGCTGAATGATCTCCCTGCCTGTCTTGCTTTTCTTCTCAATAAGGCATAAAGAAAGGAAACCCTGGAGTTCATGACAGGAGCTCCCCAAGAGTGTAAAGGCAGGGCCGTCTTTAGCAGATGCGGCGTCGGGGTGCAAATATCCGCCCAGCGCCCCCAAATTACCACGAATAGTGTTGGGGTGGCACTGCGCACTGCCAACCAGGGGGCGCGCGCGCACACAACTCTTCCCCCATGACGCTGCGGGAGAGCGATCCCTGCAGAGGCTTGGGAGTGAAGTTGTGCCCCTCCCAAGCCTCCGCGGGAGGAGAGCACAGCTTCCCTCCCCAACCTCCTCGGGAGGAGAGCGATCCCTGCAGAGGCTTGGGAGGAAAGCTGCGCACCCGCCAGCCTTATGGTTAGCGGGGCGCAGCTGGCAGGCGTGCAGGGAAAGGGGAGGCCACCGGCAAAGCCGCACAGCTTTCCCATTTGCTGGGGCGCCCCTGAGAGGCCTGGGGCGCCCTGGCACGATGCACCACTAAGCCCTATGGGAAAAACAGCTCTGTGTAAAGGAAACTTGCTACTGTTTGGCAGCAATTTCTAAAAGATACAAGTGCCTCTCCAGGATCTAATGGGGAAACTCCCAAATAAAAGGGAATAAAGTTCTGCAGAAAGAATATTCCATTAATAATAAGATGATATAGGAAACATGTTTTACTCAATTAACAGTCTAATTAGTCAAAGCTGCAAATGCTAAATAACTCAAATTAGTTGAAACCATATTTAAAGGCTTAAGATTAGATGTTGGTTATACACAGATCGACATCAGGCGGCTCTTAAAGGATTTCAGGCTGCCCAAATCAGAAAATGAAATGGAGGGAAAACAGCAGAGGTGCAAAAGATGAAGTGACTTGATCAAGGTTATGCAGCAAACTTATTGCAGAGGTGGGAATAATTTCTGGTTCATTCAAGCTGCAGTAAGATGGAATCTTCTTTTTCACTAGAGGAGCTCAAATGAATGCAGGGAATTTTCCTATATTAAAAGCTCCACAGCTATGCAGTAGATATTATCCTCTAAGTCCCAAACACACACAAGGCCAAATTCAAGAATGTGATGTATCAAAAATGACTACTTTAGAGTTTAGGGTTTATATACAAAACCTGATATAACCCTCAACTGTCTTCTAGAAGCATTCCTCCCACATTTAGTTTACATATATAAGCTACGTTTTAGAAAAAATCACAGATACATCATATTCTGGCTATGAATCCTATTGGTATGACGTATCATATTGGTATTTCAAGGAATTCTGGGTAGCATACAAGGGGTTCTCATTTTACCCTCTTATCTCTCTGAGCCAAGTTAGGCTGAAGCACCTTGTCATGAGGCCTCCCAGTGAGCTTAATTGATGAGAAAGGATTTGAACTCAACACTTTCCCTGCACCAAAAGTTCAACACTATTCACTGCATCACACTGGCACTGTTGCTCTTTCGCATCCACACACAAGCACGCACATACTTAACTAATCTGAGAAAACACTTTTTAATAGGAAAAAGGGGTCTAACAGGGATGCATCCTCTGGGGAGAGGACACAACTAAAACTAGTCACTGTAGGGTGCTTCCATATGGAGGTTTATTGTTGGATCAGTGCTGCGAGCCCATACTTTTCCTTTTACCTTAAAGTCAGGTTTCATCTTTTTATGGGATACCCATTATGCAAAAACTACCCATTTAGTGGATTTTACTGAAGTCGGGGGGAGGGGGGGAGGGAGTGGCAGAAGAGTGAGTGGTTTGTCACATGTAGTGACATTTTAGTGGTGGGTCTCTATTGCCACACCCTGACTTCTATTTCTTCTTTGCTTAAATATGACCTAGCCATTTTGTTTCTGGGGGCCCAAATTATTGAGTGTGCCTATTTCGACCAGTTGCTGCATGCTGAAGGAACACTGGAATTTCAACAATGCCATTCAGAAGAGCTATTCTATTAAGATCTCGGGGGGGGGGGGAGGGGTTATCTTGGAAACTGTAATCACAGTACATACATCAGGACTTTTTAATGATTTTAATGATCTTATGTAACACCACTTCAACCAGAATTTTAGACCTTTAACTAAAGATCAGACTTGTGCAAGACCTCTGAATTAAAAGAAAAGGTGGAATGTTTGCCCCGCGCCCAAGAAAAAGCACAAGCTACCATGGTGTCCCTTGTGAAACATGATGGCTAAGGGCTGGAAACATTAGCTCCTGTGCACATACTCCGGACAGGAAAAAATATATATGCATACACAGAAACAGAAAACCGCACACTTGCCCAGAGTTGCAAAGGTAGTGGAGAGAAGTGGCAGGTTTTGAGGGGAGGGTGCAGAATTCATAGCACAGAAACATCCCATTGAAGACTAGCCCCTGGTGTGGATGGAAAACAGAGCTATATCTTTTTTTAAAAAAGCATTAGAATGAAACTACAGTTGTGTGCCAGTGGTGCACGCATACAAAACCAAATATGAACAAGCCATTTTAAAAACATCTCCCCTCTGTGGAAGCACCCTTAAGAAAGGCTTCTATCCATGTCCAAAAAATTGCAGTAGGATCATGTAGGGCAATGGTGGGGAACTTCCAGGCCCCAGGACTAATTAGTCCCATGAAGCCTCTCATATTGGCCCATGGAAACCCAGCCAGATGGGCGAGGTATAAATAAATTATTATTAATTATTATTATTATTATTATTATTATTATTATTATTATTATTATTTCAACCAAGCCACACACTCTTCCCCATACGTGCCATACAGGGCAGGTGCAGGACAGGTAAAGGCAGCGCTTGGATAAAAGGGGCTTTGCTCCCTGCTATTACCTCAGCAACCAAGGCAGGTCTCCTGCTTGTCAGCTGGTGAGATTAAAGGAAGACTGGTAGTTATACTTACCACATTCTGTGTTATGTCAAAAGCTCAAATTACACTGCTGCTCAGTTTTGCCCAAGCAAAACTAAGCATTCCCAGAAGGACAGCACATCTTAAATTGAACTGCTTTCTGTCCTGCCTCTGGTGGGCTGGTATCTGCCAAAACATCCCTTTATTCCTCTGCACCTTAAACAGCAAAGGTATATAGCTTCTGGTCAGCTCTTGTCTCATAATAAACACATGCCTTGCACAGAGGCAGCTTATGAACAGTCTGGCTAAGACCAGCATTACCTTGAGGCATTCCCCCCCCCCCCACTTCCAACCTCCATATATTTGGGTTTGTTTGTTTGCTTTTAAATGAAAAGTAATCCTAAGCATGGATGGAGAAGGGCCGAGAGTGGTGTGAGAAAGAGATGATATTTTGACTTTTCACCTCACATGTGAAAGTATCTAAGGCCAAAAAAAAAACCAACCTGAGACATATTCAAGAAATACAGGAGGCCCCAGGAAAAGTAGAACTGCATTTATATATTTTATTCCTTATTTGCCCAACAAGTTGTTTTTTAACCCAACCAAATATATCATGCTCTAAGTCCAATGTCATAATGCACTGTGAATTTGTCTTTATACTAAAAAAGAAATGCAAATGCCACTTTTTATTTTATTTTACTGTGAAGAATGCAGAGTTAAAATGGCCTCTGGTTGTGTGGCAGTTTTTGGGTACAGAGGGTTTTTTAAAAAACAAAAACCTGTGCTGTCCTGCTCATCTCTTCCCACTCCAAGCAGACATAGGTTGCCTTCAGGCAATGCAGAAAATTCACTTTGCCACAGCCTTAGAAGTCATCCCCAAACATGACTACGGTATATCAAAAATGAAAAAGGTCAGCATCAAAAAGGAGGAATCAAAATCTTATGATTAACCAATAAAATGCAAATGCTTATATCATTTTTTAAAACTAAATGCTCCCATAAATCAAGGAAAGAAAGGGCTAAAAAGCATGACAACTTTATAAGCACCGAAGGCTTCCACAGAAACATATACTACAGCCAAAAGTCAGATTATTTACATATTTTATGTGCACATACAGTTGTATGCCTGAATACACTGCTTGTGGGAATGCCACACCTCTGTGATACCTTCATGGAAATTCATTTGGAAAACAGTTCCACATATGCTGGGAAATGTAAAAGAGTAGTCTCAGTAGCCAAGTATTCCAGGCATTTGCAGGTGACCAATAGTGTTGCCAATCACAACCATAATAGGCCAAAATAAGGAAGTTGCTTAAAGGACCAACTGAGGTAATTGGGGTGTGTGTGTCTTTTTTACAGTGAACATATTCCATGTGGTAAGATTAAAAGTTGCTGCTTCCTGACATATGCTCATTTTCAAATGTAGTGCAGGATGTGGCAACATGCAATTGTTACATGGATGCCCTCTCATAAGACCACTGTACCAAATGAAAAAATGAAAGGGTGGGCAATGGCATCCTGAATGCTTTTCCACTTCTGAAGTGGTTATAAAAAGTAGCCTTGAATCTTTCTGTGGCCTTAGACATATCAAGTTTTGGAAGCCTACTAGATTTATAAATTGGTCTTTTGAGTGTTCAGTCAAACATTTACCAGCTAACATGATCCAAACTCACAAATTACACTATCCACTTTAAAAACACAGTATCTTTTGGTTTGGCTGATACTCTCAGCTAATAATGTAAGGAATTCACACTACTAGAGCAACCAACAGCAACTGGAACGAAGGTGAAGTCAAACAGTCTTGGCCATAGTCATCCAATAAAACTATGGTTGAACTTTCTGATTTGAACCTGCTTCTCCTTAGGACGTCCCTGTTTTCATCAGAAAAATGTTGGAGGGTATGGAGTTATGCAGCCCTGACGCCAAGGAGATAAATAACTATGCAACCATTAGAAGACATGTGAAGGCAGTCTTGTATAGGAACTTTTAATGTTTAATGTTTTATTATGTTTATGATGTTTATTATTATTATTATTATTATTATTAGATGTCCCTATTTTCATTGGAGAAATGTTGGGGGGTATGCATACAAGGCACAAGCATGTCACAAAACTAGAAGGTATTGATTGCCCTGCTCAGATTCCCCATGACCAAGTAGAGTAGAATATAGAATTGAAAAGCTTTCCAGGAGAAGACAATGCTAACCACACTGCAGTTAACACACCAGTACTAGTGTATATGTGACGAGAGAAAGTTTTTTGCAAAGTACTGGGATGGCTTGAGATATCCATCACTTGACATGCCCCCCAGGTCCAAATATACAAGCAGGATGAATGCTCAACTTGACCTGAGGCTTTAATACCTATATGCAAATAGAAGATCAGCAGAAGCAGCTGTCTACACGGTAGCACCTCCAACTTGGTACAGCTTCCTCTGTTACTTACAGTACTGCCCATCATGCACTCTGAAAGCCCTGACAGAACACAAAGTTGGCAGCCCCACACAGAATGGCTAGCTGCCTACTGGTCGCTACAGTTGCTGTGGGCCTGAGTTGTAATCTGCATGGCACTGAGGAGTCATCTTTGCCTCTGTGAATGTCAAATAACTGCCTTGTCGCCTGTGGAGAGATGAGGGGCATTGTAGGAGGGCAGCAATGTGTAGGAGCTGCAACTGGTGCTCAGCAGGAAATGTTGAGTAACTGTGGTATCACCTAAGTGCTGTTCCATTTTCCGTGCTCCAGCCTAGCTCCACATTCTCCCCTTAGCAATCATGGACACAATACTGACTCACCCGATATACAGCCCACACTGCTGCCCTGTGCAAAAAAAGAGAAAGAATCATGAGCGTTTGGCCAACAGTGACAACAGGTGATGCAGAGCACCTGGTATTCACCAACCAAAGCAGCTCTCTTCCCTCTTTCCTTCTCTGGGACATGGTGGGAACTTACCTGCAGCAGAGCACCTGCAGTGGTTCTGGTAAGAGAACCACTATTCATTACGACCTTTTGGGTTTTCTTTCAAATGCTTGAACACTCCACCACCATGTCCTTCAAAAGGGGTTGGGGTGGGGAGGCTGGGCATTCGAATTGGTACACTCAAGGGTCCCAATTCACTCTCAGGGAAGCAGCCTTGCACTCAGCTCTTTCTGCAGCAAACTCCCAGCAGAACCACACGCTGGCATATAGATTATAGGATGAGAGAGATTGTGGCTTCCCTGCCAGAGAGATCATAGCAAGCTGAGACTTGAATCAGGGGCACACCCAAACCACAGCTCATGCTCTTCACCTCTACGCTGCACTAACCCTCCACCATTCTATCCGCTGCTTTTCTCACATGTATTCAACACCAAAGTCTAGAAATACTGCTTATATCTGTGTAAGAAAAGAGAAACACCTGAGTGGATGAATTACTATACCTAACCCCCCTCTCCCCACCGTATTCAAAAATAAGGAGCAGGAAAGCTAGCAAGTCAATCAAAACAGGGCAGGAGGGAGAGGGAAAGGAAAGTTGCAAAAGGGGGAAAGGCAGAACTAATCTGGTGTGCTCTCTCTGAAGAATCTCTTCTTCGCTATACATGATTAATTACTTCTGAGACATGCCTGCTGCTTCCCCTCTGGCTTTAAAAACAACCGCAACGGCAGCAGTTGAGAGCAAGAAACCTCCAAAGGATTTTGGCCAGGGCCTACTGAGCGGTTTTCCCAGGGGAGTCATCTGATCCTAGAATATCTCTCTCTCTCTCTCTCTCTCTCTCTCTCTCTCACACACACACACACACCCCTTTCTCACAGCTCCAATTAATCAATTTCTCCAAAACCATTTTCTGATCCTTGTCTACCCTTAACATATTCCTCATTTATGTGTGTCTAACTGCTTTTCTGTCATTCTCATTCTCTGGGAAACATTCTCAGGGAAACCTTACTGGGAATGTCTCCAGACTAGCACAGCTTAAAACAAAAAGACTGACACAAAGAATAGGAAGAAAGCCTCTCTGATTGATCTGATTTACATTCCAAGTTGGTATTTCATGGTTACCTCCCATTTTGCCTTTCCCTATCATTTTGCCCCTTTAGCTGCCCAACTGCAAAACCCCTGCCAGCCAGGAGGCAGATGATAAGAATAATGGGAGCTGGAAGGTGTTAGCATTTCCAAGAACAAGTCAGTGATAAGTGTGAAGTATGAAATGCTATAAACAATTTGGTAAATAAGGCATTTTCCATAAGCACTTGCCCTGTTGAAGGCATTTGATCAGCTGCCTGCTGCCACTGTGCTCCCTTCCCCTCTGACCTGTTCCAGGCTGCCTATTTCAAAATAAAAGGAAAAGAAAAGAGCAAAAGATTGGCAAAACAGGACATTTGTGGTCTGGGATGGGTACTTGCCTTCTCCCCATATGAACCACAACCCCTAGATTCCCAGCTTTCACTTAAGAGGTGTGTGGGGGGGGGGAATATGTTTCTAGCTCTTGATAGAAGGGTGTCCCTGAGCAGAGATGGTTTTAGAATAACTGCACTGGCTTTGGCTGCACTTGGTGCTGTGCTGCAGGGGACACCACAACAGTGTTGTGGAATGGAGCACGAGAGGCAGAGGGCACCAAATTTTAGCATCACACAGTGTGCTACTGAAATTTGAGAGCCCAAAGTCTTCCAATGCCCTGTGGAATAAAAGGTGCTTGCTATGAGTAACCCATGACCATCACTGCAAAAAAGAAGTGGTAACTATGAACTGACTACTCCTGGGGACAGCTCTCACTCTTTTTTCCTTCCTGAGACCGTATATACAATAAAATTTTGATGACTTCCCCCAAAGAATCCTGGGAATTGCAGTTTGCTTAGAGCACCAGGAACTGTAGCCCTGTGAAGCTGTAAACTACAGTTCCCAGGATTCTTTGAGGGAAGTGGTGTGCTTTAGGTGTCTGGTGTGTGTGCAGCCTCAGACTCTCCACATCTCCCACCCAAATGGAAGGTGAAGACTCTTGAGAGGAAAGTCGAAAAGCAGAGTCTGGGAGAAGGAGCTACTCATTTCCTGTCACAGTCAAGGCCTGTAATAATCCTTTTCATCATCTCCTGTCCCTCTCAGTTGCATAAAGCTCACTTTCAGCTTTTTCCAGACCATTAGGCCTCTGGAGAAGCTGGTGACATTAACCAATTCTCTACAGTCAGCACCAGCAAAAGTCATTCCCTCCCTCCTTCCTACTCTGTAGCTAGGGCACAAGAGACAAAGGGAGAAGTGTTCCCATGGCTGGCCCAACCATTGGACAGGAGTGAGGCATCTCCACAGGGCAGGTGGTTTTGGATATCATGAAAAAGCAGCAAACTTAGTTACTGTATTTTTCTGTGTATAAGATGATATTTTTTCATTAGAAGTACTAGGCAAAAATTGTGAGTTGTCTTATACACGGATAGCAGGGGCGGGGGGGGGTGGGTGATTGGTGGCAGCAGCCAGCAGGAGATTGGCAGCAGTGATTGGGCGTGTGAATGGTTGCTGCGGCAAGGCCTGCTGATGATTGGCTGCGGCTGCAGCAATTGGGCGGGCTATTTACCAGCAGCAGTGAGGCGTGCATTCAATCTGGTGTGGTTGCATCGAGTGTGCAGGTGGGCTTTTGGTGGCAATGGTGTGTGTAGACAATGATTGGTGGCCGTGGCGATGCCCTCCAAAAGAGGCCCAACAACTTTGGGCAATTTTTTTGTTCTGGTCCAAAAAAATAGGGGTCGTCTTATACATTGGGGCATGTTATACATGGAAAAATATGGTATTTGATTTATTATTTTTGCATTTCTTCTTCAGCTCAGGGTACTGTGCACCTTGACGATGAGGTGCACTATTGACTGTTCTAGCTCAGGCAGCAAGATACCTTGGAAAGGCCCTGGATGTTCCAGCTAAAATAATTCTTGAAAACATCCCTTAATCTTTTTCCACTGATCTAGCAGGATACATACAGAATATCTATATTCTCACCCACAAATAGATGGTTGGAAAGAACTGAACTACAAAAGGCTGGAAAGACGAAAGGGGAGCTGGGTTTCAAAATTAATCACCCCACTCCTTCTTATCTCTATGGAAATATACTTACATACTTCTGAGTCTTTCTTGCCCATATGCAGCTAGAAAGGCTAGTTTTCAGGATGTGTACCCTTCAAAACATGGTCCAGGACGGGATACGAATAAAATATTTGCAATTTTATTATTATTATACTTCAGTCAGACTATTTAAATAGATCTGCTTGTTTCTGTAAAACTATTTAAAGTCAATGACTAATTAACATTTTGATTAAAAGACACCTCTGTTAAAAATTCAACACCCTGTCTCTTTCTATTAAACTGTAAAAATGCTCACATTAATAAATTCATTTATCACTAATCTTTTACCAATCAATTCAGTGCTTCAAGCCTGTCACTGCCACTTCCTCAGTACAGTACAGCAGAGCTTACACTCATATAATAACTGAAAAACCAGGATGATGTCAAAATTAACATTTCATTGTTTTTATTTTCCAGCAAAAAAATTATACGTCTACAGAGAACTCATCTTTATCTATAGCATATGGTGGAGAAAGAGTATTAAACACCCCCCCCCCAATTTTTTAAAAATTGTGTGTCACTTTTCACTCTGCAAATATAGAAGCTGGAGGATCTTTTACGGCAGCTTAAAAAACACAGATATACAGAGAATGTATATCTGTATATACACAGAGAATGCAGATGCTTGAATGGAGAGTTTGGGAGGGGAATATTTTCTAATTCTTACCTGAAAGAGAATTCATATATTTTTCAGGCATATAATGAACTCTTCTAATTTACTAACAAGAGATAAGAAGTCACCCCAGGTTGTTTGAATATTTACATACTTTAATTGAAATTCTTAGCATATTACTATTTGCTAATCACGTGTGATATCTGTACCTACTGTGCTCACTAGCTGGGGGTGGTAGAAAAAGCTGGATCTGACTATACCTGTGCCATTCTGATGTCACATGAGCTATTTCCAGCCCAGTTACCATGGAAACCGCAAGGCCTCCACACCAGTTAACAGTTCAATATATAATTTACTCAATTTTTTTCCACCTAACCAACTGAGGCTCATATACAGCAACTACACACGCACATGCACACAAACCTATCCTTTATATATGTAATTGTTTGATAAGAACAATTCAATAGTAAATCTAGTCCTTTGAAGAAATATTAGGAACAGAACCTCAAAGAAAGGGGCACTAAAATTTAGGGTGTGTGGTGCATAAAATCTCACCATTTTAAGAAACAAGTGAGGCAGTACTAGGTGCTAAACAGAAATTCCAACATAGATCATAGGAGCAGACAGAAACATAAAACATAGCATTCCAGAATCCCCTCTCGCCAGAGTATTAATAGGAGATTGTGTGCACTACATTCATTTAAAGCACCACCACCCCAAAAAAGGAACCCTGGGAACTGTTGTTTCCTCCCTCAAAGAACTACAATTCCCAGGACCCTTAACAAGCTACAGTTCCCAGTATTATTAGGAGGGTGCTTTAAGAAAGCCCTAGTAGAAGTGAAGTCCACATAACCCTGTAGCTACTGTATATATTGTCACAGTGTTAAAATGACTGGAGTTCTTTATTTTAAAAGTTGTACAGAGATGGAGATGGCTGGCCAAAAAATGGTACTACGTGGCAGACTCCTGCTCAAAGCAAGTGCTTCATCTTGTTATGTGGTACAGATTGCCTTGCTGCAACCAGCAAGCTTAATACCCATGGTCAAATGGTGAAGAGGAAACTAGGGTAGGGGAATGAACTATTTTGCTGATACAGTTTATCCACCCCTTTGTGGTTTTTTGTCATGACATATGAGAGTCTTTCACAGCAGCTTGATAGGCAGAAACTCTTATTCCCCCATTGCCTCACCAATCTGAGGAAACCTGCATCAGTTGACTATGTAATTTTAAGTACACCTAAGACAATGAAATTCCAAAGTGGGGGTTTTGTGATTTTAGGAGTTGTGCAGAGGTGAAAATTCACAAGATGCGATTCTCCCCATCACAGTACTACAATGATAAAAGAAGTTGCATGGTGAATTTTCTTCCTTCAATGTAAGTTAAAGACACAGGAGCTTCTCAAAATCTGGACCTAACAACCCAAGTTTATTGGTCTTGCTTAGAGATGAAGGAGAAATTTGATTTAGTTAAAGGTGAACCTACCTAATTTGCACTTTCCAAAACAGTATGCAAACCAAAACATAGCTATCCTTCAAAAGCTGCACATATTTGCCGTGTAGTTCATACGCTAGGGTAAATGGGCACAAAGAGGCATGTATTTGTGAAAATTGCATGTTGAGTGAAAGATTCCTGCATTGCAGAGGGTTGCACTAGATGACCCTTGTGGTCTCTTCCAACTCTACCAAGTCTGTGATTCTGTGATGTTGGGGGAAAGTGCATACAAAAGGTTTATATTGGGAGAAATTTGCAGTAAAATGCTAGTGAATTTTCATGAGGACTTCAAAAAATCACAAACATATGGGAAAATGTGGAGAATTGAGGACTGTAAAAATGAAAAACTGAGACAAATCAAAATTGTCAGATATGCCCATTCCTAGTCTTACTCAGTGGGCTGTTATTTACCAGAATGTGTTCCAGTCCTTTAAAAAGCCAACCACTAGGTCTGGTTACAAGAGCTTTTATCACCATGAATCCAGGAAGATGTCTCTGTGCTGTATAAAGTATTCATGCTCTATACTTTTTATGCCTTGTTGCTAACTCTCCCAGTTTTCAAAGGACAGCATTGCTACTCTGCTTTCTTCAACCCTATCTCAGGGAGGCATGTTATGACACATGAGATTCTCAAAGATATCTCACAGAGCTTTCATGAATGCAAAAAGAAGGGGGAAATGTGAGCACTTGGGCTGCAGTTCTACATATATACAGGGTTATGTATATGTTTCAAGTATAGGACTGCTGCTTTAACATTAAAACAAAGCACTGAAACAATAAAAGGCCCCTGAAATGTCATCTTCAAGCAGAGGAAGGTAGCAAATACGATTGTTTGCGGTTGAAATCTTTCCTAAATTTCAGGGTGTTTTTTTACCTTAGAAAAAAGAATGCTTATTGTCGTTTAAGTGTGGGAGACTGTGCACAAACCAAGTGAAGTGTGGCAAATATCTGTATAGTACAGAGATGAAGTGGTGACAGGCATTTTAATTAACATTTTTCAGATACTTTATCTGTATTCAGATAACAATAACCTGAGCTAAAATTCAATTATTGCTAAAACCAAGCATGTGTGTACATGTGCATGTGTTCATGCATGCAGGCACACGCACACCATGGTTGAGAAAGGAACCTTTATAAGCCCACCTGAAGAACTCTGCTTTGAGGTTGATTTTTTAATGAAATCCTTCCAAATAAAGAGACACAAGGAGCAAAAGGGTGTTTGCCTCCTCTGTTTAAGCATAATTAAACACCTTCTGGAATTTCTCAAGGACTGTACCTAAACATGGTTGAATACAGGCATTGGCAGAGGCTAAGGGGTCTGTGAAGCATGCAGAGCCCAAGATCTATGAAGCCATACTGGCCCATCTCTGAAAATTCAGAAGTGGTTGATAGTCTTTTCTCTAGAAACCCTTGCCTATGGTGATGTATTATGTGGCGCAGCAATAAAACAGCTAGCACATTTGTAAAGATAAGCAGGGTCTGGGATGGTTTCAATTTGGATGGGGAACCGCGTGTTGATATTCCAGTATTTCAGGGGGTTGGACCAGATGACCCAACTCTGCAATTCTATGAAAAACAATCTAATAAGATGTGCAGCCTAATCTTATGCATATTTACTGTGAAGTTTAATGGGATTTATTTGGGAGCAAATGTGCAGAGGACTGCAGCCTGAGACCACAATACTCTGCAGGTTTGCTTGAAAACAAAACCTAATGGAAACAGTGGGATTTATTTCCAAATAAACATGTATAAGATTAGACTGTGTCAGATATTTTAACATGAGCTTTAATGCTTAATAATTCCCCTGGTGCCCCATTATCCTTATGGAGTTATAATTGTGAGTGTGTGAACCATCCCAAGGTCCCCAACATACATGAAAGCCATAATAATGAAATAAACTTGGACACATTTATTGGTAGATAGTTAATTCCATTTTCTCCCCTTTTAGGCTCGCTTCTTCACGCTAGCCTACTAACAGGAATACTCTCTGGGGAGAAGAAAAAGGGAGGGAATATAAAAAACAGAAAAAATATTTTCTCCCATCACTACTCCTACAATGCTGATATAATAGGAAGGAGGCCATATTGCACCACCATCTTCCAGATATTACTTGGGTTCCAAGCGTTCTGCTCAGTAGCTGGCTAATACATCTTTTGGTTAAGTTTGTAGCCCAGAAATGGGAAAACTGTGTCCCTCCAGATGATGTTGGACTACAACTCCCATCATCTATGACCATTGGCCAAGTGGGCTGGAGATGACAGAAGCTGGACTCCAAAAACATCTGGAAGGCCACAAGCTTCCCATTCCTATTCTAACTTTTCATTTCCAACCATCTTTCTAGCCCTTGTGGATTTTTTTTTTTAAAAAGAAACACAGAACATGCAACAGCAAGTGTATGAGTTGAGGTCGAAATACAATACCGAGGATGGCACTAGATCCAACAACTAGCAATTTAGTTAGAATTATGAAGAGTGTTGTGGGAGCAGGCCTAAATCTGAGTTACACTTAGAGGGATGGGGAATCTGAGGCCTTCTAGATGTTGCAGAACCAGTTCCTGCCATCCCTAACCTTGCTGCTTAGAACTAACGCGAGTTGGAATCTAAGACCATCTAGGAGGCCACAAGTTTCCCATATCTGCTGTAGAGCCTGTTCTGAATGTTACAGTTCATCTTTGGGACATTTCTTAAGGGAACAAAGATTATACTTGAGCAAGTGCCAAATTCTTCCTTCCTCTTCCTCCTTATGTAACGACAATCTTTTTCCAAGTACTGTATCTGAAATTGGAACAGAGCTTCTAAGTCAGCAGGTGTGGCTTCCTGGCAGACATGAACACCAGAAATGCTCTGTTACTGCAACTAAAAGCAAGTGAAGGAAGACATGCTTCAGGCATAAGGGAGTGTAAAGATGTTCCACACCTCTTGTCTTACAATAGGAGCAGGTCTTCTTTGAACTTACATTAACTACATATCATCCAAAACTAGGCTCTTGTTCTTCTTGTCCCTTTCTTTTTCTTTTACATCTAGTTAATTTTCCTTTCACTCCATCCCTCTTTTCCTGCCTGGGATGGTATGAAATGGAAGCTAGATACACAAAAATCACACCTTCTAAAATACAGAGGGGGGGGGAGCAGTTAGATGTTACACAAAGGAGGTATGCTAATTTAACGCATTATTCATAATTTACATAGCTTTTGAAGACCCTGGAAAGGCAACACTGGCGCTGTCCTCTGTTGGTAATATCATTCAAAGGTCAACCTAGGCACAAGTACAAGAAAAAGTAGCTAGTTATGCAGGAAAATTATACTTACTTCTAAACACATGGAGATTAGGTTATTTTTAGTTTGTGACGGCATACTTCTGAAAGAATTAGTATTTAAAATAAAACTTAAAATTACTTTTTAGTATTCACTTATTCTTTAATCAAATAAAAATCTTAGCATTTTGTTTGTAGCTGCAGTAGCTGCTTTCAGATTAAGATTCTAACAGATCCTCCCTCCCTCCCTCTTCTTTACAGACAAGGCATAACACTCCTTTGGATGTGTTACTACTGCTTCTCCCCAGAGTATATGAAAGTTCATGTTCTGTAAGAGACAGAATTTCCAGCACAAAGGGACTTTTTGGTAAATGCTATACTGTACTTTTGTGTCAAATTAATGCCAGATTTGTTTCTGTTTGTGTACACACCAAGGGGCATTGCAGGGGGTTAGACTAGACGACCCTTTGGTCCCTTCCAACTCTATGATTCTGTGAGGGAAGGGGAATGCATTTACCCTAACCAAAGGTGTGCACATGTAGGCTGGAGAGGAGTCTTAAGGATTCCAGTTGGTGTGAAGCTGATTTGAGAAACAACATCAAACAGGTGTAATTTATAATGAAGTACAGGATACATAAGCATTTTGGATAGTGTTATGTAACATGGATGAAAAACCCAACACTGGAAATGCAGTGAGTGCACAGTAAAGGGAAGCATAAACACAGCCTTACTTTAGGTCTGGTTCACAAATGCACAATAATGGACAAGCGAAGTATCATTGCTTTATCACTAATCACTTTCCTCTCATTCAAAGAATGGCAATTGAATATGTGAATTGACTCCTTTCAAAGTTTCACATCTGAGGTGATAGGGAAGCTCCACCTATAAGGTTTGTGTGAATGAGCCATCAGAGAAAGAACAGCATAGAATTCCCGTATCATCCCATATGATCTCAAATACAAAACTTCTAACTGAGTCAGTTAGATAACTGTTGCCAGTCATCAAACCCAGAATAATCTAGTAATAAAAAAGGAATTGATGTGCATGTATGAACTGGCTGGTGTCAGGGCTGACTGACATTTTACACAGCAGAGTTTGCTGCTAATCCATAAGGAGGCATGCAGGAAACTCATCTGCCTCTTGAAGTGTGTATCTGCCCACAAAAGGACAGGTACTATGAAAGAGCTGCTAATGAAACAGTGTTGACAGACATAACATGACACTACATTGCACACACCAATCCCCCCCCCACTGCCAAATGTTGCAGATGCAATCATATCACATCTGCAATAATGATTTATGGGGGGAACAAACCTTCATGTCTTAGGTTATAACTCTGGAACTAATTGATGATTGCTAATACCACATTCCTCTTGTGGTCCAGTTATACAGGATTTCTTCTAAGGTACTGTCCTGTCAATTCCTCCTTATCATCTGCCAACAGCCCCTGTAAGAAACATGATATTGAAATGGACAGCTGGACAGGCCACAAAATAGACCCCCATCCAGAACAGCATGCAGTGTAAAAATATTAGGGGTGATGAGAGAGTAAAGAGATTTCCAGCAGTATCATCTCGTGTTATTGTATAATTTCTGCAGCAATTCAGGATCTTGCACTGGTAAAGTCTTGAAGTAAGGGGCTAGCGCTAAGTAAGAATCTAGTCAGCACAATGATTCACACTTGCCCAGTGTGACTTCTGCCCCTCTTCCCTCATGCACTCCCTAAATTTATTCTGCAGGTTCCTCCACCCTCCAAATCAGTTTTGGGGAGGCAAATAAAAAATGGATGCTGTGCTCTTTGCCCACCCCATCCTCCTAATGTGCTACCCAGAGCCAAGCCATGGTTGGGCTTAAAGTTTTGTCCAAACTCAGCTTTCTGGTTTAATAAGGCAAACCACAAGTCAGGTTCAGACCTAAGCCAGTCCATGGTTTGGCTTTGGGTAGCAGGAGGACAGGGCAGGAGGGGGTGGGATGCAAAGCAGCCACAATCTTTGCTATTGTTCAGCTTCCTGCTGTGTGCAAACTGGGCCTCTATATATCCCAGGAAGGACAATCAACCTGTGAGAAAACAACTTTGGAAGGATCTGATCCACATACTCCTGGCTGAAGTCCCAACATGATATGGAGGCTGCAATGCTCAGTGTTCCTGCACAATAAATGACTGACAATCAAGAAATGTGTGACAGCTACCATCCTAAACTCACTCACATGAGAGTAAATCTCATTTACTGAAACTAAGTAAACATGTATAGGTTTGTGCTGCATAGTTCTGCCCCTTTTCAAAAGCACTGAACTGTTATATCACCATCACCTTAGCATTTGATTGTGGCTTACAGTCCTACTTATTAATCCTCACAGCAAACATGCAAGATGGATTTCAGTTTTTCAGGTAACCAGGGTTTGTTTGTTCAAGTACATCTTTTTCAAGGCCACTCTGTAAGATCATGGCTGAGCTGGAATCTGAAGTGGCATCTACCAAGTTCAACATTCGACCATCATCAACTAGGAAGCTGTGATGTCATCTCGGGCCAAATAATAAGCCGCCTCTATATCTCTGCCTCAGGATCTCTGGGTCACCTTTTATTGCGGCTTACTGGTGTGAGTATGAGTGAATTCTATCCCATTACAGAGAGCAGGGAATTGGTAGAAGTGAACCCTCCCCCACCCAAGACCTTATCATCCCTTCTGGATATGACACAGAAGAATTTTCAAAAGAGCTTTATTGTGCATTTCCCTTTTTATTTTTTATTTTTTTAAGTGAGATGAAGAAGTATTTCTGTTTTGCCTGTTGAGGTCTCTGACTTGCCACGTCTTGGTTGTACAACCAAAGAAAAAAAAGACATTTAACTGATCAATCAAAGTGGGAGGACATCATGGGTGATAGAAATTTGCCAACATTCAGACTTCAGAGATCTACTAATTCCCATTATACTTCAGTGTTGAGTGGCACTCATTGGACCACTGCCTTTTTATCAATATCCACAAAAACCAAGAAGATAATAGCATCACAATCTAGTTTTGATGTATTCATATATGAGACTATTTATTTTGCTCATGACATGACTCTCAGGAGACAAGCAAATATCCGGAAAACTGGGAGTCTCCTGAAAGTATTGCAATGGCTGGAAACAACAACTAATCAGCATGGCGGTAATGTCAGAAATTTCAGAGACAAAAGTCTAGGTTTTAAAATAAGTACTTCTACCTTCAATAGGCTTATACGATACCTTCCAATAAAGATCGGAAGATTAAATCATAAAGGTTATGGTTTTTAAATATCTAGTTGTGGGAACAGAAAGCCTACTATCCAAATTTACATAGTAAACTATCGGCTGTATGATTTCTGTTCATCTACATGTTCCAAAGTTCCCCAAACTATTCAGAATTCTGTGTCCGAACACACACACTACATTCCACTACACCAGTGTGGTGCAGTGGTTAAGAGCGGTGGACTCGTAATCTGGTGAACAGGGTTCGCGTCTCCGCTCCTCCACATGCAGCTGCTGGGTGACCTTGGGCTAGTCACACTTCTCTGAAGTCTCTCAGCCTCACTCACCTCACAGAATGTTTGTTGTGGGAGAGGAAGGGAAAGGAGATTGTTAGCCGCCTTTGAGACTCCTTAGGGTAGTGATAAAGCGGGATATCAAATCCAAACTCTTCTTCTTCTCTTCTACATATATATGAGAATAGTGCTGTGCAATTATTTCACTCGTTTTCCGGTTCAAAACCTTCCAACAGTTTGTAGTAAAACAGCATTTGACTTAAATAACTTTCTTCCAGATAGAAGATGGTGTATGCGCGCGCACACACACTGTTCCAGCACAGCACTACATCACCCAAATATTGCTGCTCCCAGATGGCTGGATTGCCTCCAAGCCCCAAGGGCATTACTGACTGCTAAGGCCTCCAGCAGCTGTCCTCTTATAGCATAGTAATGACTCTCATATTATCAAACAGTATTTTTTATTAGCATAAATTCCCCACCAGTTATTGAGCAACTGAATTCCTCGTGGCTTTGATATACAGGAATATTTCATCCAGTCTCAGAATCTGCAAAAGCATTATCCACCCAACAAATCTTCACCTTTCACAAAGAACTAAGGAGCAACAACACACCATGACTGCCCCCTCTGTATGATTAAAGGATCTATTTACAGTATTTATTTTTATTTACCTGTTTGTTTAGGGAATTTTTAAATCCCCACTTTTCCACTCTGAACAACGTGCTCAAGGTGGCTCATAGCAAATTAAAAATACTTACTTAAAAACAACAACCTCAAAACAATAAAGAAGTTATAATCAACAAAAACATACACCAAAGGAAGCAAAAAGGCCATATTAAATCAAGTGGTAGGGAACCCGTAATCCTCCAGATATTGCTTGAATCCAACTCTCATCAGCCCCGGTTAGCTCTCCCAATAATCCAACAACATATGGAGAGTCACAGGTTCCCCACCACTGCACTAAAGGGAAGCCAAAGGCTAACAAAAATTAAAAGTTCTTCAGTCAACAACTCAAGACCAAAGGAGCGAGGCTAAGCAGACCACTAGGGAGAGGAGTTCTACATCCTTGGCACCACTTCTGAGCACACACTTTTCCACAAACACGAAATGGGGGACTAAATGATCCTAAGTGTTCCTTCCAACTCTATGATTTTGTGTACAAAAGAGAGAGGAAGTTACACAAAATAGCTTATCCCACTAAGGGATCGCAGGATTGCATGAGATGAGAGAGTCCTTTAAGTATACAGGTCCCAACTTGTTTAGGGTTTTAAAGGTGAATTGTGCCTCGATTCAACACTTTGAATTAGGCTGGTCAGTTGTGCAGTGTCAAAAAGGAGGGTTTGCATCATCAGATAAAGAGGACAAAATAAAACAGCAATTTGCACATGATTTATATTTATAGACAGAAGAAATAATTACCAAAATTTAAATAAAAATATATGTAATATATTTTACCACATTGGGGAAGTGAATAGAGTTGTTGCAAACTGCCAGGTGGAAATGTTCTTTCTTGTGCTCAGGTCCTGTTTGCATGTTTCCCACAGGCATCGGTTGGCCATGGTGAGAACAGACCGCTGAACAAATTGGACCACTGGCCTGATCCAGCCGGCTCTTCTTGTGTTCTTAAGGCATCAGGTGACTTGGTGCGTCTGCTCCACCTGCTGACCAGGTGCTGCTAACTGTGGATGGGCAGCTTCAAGGTTCCTGCTCTCCTTTTTCATGCTTCCTTACCTTTAAAGCAGACTCAAACTGGAAAGCCCTCCAACAGAACACACCTTCAAAGAGAGGACTGCCTTCTGACGGTCCTTCAAAACAGACTGACAGCCAATGAAGTCAATATAAAAATGGAGTAACATCCTTGGAAAAAAATATAGCTCCAGTCAGCACTTTAGCAGCTGAATTTCATACCAGCTGGAGTTGCCAAAATCTCTTCAAAGGAAGTTCCATATGGAGTACATTACACTAATCTGATCTTCATGTAACCAAGGCATATGAGGTAAGGTCGGTGTCAACTACAGAGTGAGCCTTCTCAGTGGTCATGTCCTGTTTATGGAATCTCCTCCCTCCCCAGGGAGGTCAATCTGCCAGCATCATTGTTATCCTTTAGATGACAGACAAAGTCATTTCTATTCTCCCAGCTTTCCTAAGTTTATATAGTTTTCGCTTCTGCTGTGGTTTTCATTTTTATTGTATCTTCTTCTTTTCTTCTGTTGTATTTGTATTTAAATCACCCTGGAAACATGACTGAATAGCAGCATATGTGCTTTAAAAATAAGTGTGTGCCTAACTATGCCCAGGTCTGCTTCCTCCAGAAATCTGCACAGTCAGTATACCAGCCTAAGCTCCTGGCCACTGCTTCAGCCTAGGGAACTGGAAGTAAAGCTGGGTGCAGAAGCACAACCAAACTGCAAACTTCTTCTTTTTAAAATTGAGGGTTTTGAAAAAGTTAGACAAAGATCAACAAACCAGGAGAACAGTTTTAATGAGCGAGATGTAAGGGGGCAGGTCGCGGCAGCAGTGCATAAAAGGAAACAATTAAGACAACAGTCTATGGCAGTGTGGCTAACGTTCGGTCTTCCAGATGTTGTTGGGCCACAACTCACACCATCACCAATCGCTATAGTCCAACAGCATCTGGAGGGTTACAGGTTAGCTTCTCTGGTCATCTTTCCCCAATGCAAATCTGGTTTTTCAAGGCAGAGAACAATCCCATGCACAACAACATGGATTTTTGTGTGTGGGAGGAATCAGCTATGGAAGGCACCAGGAACAAAGACAGCTGCACAGACTGATAGCGTTCCTGCTTGATTTTTTTTGTTTAGCAATGGGGGAGGGGGATTCATGCTCAATAAACATTACTTGCAAAAACATTCGTGCTGCAGCTAGCTGGAACAGACTGAGCAACACTACCAATCTGTGCAGCTTTCTTTGTTCCCGGTTTGCAAATCCATCCAAAACAGGCTATATTACTGCCACTGGGTTGGCAGCCCTACTGTCCAAGAGTACTTATACATTGTTTGGATTAAGCTTCCATTTGTTTTGCAGTCCCTTAATGATCTCAGAACACCACAGTCTCTCTACAATGACATGGAAAGAGAAGTAAGTCGAGTCACTCCTAGGCAATCCCTCCCAGAGACTTCATGGGGGGACAGAGACTGCATGGAGAGACTGCATCCCAGAGACTGCATGGAAGACAAGAGTCCCTCATGACACTGTAAGCCAGTGGTCAAGATGGTAAGCAGAAGTCCCCCAGCACCAGCTACTGACAGCTACTCTCTGGAAGGATCAGACACACCATAAAATGATGCCCACAGCCAAGTGGTCCAGAAGCATACTACAATAGATGGTCATGAAAGCTGCTGAGAGGTCCATCAAAACCTACAGGGATATAACTACCTCTGTCCAGTTCCTGAAATAGATTAACTACTAGGGTGCTACCAGGCCATCTCAGTCTCCAATAGGGGCAATAACTTGGATTAAGATGGATTTAGAAAATCTAGCATCTGGAAAAACTTAAGATGGGTTAAAACCACATCTTTAAGGACCGTGCCCCAACAGTGAATATTGGAAATGGGCTAGAACTCACCCAATATGGTAGATTCCAATAAGGTTTTCTCAGCAGTTTAACTATTGCTCCACCTGTCCGAGAGACATTTGTCATCCACTCAAGCCAGCCCACATCTGGCTGCCTAAATCAATGGACAAGATGGAAGCACACAGCTTGCCAGCCTCATCCTCCAAGAATTATGTCCACTTTTAAGGCTGTACAACTGAATGGTATCTCTAACAAGCTGGCAAGCAGTTACCAGATGTCTAAACAAACAGTCCTGCTTTTTGTTGTTTTTGATAATGGGCAACAGAATTATCTTCTCCTTGTCCTCTACCTATGATTGCACCATTCTAAGGAATTCTTTATAAATGCTTCTTATTTTTACTTCTTTAGAACCCAAATGCTCCAAAATGTGAAAATCCAGTGTGAAATCACTTACATGGGCTTTTAAAAAACTAGCAAACACCAACATGGATACCCCTCGGTTCAACAATTCCACATTATTTTATGAGCCTTTTCTTTTTCTTTTGAAAAACATGTCCTTTGGAGGTGGCTGGATCCTTAACTTTTACTTGAAGGCTGCACAGCACCCCTGACATTTTGGGGGGGGCTGTTATTGGTGTTTGTTTTCATTTTTCAAATCAAAACAAGCTATACTCCTACAGCAAAGCTACCTCCCTGCCGTTGCACAGAAACTCAATGCTGCTAGTGGAAGTATCGGTATATCACTAATGCAAAGGTGTGGGAGGGTGGGGAGGTTGTCATAAAGGACAGCTCTATGACTTGCATCTAATCCTGGTTTCTGACCCTGTAAAAGCAGAAGATGACAGCAATATTTTGAAGGGAAGTTCCATCCACAGTTGACAAGAAAGGAACTGTGATGTGTGGCACTGTAAGGAGATCATTCGGGATTGACAGCAATGTTCTGCACATTTCAGAGATGGAGTCTCTCTCTCATGCTGCCAAGCTGACAGTTTTGCCTGCCTGCAATTCCCTTTCCCGGATAAGAAAAAAAGAATGAGACTATTTCTCAATTTCTCTTCATTTCTTTGCTCCTGGGCATTGGAAATCAGAACAAAATGAAAGACGTATTATGAGGGGGCTGGAAGAAATAAACGTCTAGAGAATTATTGCGGTGGGGGAGAGAAAGGAGGGGATGGGAGAAAGAACAGGATGATGCAGAGGCTTTAAAAACAATATGCAAATAAGGCACAGCAAAATCATTTGTTATTGACAAAAGCCCAAAAGACTGAGCCAAAGGGAGTAAAAACTGTTCCCTCCCATACTGGGTGAAAAGAATACTATACCATGGGATGGAGATAAAGAAAGTAGGGAGGAGGCTCCCCTCCTTTCTGATTCCCACCCACCCTCAGAGCCCACATTTCCACATGCCCCTGACTTAAGCCATCATTCGCAGCCCAATCCTATGCACATATACTCAGAAATAAGTCCCAGTGAGTCAAACAGGCCTTACCCCTAAGTAAGTTTGTATAGGATTGCAACCTTAGGCTGGGACTTTCTTCTGAATAAACATGAACCGAATTGTAGCATTAGAGATGCACTGAAGAGAATGAGAGTAGTACAACTGCGCAGTAGCAAAATATTAATTCCTATCCACAACCATTAATATGTGGTTGAAACATAGGCAACTCTGAAAACAAGCCCCCAATAACATTTTATTATTATTATTATTATTATTATTAAGGGTAAGCTGACTTAGAATATCAGCAATAGTGACTGTTCATAGCTTTTCCGAACTATAACTACTTTTCTTCTCAACCCAGGATTATCAACAAGGCTGGTCCTATGATAAACAGTGCCTGGGTCAAGGGGCACAATTAAAGCCCCCTTCCATGCTGTGAGTCGCATTGCCAAGTTGTCTGGCTTGTGCTGGATTTGCCTAATGCTCACAGGCTTTTCCAGCAATGGCCATGAAAAGAGTCCAGAGCTATGTCTCACTAATTTTGCCCTAGCTCACTGCAGACAGTACAGTCAACAAACACTGAGGGCTCATTCACACTGGTTCCACCTTTCCCCCTCAAGAAAGCCTGCTGTTTACAGCTGAATCAGAACAAACACCACTCTTCTTTTTGCAGATGTATGTTTGTTCTGATTCAGTTGTAAATAGCCGTGGGATAAACGAAATACTGCTCAGACCCAAGATTAGAATGCACAGAACAAACAGAAAACTCTCAGACAAGCGCAGTGTGGATGAGTCCTCAGTCCCTGAACTCAGTCTGGTGCCCTAAGGGTGAGTGCCCATCCTGGTTATCAAATTGTTCTCACAAAATACACCTTCCTGAGGTAGCCAAAATTCTTACAAAGTCTTCCGGCAGATTTCTTTGAGCCATGTGCCTACCAGTCATCAAAATGCACATTATCCTTACCAACATAAATTCCTTCTTCAACAAGCAGTCATTGGAGAAAAAGTAATTTGGATTGGGCTCATGGTACGGAGGGGTGGGGAGGGATTTCTCTTTGCCCCTGCACTAATTATTCTCTGGGGCTAATAGTAGTGCTCCACAGGGGCTGATCTGGATTGGGTCCACACAGTGTGAACAGAAAGAATTAAGACTTTTTCCTCCATGTTCCCAATCCCAATCACCACGCACACGTGTGTGTTTTTTAAGAGAATAAAAATATTTGGGGATTGTAATATGGAACTCAAATGTAACGGCGAATCACTTAATCAGAAGATATTTTGTTCATCATCTTAAGTAATGACAGGATTCCTCCAACTGTTCACAACAGGTGATCAAAAATCTCTCTGCTGGGGAAAGGGGGTTTAATGAAATGACACAGCTTCTTTATTCCATCGCACAAGTTATAGTTATGAAGATTTCCCCATGTTTCTTTAAAATCTTGAAACCATTCTTTCTTGTTCTTCTCTCAGTGGTCCTTAAAAGTACCTGTTAGACCCAGCATCCCCAAACTCAGCCCTCCTGCTCTTTTGGGACTACAACTCCCATCATCCCTAGCTAACAGGACCAGTGGTCAGGGATGATGGGAGCTGTAGTCCAACATCATCTGGCGGGACACAGTTTTCCCATCCCTGGGCTAAAAACTTAACCAAATGATGTACTAGCCAGCAACTGAGTAGAAAGCTTGGAACCCAAGTAATATCTGGAAGATGGTGGTGCAATATGGCCTCCTCCCTATTATGTCAGCATTGCTGGAGGGCGAATTTGGGGATGCCTGTGTTAAACCTAAACTGGCCCACTGACCAGCAATAAGTCCGATATGTGTCTCTCTGTCACAGCAGCTGTAGCTGGCACAGCAAAAATATAGTACTCTCTCTCCCAAACCACCTTCCACTGACTGGCCCAAGTAGAAATTTTACAGTTACTCTTCCCAACCGTGTGTGTGTGTGTCTGTGTGCAACTCAGGAAAACACTTTGTGCATCTATTAAATCTTTTACCACAATATATTTGTTAGACTTTAAGATGCCACAAAACTCCTTGTTGTTTTTGCCGCAGCAAACTAACAGTAACAACAATAATATAGCAACCCAAACAGTAAACAGCCTTTCTGTCTCTGGTACACAAAGTCACATTTTTTGACAGAAGGTGAAGGTTCTCTTCTGGTATTTTGCTTGAACAAGCCATTCAGGAGTTTAAAGTTTTTGTCTCTCTTTCTGTGCCCTAACTTCTCAAGAAGAACAGGGGAAGGGAATATGTACAACTCAAATCATCATCATCATCAATTGTCTTAACAACAATCTCAATTCAAGTGTGCCAATGCAACTTTGATATTTCTTTCTACATATCACAGGTCTCTCAACTTCCAGCTAATACACCTATTTCTTCTTTTAATCTGTTTGTTTTATCTAACCTTCTCATACAGTCAGGCACGGGTTAATTAATTTATTTTACAGTGGTACCTCGGGTTAAGTACTTAATTCGTTCCGGAGGTCCGTTTTTAACCTGAAACTGTTCTTAACCTGAAGCACCACTTTAGCTAATGGGGCCTCCTGCTGCCGCTGTGCCGCCGCCGCACGATTTCTGTTCTCATCCTGAAGCAAAGTTCTTAACCCGAGGTAATATTTCTGGGTTAGCAGAATCCTGTAATCTTTAGGTAGACAATTGAGTTTTGTGCTGGACCCTGTGCACTGATCAGCCCAGCAAACCACTCTAAAAGGAAGCCAGTTGCAGAGTTTCCAAAACTTCTCACAGCAAAGAAATGAAGCAGAACACTTGGCATTTCCAAGGTTCTTCTTTATATGGGGACAAATTATTTAGAATCCCAGGGCCATTTAGGAGATAATGTTGTACTGTACTCATGTAAAAAACTCAGTTACTTCAAAATGGATGTCACAAACATCTATCTTGTACTTGGGACTAGGAACGGAAATAAAATTATCTCATAAGTGGTGGTCCTGGGGATTAATCAAGAAGAAAAAGGAGAAAAAATTGGTAACCCTACTTGTACCTTGCAAATGCACAACTCAAAACATATTGTTAGACTACATGGCAACAGCAGGATTGCCAACTTATTTTTACTGGCTCTGCTCATGTGAGTTTAAGAGCAACCTGCTGTGCAAAAAATAAACTTGCTTTAATCTATAGCTTCATGGTATCCTGGCAAATTGATGAACTTAATTTTCAGCATCCACACACTGAAAAGTAAAGCTTTGTTAAAAATGAAAATATGCCAAATATTTTGAGTCTTCCCCCACCTTGTAAAGGGACTCTGAATAAACTGATAGATGCTGCAACCTGTGCTTTAAGGAGTAAATCCCCTTGACCACAGTGGGACTTACTTAGATGGATGCCAGCTGATAAACACAGAAGCTCAGGCTGGATGTTTTTTGCACCACTGGCAAAGCTTCACCCGTTTACTTTTTGTATATCAGACTGCTGTTAAATGTATAGGAGAAAATGGGAGGGGAATCAATATATCTACCATTGGCTTCACTTTTATTGTGACCCCTGGCTCCACCTACCATTCACTGCCTCTCCCTCCACCCCACCAAGTCCAATGAGAACTGGTCAACAGTATTAATAGCGGCTTACCTCGTAAGTTTGCTGTAATGATTCTAAATGTATGTGAGGCAGTATGAGCATATAATATTATAGATTATACAGGATTCACTAGGTATTACTTTCACGATACAGACAAATTGCATTTGTCTTGGAAAGTAATTTATTGAATTGAACTGACCAAAGGCCATGGCAGTTACAAATATAAAACAGGAACAACAATCCATATTAACTGACAATACCAAATTATGAACAAAGCAAATTATAATCTAAACCACAGTTATTTTGATCTTCACCTTTCTGAGGTAGAATAATGGTGCAATTTCTGTGATCAAATAACTCTGTAGGAGAGATCATGGATTCTAAGCACCTTAGAAATGTAAGATGCTGATTATTGAGAGGAAATTAGTGAAATGAAAGTTCTTGTGAAAATAATGATCCACCTTGTCACTATCTGCAGAACACACATGAGAATAGCAGACAAGTCTAGGTACACACATACACATGTATTTCTGGCATAATTTCTAGTTAGAATCTCTCTTCCATTCACAAACGTAAACCTCTGACCCAGGATCTGGGAAAAATAAAAGACAAACCCTGGAAGTTGTTTAACCATTCTATGCTCATTTTGACTTCAATTATCCACAGAGAAACAGGATTGAAAAGAAGAAAAAGAACAGGACTGGAAGCACTGTCAGATCAGCTGTCTGGAAGGGAATCACTCAGGCCTCATTCCACAGGGGAAAGGCAGGCATTCAAAGCTAGAGCTACAATTTTCCTGGCTGACTAGATGCTCATTTCAGCCAAGGAAGGAACAGCACCTGTTCCAAGTGTCTGGTTTCAGAGAGTGCCAGGCGGTTGTGAAAAGGCAGGGAATAGCCTGAACTCTGCCCAAATTCCTGCATTGTGTTAGCAATGTGGAATCTAATCTTTTCTTGGAATCCACCTATCTGTGGACCTTTTAGTCTCAGGAAAGGCTGCCAAAGCCAGGTCCCTGTGTATCCAGCCTTTGTTTACATCTTAACCAGTTCTCTGTCCCATTGCTAAAAAGCAGCGGCACATTTACCACACACTCACAAATCCCCTTCCGGACAAACGGTGAGCCTGTAAGGGACCAAAAGGGGGAAGGGACTACAAACTTCCCCGTCTGTGATTCCCTAGAGATCAAGAGTTCAGACAGGCAGTGAGAGTGTCATCATACCTGTATTTATGAATAAAGAACTCCAAGAGCCAGAGCTGTCATATCTGCATCCTTCCTCTGCATGTAGAAACAGGGGAGGAGGAAAGGGGAGGGGGAGGAGCGACTAGCTTTAACTGGATTGTACCGGCAGCAGCTCCATCACAATTCAATCTGTCAAGGACTGTACCAAGAAATGTGTTTCTTCAAGATTTAGACAAAAGAGGAAAGGGGAGAGAGAGAGAGAGAGAGAGAGAGAGAGAGAGAAACGCTTCCCAACCCAGAAATTGCAATCGCTCCCATACTGAGCAACTTGGGCTAAAGGCAAAACTTGCATGCAAGTGAAAACAGGCCCCTGCATGCACAAAAGACTCGGGCCTGAGGGAGACAGGAGATTTCGTAGGAAGGGGTTAAGTATGCAAAGAGCATGGAAGGGCTGGGGTAAAATTACCTGGATGAAAGCGCCAAGGGGGGAAAAAGAAAAGGAGAATTATTCCTTTCTGGTTACCCTGAAAACCCATATAATGAAGGTGCTGCGAGTGTAATTACTCTGGCTTGTTTGGCATGGCAGGGCATCGCGCTGCCACGGGGCCAATTTCCTCTCTTCTCCCAATTAGCATGCCAAGTAGTCCAAACAGCTCACTGGGCACTGATTGGAGAAGTGGACTAGCAGCCAAATACCCCTTCGTCCAATCAGGAGGCAGCAAGCGCTCTGCTACAACGCTTGGGCTCATTCCTTCATTTTATGTCCTTCCGCCGCTATCATTCTCTCCTCTCCTCAGGAGACTCTAAAGGGAGTGATAAAAACCGCGAATCTTCCCTTCCCTTCCCCAGCTGGTCTCATTCACAGCTCCTGGCAGCCCCGGCTTCCTCAAGGGACCCACTAATGAAGACGGCCAACGTTAATCTCTCTCCCCCCTTTCCCCTGATGGGTCGATTTATACTTCCACAGAGAGTCCTGGCTCCCAGCCAGAGGGCTCAGCACATTCTTCTTATTCAGAGAGAGAGAGAGATGGGGAAAGACGTGTTCTCTCTCTCTCTCTCTCTCTCTCTCTCTCTCTCTCTCTCTCACACACACACACACACACACACACACACTCTATTCCAAATGCACACTGAGACAGTAGATTTCGGAAAACGCCTAAAGGGGATATTACAAAGCCGGAGAGGTGTTGAGTAACACCTTTACATTTCTAAACAGCCCCTTTTATCCCCAAAGAGCTTTGCAGAGATCTGGGGGGCTACAAGGAGACAGCGGCTCTCCGCCTGCCACCCGCATTACACATACAAAGCTGGGAGGGCTGGAGATTATCAAGGGCTGGAATAAAAAACGGGAAATTCAGACAGGGAGAGAGAAGTACTCATCCAAACTGGAACCCAGCCAAGACAAAGGGCTTCAATGCATTGTAGTCTCAAGCTGCATGCTCAAGATCACCTGTTAATCCTGACGAGGTTCCCTTCGGGGGACTTTCCCCATCTTTTGCACATAAAATGAGGAGTGGCAGAGGACAGGCGCTTTTCACGTTTCCAATTCGTGGGCTTAATGCTGATCTGTGATTCTTGAGAACAGAACCAAGGGTTTCTAATTATTCTAGATTGACTACTCTGAAGTAAAAGAGTTCATCCCCCCACCCTTTCATTTTGACAGGTTGGAAATAATGCAGGGGAGCTTCAAAGAGTCCAGAAGACAAACGTTTCAAGGCTCAAAGATCTAGTATGTGTAACCTACAGAAAGAAGATTAACACATTTATAACCTTAATAAACAGCAACGTGGGTTTAAGGATCACTGAAATCATCAGGATTTAAGGCTGCTTCACACATATGTTCTTCAGGTGTACACAAATAAATTTTAAGTGTACACCTAAAAATGTGATGTGTGGGCAGGACAAACACATGTTTGGAAATGTGTGTATTATTATATAGGCATGCTAATCACAAAGCCACAATTGACTGAAGCTCCCAGCTAAATTAAAAAGGTAAAGGGACTCCTGACCATTAGGTCCAGTCGTGGCCGACTCTGTGGTTGCGGCGCTCATCTCGCTTTATTGGCCAAGGGAGCCAGCGTACAGCGATGGCAAACTCAGGTAATACACTAAAAAGCCTTTATTTCCAAGTAATTGTGAGGACAGGGCTGTGAGAAAAGCCATCCCAAAATACTGTTCTGTCATACCACTCCATTTGTAGGTGGCAAAACTGGAAGCATTTTACCTGATTTATGGGGGAAGGAGGAGAAAGGATGAAATGTAAGTCTGGGGCAAAACTCACCACCCTCTGCCAGAGCTCCTCTTAGCAGTGGACACTGACTCTCTCCCAACCCCAATTTTCCCCTTCTCCCAACATTTGACAGAGCTATTTAACCTCTCATCCTCTCCTGGTAACAGACAATTAAGGGTGGGCTAAAGTATGTATTTAATTTTTTAAAATCTGATTAATTAATCAAAACAGTATATTTATGGGAAGTTAAACAAAAGAAGCAAAATTTTGAACAGCTTTGGATACCTTTTATTCTTTATATGAAGCAGAACTATAATACAGACATTAATGAAAATACAGCATTTGCTTTATAGGTACAGAACAAATTCTCCCATAACTTACAAAGGCTATTATTATAGGTATTTAGTGATAATTATGATAAACTGAATATTAGGGGGAAATTCTGTAGTAATTATTGGTTATGGTTAAAATAAATATTTTCTACTTTGATTATGGATTATGATGTGTATGTGTATAGAGAGATAAAATTGTTCCTATTGGCTATTGTTCTGAAACTGTTGTGTTATTGATTACAGATAATGTATTTGTTGAATCAGTATACACTTTGTTTATTTATAATTTAATGATCACAAGGGTGGTCAACCTTTTTTGCCAATATGGAGCACCTCTTAATTTTGAGGTAATGCCATTCTAGTGCCTGCTACAGTGCATTTGCCATGAATTGGTCTTGCTTTGCCTCTAATCTACTGTACCAGGGACCAGGAGGCATAAGTGAGAAAGGCATGAGTCAGCATAAGGGAAACAGGCCTGAATGCAGACCTGAATTCAAGCCAGAATTAGGCCCACAGGCTCCCATACTGTGCCACAAATTCCTGCTGCCTATGCTGCTTGTGATACCAAACTGCTATACAGTGGTACCTCTGGTTGCAAACGGGATCCGTTCCGGAGGCCCGTTCACAACATGAGCAGAACGCAACCAGCGTCTGTGTGTGCGTGGGTCGTGATTCGCCGCTTCTATGCATGACATCATTTTGCGCATCTGCGCATGCGCAAGTGGCTAAACCCGGAAGTAACCCTTTCCGGTACTTCCAGGTCGCCGCGGGACGCAACCTGAAAACGCTCAACCTGAAGCAAATGTAACATGAGGTATGACTGTAGGTTGGGCACCTATGAAATATAACATATCACTATTTCAGCTTAAATTTTTGACTATGTTACATCGTTAGATACCTTTTAGCTCTGTGTGGACACTGATGACCAGCTGACCATATAGAAAATGTGAGAAAATTTGCCCGTATATAGTGCTATAATACAGAAGCCCATGGTTGGTTTTGTACTCGTTCTTTGGTTGTTGTTGCTCCACCCCTAGTTACTGATTTCTTCTGTTGCTATGGAGTGAAGATGTTAGTTCTACTTATCCCTCCATGCATTGCTGCAGTATTTTCTCACTATTTCATGGTTCTTTATGTAGGTAGTTCATTCTGTTTTCCCTCTGTTAAAAGTTAACGTAGACAGATAACATTTTGTTTGCATTAGTGTCCAATTATATGTCATGTTTTCATTAAAATATTTTCCTGTCTTGATAGGAGAGTGGGAATCATTCTTTTTCAATACACCTTTGAAAGAAAGCTCCCAGGTTCTCTAATCAATACCATTGCTTACCTGCCTTTGAATGTATGGAAGAGCGTAAAATAAGCTGTACGGTGCATAAATGGTAGCATAAATGGTATTATATCCAACAATTTTCTATACTTATTGAGGATGTGGGTTTACTGTAATTTTTGTTCCTGATTTTTCTCTTGCTTGTTTTGTACATATTCAAAAATGTGTATGAATGATTTCAAACTACTATATTTTTCAGATTACTGTACTTTATAGTTAATTACATTTGTTTGTGAATACAAATCCAGAGCTTGTTAGGGTGGGAGAAGTGCTCCTATTGAGGCCTAGAAACATACACTCCAACTTTCCCAAATTAGCCAGGAAAGCCACAGTTGGGTGCTATTAATCATAGCCATTCCAAATCCAGTTTCTGTACATAACCTATGGGAGCCTTCCCAGACCCACTGAAAGAGGCAGTTATTAAACCGCTTCTTAAAAAGACATCTTTAGACCCGGCCAATATGGTCAACTATCGCCCAGTCTCAAATCTACCATTCTTGGGCAAGGTGATTGAGTGGGTGGTTGCTGAACAACTCCAGGCATGCCTGGAGGATGCAGACCATTTGGGTCCCTTCAGTCGGGATTCAGGCCTCATCATGGGACTGAAACTGCCTTGGTTATGCTGATCGATGACCTCTGGTGGGCTAGGGACAAAGGTGAAAGCTGTTTCCTAGTTCTGCTGGCTCTCTCAGCGGCCTTTGACATCATCCACCATGACATCCTTCTGGACCGTCTAGAGGGTCTGGGAGCTGAGGGCACTGTTATAAAGTGGTTCTGCTCCTTCCTCCTGGGCCATGTTCAGAAAGTGGTGTTGGGGGATAAGTGTTCAGACCTCTGGGCTCTCACTTGTGGGGTGCCTCAGGGTTCCATCTTCTCCACCATGCTTTTTAACATCTACATGAAGCTGCTGGGAGAGATCATCGGGGGTTTAGGCTGGGTGTTTTGTTTTTTTAAAATGATATTTATTGAAAAAATTTTAGAATTACAAAAAAGAACAAAGCAGAAAAAGAAAAAAGAAAAAACAAAGAAAAAACAAACCACATCAAACAATACAAATTCAAAAAACCCAAAAATACACCACAAACAGACAAAAACAAAGCCATCATTCTCAAATCCTCAACTATCATTACCTTATTTCTTTGACCTCCTCCTCCCTTTTTTTGTATCCTAGTTGTTAATTGTCGCAGCAAATCCTTTCCATATTTCATAATATTCTGTCATTACATTACATTAATCTATTTTCATCTTATCTTATAGAAAACCTTAAAACTTAAAACTTAAATCTTATTTTTACCAACTTCTCATAACCATAATATTCTTACCTAATTCTTTAAACATTTTTACTAGAGCCAAGTAATTTCGTTCCAACATTTTTCTAACATTCATCAATTTTATAAAACAATCCTAGTAATAAAAAAGAAATAAAAACAATCCAATCTTCATCCAGCGTCCCTTCCTCCTGGTCCCGGGTTGTGTCCGTCCTTTGTATCCCATTGATCTAGCGCATTAACCTGGTAACCTTATATCCGAGGCCCTTAAGTCTCTTCCATGTCGCTTCCGCGGCTCTTCTTCATATTCTCCTTTCACTCGTGGGAACTGCAGCTTGGTAATATTTTTGACCCTTTTCAACAAATCAGCCCCTTTTCCATAGTCCAGACTAAACTCCATGTGGTATTTAAAAACATGTTTCAGAATCCCTCCAAAATTAAGAGCCCCCACAGCCCCAAACATCTCACGGCCCATTGCCAGACTTGGAAAGTCCAAACATCCCTGCATAGGGGGGTCTATCCAACCCCCCATTTCCAAACCAGTCCAAACTTTATCTTTCCAAATCTGGCTTTTTCCAAGTTCATTTGTCAAATCCAAAAGCTCATGTTCCTGCAGGGCCACAGCTCCCTCCATCTCTGGCACCCAAGATTCAGCAACGTCCTCTTCTCTCATCTGTTCTGTCAGGGCACACTCCTGTTTTAATTCCTGGGTGGGCTCCATATAGTTTCTCACTGCCTGTTCAAAAATTCTGACCGCATTAGTCATCAAATCCGTCTTCTCATTTAACTGTTCCAGTAGGGCATTTGTTTTACAGAGAACACACAACAGAGCTTCTGAATACATTGTCCTACAAGGTCAAAAGTCTATTCCCACGATTGTAATCTGTAACAGCTGCAAGCTCCCTGGAATTGGTTACAGTTTCACAGTCTATTTGTTCTTTCTTTTAAGGACAAATCTAGCAACAAAGTTTCCTTTTTCAGATATTTTGTCAATATTTGTTCCTTTAAAATGCGAAAGGGAACAGTGGAATCACTATGTTTCTCTTCTTTTAGCTATCTGTCAAAACGTTTGTCTCTGGTCAATGAGCTTCAAACGTCAGTCCTGACACCCCGCTCCAGGATCAGGACGGTGGAAAGTTACTTTACTTTAAACTCACTTCTGCAGGTTTAAACAGTCCGAGAAAGATCCCCCTTCTTCTCCTGCTTCCGAAGGGGGGTTCAACAATTTTAAATGATGAAAGTTAATCTTTTAGAAGCGATTTTCTGAGCTCTAGTTTACCTTGTCTTTGCTTTATTCTGTCTACAAAGAAACGGAAGGCTGACTTCCTGTTTAGACCTTCCCGTTTCAGTGCCAAATTAAAGTAAATTTTTAAGTCCAATTCCTTTCTGCTCGCAAGTCCTTATTTAAAGTCCAATTGTCCAAAATTTAAGTACTCACGGGTGATTATTTTAGAAGCCAAATTGTCCCAGGAAAAAGGCAGCGCTCTCCGGCAACGGCTATGCGGCTTCGCTCCACGGAAAAAGCAGTTGACTCTCAGCACCGCGCCACTTCCCCCTCTTCGCTTCGGAGCCCGTTAGTGGGTTCCTTTGCGGGTTGGGGGGGCGCTAAGGGTGCCCGCCGAGTCCCATGGTCACAGGCTTCATCCGCCTGTGATTTTTGAAAGGGTCCCCGCTTCGCCGTAGCGGAAAAGACCCGTTTCGTGCGGAGCTAGTCCCTCCAGATCAGAGGGAGTCCGCCATTGCCGATGGCGCCACCCTGGAAGTTAGGCTGGGTGTTCATCAGTATGCACATGATACCCAGCTCTACTTCTCTTTTAAATTGGGACCAGTGAAGGCAGTGAAGGTCCTGTGTGAGTGCCTGGAGGCGGTTGGAGGATGGATGGCGAATAACAGGTTGACACTGAATCATGACAAGACAGAAGTACTGTTTCTAGGGGACAGGGGGACGGTGGGTGTGGAGGACTCCATGGTCCTGAATGGGGTAACTATGCCTCTGAAGGACCAGGTGCGCAGCCTGGGAGTCATTTTGGACTCACAGCTGTCCATGGAGGTACAGGTCAATTCTGTGTCCAGGGCAGCTGTCTACCAGCTCCTTCTGGTATGCAGGCTGAGACCCTATCTGCCCGTGGAGTGTCTTGCCAGAGTAGTGCATGCTCTGGTTATCTCCCGCTTGGACTACTGCAATGTGCTCTACATGGGGCTGCCTTTGAAGGTGACCCGGAAACTACAACTAATCCAGAATGCGGCAGCTAGACTGGTGACTGGGAGTGGCCACTGGGACCATGTAACACCGGTCTTGAAAGACCTACATTGGCTCCCAGTACGTTTCTGAGTACAATTTAAAGTGTTGGTGCTGACCCTTAAAGCCCTAAATGGCCTCGGCCCAGTATACCTGAAGGAGCGTCTCCACCCCCATCATTCTGCCCGGACGCTGAGGTCCAGCGCTGAGGGCCTTCTGCGAGAAGCTAAGTTACAGGGAACCAGGCAGAGGGCCTTCTCAGTAGTGGCGCCTGCCCTGTGGAATGCCCTCCCATCAGATGTCAAAGAAATAAACAACTATCGGCAGCCCTATTTAGGAAAGTTTTTAATGTTTGAAGTTTTATTCTGTTTTTAGTGTTCTGTTGGAAGCCACCCAGAGTAGCTGAGGAAACCCAGCCAGATGGAGGAGGGGTATAAATATATTATTATTATTAGTAGTAGTAGTAGCAGCAGCAGCAGCAGCAGCAGTAGTACTTGTATGCTGTCCTTCCAATGTATCTGCATTGCTCCAGGTTGTTTTATAACCGGTGAAAACAATTTTAAAAAATCAAACGAAAACAATAAAAACAGTGCAAACCAATAAAATACAGACCGGCAGAGCGTATAAAAAATCATGTTAAAATGAGGGGTTGCCACATAAAAAATTATCCACCCAGCAGGTCAAGTGCCTTTTGAAATCAAAAAGTATTGATGAGGTGGCAAAACAAATTAGAGAGGGCAGAATGACAGAGCTCAGAAGGTAAAATGATCCATAATCTTGGCACAGTCACGTGGAGGGCCCTTTCTCAGGACTCAACCATTTGTCCCTTGGCCATGGGCAAGACATGGGGGAGATGGAGCAGGGCAGGCTGTTATGGGAGGAGACAGACCCTGACTATCATCCTGGACACAAACCATGTAGGCTTATGCAGTGGAATCCAGCTGGTGTTTTTGTTTTTAAGTGACACATGCCTGCTTTGGTCCCATCCCCCCACCTTAAAACAAGAGACTCTCAGAACTGATGCCATTTCGGTTTGCAGCAGCAGCTGCTGCTAATGAGCAAGGAAGTCTGAAGGCAGAGGGAAGGGCAACAGAGGAAGAAACAGTGTCTCTAGCTTCATTGTAGCAACAGTGGAGAGTAAAAGACTTCTTGTTTGTTTGTTTGTTTGTTTGTTTGTTTGTTTGTTGCAGACAAGGAGACTGAGGTAGCTAATGTCTTATCATTTCTGGTGGAGGGGGGATCTTTTTTTCAGCTTTTTGCCTGGCTGCTGAGCAAGTATTAAGAGCAAACGGAGAGAAACTTGAAGAAAGATATTGGATGTGAGTGGAAGATACAAACTCCTTCGCCTGCTCCAGGGCAGAAAAAAACACACAAACTTCTCCAAGCCTCTTCTCTTGTCAAGAGGCCATACTATTCCCCCTCCTGCATCCACTGGTGAATGCAAACCACCCTCACCACCACCACAAAAAATATAAAACAATTTAAAACATACACTCTCCTTCTGTTTTGTTTCATGTTTGCTTGCCAGACAGAGTATCTACTTTAGGGGGGGGGGGTGTTTTGTTTTCTGCTTTGCAAATGCAAACTTCCTCCCCGCCAACCACCCACAATAGAAAAGAATATCAAACTTCACCTACCTGAGAGTTAAATCACACTGAAAACATAATGGGACCTAGTTCTGAGCATATATGCAAAGGATAATGACACATTTTGTTGGAAGAGTAAGATGAGAATTACTCCCCCACTCCCAGTTGTTGAAAAAAAACACACACAATTGCACTGCCACTTAAGTTATAGCACCTGTTATAGAAGCATGCTCTCTCTTCCTAATACATGCAGACTTTGTTACAAGTAAAACAAAGGCTTTGTTAGAAGTAAAGACACTTTGCACATGCCCAGATGCACTCTTGTTTCAACGTAACATTGCCCAAGATTCTGGGTTGGTGTCTTTTTGTCTACATAAAGATAAGCACTCAGAGACTTAGTATAACTGATTGCAGTACAGTGGTATCTCGGGTTACATATGCTTCAAGTTACATATGCTTCAGGCTACAGACTCTGCTAACCCAGAAATATTACATTGGGTTAAGAACTTTGCTTCAGGATGAGAACAGAAATCGCACAGTGGCGTTGCAGCAGAAGCAGGAGGCACCATTAGCTAAAGTGGTGCTTCAGGTTAAGAACAGACCTCCAGAATGAATTAAGTTCTTAACCCGAGGTACCACTGTATTAGCAACAGTGGCAGCTGGTAATTTCCACAGAGCTCGTAGTAGCTTCCCTTCTCTGGCAGCTAGATCTACACATGGCCATCAGCAGCTGCCCTTCCATATTAGGACAATTAGCCAAATCCCCTACACAACACACAGCATGTCTTCCCCACTAACCTGCCACTCCCACAGCTGCCTTCTTCCTCTCCCCTTCTTGCTGTTCTGCACCACCTGCCTCCATGCCATGGGCATAGCCAGGGGGCGGGGGCAGCTCCCCCCCCATCAAGTAAAACAAAAGAAATACTTAACTGACCAATCATGTCTGGTTTGCCCCCCTCCCCAAAGTCCTGTCCCTTCCCCAACAAAAATCCTGGCTACGCTCATGCTCCACACTGTTCAGTTGCTACTTCTCTCCCTGTGTCACTGCCATCAGCCAGCACTACAACACAGAAGAAGAATGTAAGAATAGGGGACAAATTGGTGAATTTGACCTTGCAGTCCCGACGACTTTCCCTATTCTTGGGAAAATATCAACAGACTGTCTAATGACTAACATCTTTGTCTTTTGCTTCTCATCAAGCTAAGGGCCCCATAGTAAAAGACAGCGATGCATACCAAAAAGCCATGACCTCCAACTTTTTTGGACTGCCTCTACGGATAACATTTAAAAGTAGAAATAAAGAAGTTGTTTTGCTTCTGCCCTGTACAGAGTCACAAACAATAGTAGGATTGGCATCTGCTTTGTATGCAGCAGGAATTTTTGCATTTGCTGTTTCTACACCAGCAAAAAGACTGATGACAGCATTAGTGGAAAAACGTAAAGTGCACCCTGCTGGAGATGACCAAAGACCAGTCTAGCCCAGGATCCTGTTCTCACAGGGCCAGGCACATGCCTATGGTAAGTCTGCAAGCCAAGACTTGTACAACAGTGCTCTCTCCACTTGTGCTTCCCACAACTGACATTCCGAGGCTTAATGCCTCTGCGAGTGGAAGGAGTACACAGACATCATGGCTAGCAGCATCTTCCATGAATTTGCCTAATCCTCTTTCAAATCCATCCAAGTTGCTTACCATTAGTACATCTCCTGGGAGCTATTTCCATAGTTTAACTGTGTGCCACGTGAAAAAGTGCCCCGTTTAAAATGAATTTATGTTTTTATAAGTTGTATACCATATGAGAAATCCTTTGAGACTAAGATTGCAGGTCACTCCTCCTTTGTCACATGGAAAATGCTGCTTCCTGTTGCTCTGGGTGCTTCTATGTTCATGTACCTGAATCACTCATGATAACAAAAACCACTCTGCTAACTGGGTCAGTAAATAAACAGTTTCTGCAGAGCGACAGGGGAGCACAAAATACAAGCTTTATTCCTACCAGACTTCTGCTGCAGCTTTTTCATTCCACCTCACCAGAAACAAAGTCAGTTTGCAGGGTGCAATGTGACTGTGAGGGAGACAGTCTTATCTTATTCTGTCTATTATTCTTAGCATTTCTCTTCACCAAAGTACAGGCATTTTTGTATTGTCACTCCTGCTAGAGCCAAAAGGTTAAGCTTTCAGAGAGAGAACATTGTTGCTCTGAAATACGTATGGGGAGCCATTCACAACCAGCTCTTTGATCATTATTCTATTTCAGTTTGCAGTTTCCTGACACACATGGCACTGTGGGAGTCTTGGGAATTGCACCTGTACCCCCTTTTCCTAGTTCATACATTAGACATCAAATCTAAACATTGAAATTGATTATTCTGATTTGAAATGTAATTCAAATGTTTTTGATTGATTTTTCCAATACTCCTGGCTTACAAGATCACTAGCTACACAAGAAATACGGTAGTTTTGCTCATATAAAAGAAGGTTTTACATCCGGGGTGATAACCTGTTTAGATTCCAGATACTATCACTAGAGATGTTCTAGTTTTGCATTTTGCTTTCAAGAATAAAGTCACTGATCTCAACACCAACTCCACTGCTTCCCACAACCAGTATATAAATGGAGGTCACTGGGCACATAACTGTCTGTCTCTAGCTCAGTGCACACAAATAAATCACAAGTTTGGTGAAAAGAACTATGGGCAAAGGGCACTTTTCACACAATGGGAACACTCTGAACAAGCAACCTGTCTCCAGAACATTTCTAGAAATCTGAATGTATTGCCAATGCTTCACTTCCTGGAACCCTTACAGGCACCATGTCTTGATATTGAGACACAAACGCCCCTCAAACACCTCACAGCACCCCTCAAGTCACTATTACAATTATGGGTGCCCAAACAGAGCTGTATAACACAGAGGACGACTGCTGCAACTGCCTTCAAGTTTGCCATTTGTGAATACTCTATTTCTTGTCTGAAGTGAATCGTGCTTTCCCCCCTCAACAGTTATGAGCAGTATCTCCCATGCAACCCCCAAGGGGGAAAATATACTCACTAGATTAACAGATTGGGGACATTGCAGCATCATTGTGCATGTTATGTGTGTTGTGATGCAGTGCGTGTGTTGGGGGTGAGTTAACTAGCTCCCTCCATGTGTGGACAGTATGTGGGTGTCACATCAGCACAGTCCCTGATTGGTGGGCTTTGGAGGGATGCTGGGGAGCGTGTCTTCCCTCTTTATGGCATTTGGGGATTTTCTGTGTTCTTCCCCACCAGGGATACAACAACCATTTCACAGGAATAGAAATGGTGTATCTCCCCACCCCATGTCATTAGGTCTGTCCAAGTTGGACAAGTTGCCATGTTATTTTGTGGGGTAGGGGAGGTTTCAAACGTGCCTTATTTTTTGTTCTCTACCTTCCCCACCGCACCCCAAATAAACATTTTCCTTTGCTTAAAATTATCCATTTTGCTGTGCGCTGTTCACAAGTTCTGGCTAGCCACCAATCTAGTACAGTTCTTAGTGTTATCCTTTAGTGAATTAGATAGTGAAGGAGTGGAACTCCATTATTTAACAAAAATAGGGTGCACAGAACTCATGTCAGTTTGATTTTTTCTTTTCTTTTATAAGAGACTGGCCAGAAACAAGTCAGAAATATATATACATATACTGTATGTAAGGACTTAAGGATGTTGAGGGAAGCTACGAGAAGACGATGCAGCAGTGGAGGAGGGACACATTACCATGGCAACAGAAGAGAGAGGGATTGTTTTAGCAAAATTAATTTCTATGCACAAGATTCATCTAGAGGCAAAGCCGCCCCTCAAAAGGTAGGCCTGAATAGTAGTTTTGCAAATAATAGGTTTCAAGATCTATACAAGATATCAAGTGCAGTTGACTTTTTAAACTCCAAGCTAGGCTACCGTTCTCCTGGTTCTCTCCCCCCCTCCTCACAATCTTCACAATGCACAAAGCCCAACAATACAAGAAGACTGGTTAATTTCAAGGAAACATTATTGAATCAGAAACATTTCAGCAGTTGAGCATTACAGACCAAGTTTACTACTGAATAGCCATGAGCCACCCTCGGCAAGGGCTTGTTCAATGGCCTGGGGCACCTGAGAGCTTATTTGGTGGTGTTATCCTGATCCAAAAAACCTTGTTTACATTGGCATGGAATTCTGGTAGGATTTAGTCATGCCGCATTGCATTATTCTCTCTCATGCTACTCTGTGTATGTATGTGCAGTGAATTGTAAATTCCACCCACTTCTGAATGCTCAATATCACGATTGTGCTGCCATTTATTTCAGCGCTACTGTTTACTTTGCCCAAAATCCAGGGGTTGTTTTTTTACCTTTGAGATATTGGCTTGTAAAGATACAGAATTTCTCTCCCAATAAGGTGTCTCATTTACCAAAAGAGAGAAAAAAGATATTAATTTCAAAACTGTCTGGAGACTTTTTGCTCAATACTTCTATCCCATAGTTTACAGCAGCTTTTGCAAATAAGATCATATGCATACAGTTAATCCACTGCCACACTGCAAATAAACTGGCATTATTAAGGCATTACATACTCCACACATCCAAAAAACCCCAGTCGATGCAAGTAATAAGACACTGTGCAGCAGAGAATAAAGAAGGCTACCATGGGATATCCTGTCACGGTCACCAAAACAGGAAAGTGTTTCCAAAGGTCTACACAGTGGAAAAATTGATGAAAAATCACTAACAACTTTGAAATTGGCTTTAAACTGAAATGGTAAGATGATTTTAAGGAAATGAAAAGACAAAAGACCACATGCAAGGTTGCAACTCAACTGTATACTTATCTATTCCAGGTTAAAGGAGGTAAATTAAGATTCCCCTAATTACCTAGCTTGTTTGCTCACTAGGGCTGGGTGATATATTGATATATCGTCCAAAACTGGTTTGAAGTTCACATCATGATAATTGTTTCGTAATATTTGAGCTGGCAATATATTGTGAATCACAATGTGTGTAAGGGCTAGGCGATACCTAGTTTTCAATATCATGATACCTTACCAGCTAAACACTGCAACATTATCACCACCTAAACCTCACAATATCACCAGCTAAAAACTGCAATGTTATCAGCAGCTAAACACTGCAAGCTACCACAATGTCTGAAATAAGGATGGAACTACACAGAGGCAGACAGAACAATGTCCAGGGAACTGCTACTACTTAGGGGTCTAAAACAGATAAATGACAATATTATCAATAATCACACACTCAGTTACACGACTGGAGGCGGCGGCAAGGCCTCACAGCAGTGACAAGGAGTGTTGGCAGCAGCCTGCAAGGCTTTGCAGAGGTGATGACAAGTGACAACAGTAATGGCATTGGCCTGCGAGGCCTCGCAGTGGCAACAGGATTTGGCGACAGGATTTGACAGCAGAAGCAGCGGTGGCCTACGAGTCCTTGTGGCAGAAGCCTGCAGGAACTCATGGCAGTGATAGCAGGTGACGGCAGTAGCAGCATCCTGTGAGACCTTGTGATGGCAATGGGAGATGGCAGTAATACTAGTGGCAGCCTGCAAGGCCTCATGGCAACACAAGCAATGGGGCTTGCGAGGCCTTGCCATGGTGGCAAGAAGTGGCGGTGGCCTGCGAGGCCTCTTGGAGGTGGTGGGAGAAGCTGTGGCAGCCTGCCTCAGCAAAGTCTCACAGGCCATGTCTGCTTCTACAACCATCTCCTGCTGCCACCACAAGGTCTCACAGGCCACCGCTACTGCCACCACCATGACAAGGCCTTGCAGGCTGTTGCCACTTTTGCCACTGCCACAAGGCCTTGCAGGCCACTACTACTGCTGCCAAGACGACAAGGTTTTGCAGGCTGCTGATTATTATGGCACTGTTGCCAGGCTGCCACTGCTCCCCCCTCCCCCACCATTGTTCATTCTGCCGCAGCCATGCTGCTGCTGCTGCCACCGCTTAGCAAGCCCGCTGGCAGTGTGGCAGTCCCAGATTATTTGTATTCACTATGACTCATTAGCATCCTTTGGCCTGCATACCACCATTTGGTAGCCAAGCCCAAACCCAAAAGTCTCATTTGGATGCATTTTGGCTTGCCTGCTGCTGAAAGTGACCATGAGGTGATTGATAATCAGTTTTAGACCCTTAAGTAGTAGCAGTTGCCAGGACATTGTCCTGTTCGCCTCTGCAGAGTTCCTTCCTTATTTCAGAAATCGTGATATATCAATATATTGCAATGTTTAGCTGGTTATATATCATGATGTTGAAAAAGTTATTGCCTGGCCCTATTGTTCACATTTAGCTGTTTTCAGCTTCAGAATACCCACTTGATCATAGAAACAGAGTGATGAAGGGGGCTGTTATCTGAGGTTACCTGATCAAGCATACAATTACTAAAAGTCCATCTCATGCTTAGAAGTTTGGGTTTGCCCTTTCTATTGCACTAAAAAGAAAGAAACATTTCTGATGTTTTCGTAAGCCAAATTAGGGCAGACTGTATAACATTCTGTGATGTTTGTTTCTTTTACTTGTCTCTGTTGCTTTAAGATTGAAAACCCAGCTATTCAGTTCCATTAGCTTTCAGACAGCAGGTGCTCAGCTAGCTGATTTAGCAGCAGCCACTGTGAATTGTTGGATGCGATTTACTGACTGCAGTTCCCTACACCCCTCGATGCCACTTAAGGGACAGCAAAATAGGGTCGGAGGGAAATCTACAAGTGAGGAGATGGAGATACAGGGAAAATCTGGATGGGGAGTTATTAGATTAGCAAATGAGCCATACTTCTGCCTCTTTTTATCTCCAGACTTCCAGGAGACACATGTCACCAGTCATTTTCTACTGACCTGCACTTCCCTTTTTTAAACAGGAGTTACATAAGCAAGGCCAGGAGACCCTACCAATGGATCAGCTTTAAACTCTTTGCTAACAGATTTTATGTGAATCTTTATATAGACACTCAGGAATCAATCCAGTGCCTTTTCTATTAAACTCAGCCAGAACCAGCAGCTCAGATTTGACAGGCAACCCAAAAGAAGTAACTGAGTTATGATATGCGTAGCAGAGCTTGATGTATTTTAGTGTATATGTTTTTCCAGAACCCAAAGGAGTTGCTATAGCAGCTGTGGAGCATGAGACTTTGAAATGTTGATCTACAAGGTGGCAAGAGACGAGGCTTTGCTGCATTTGTGCCTTAGTGTATAACTGTAAAAAGTAGGTCTTCGAGGGGCTGAAAGTCTGTTTCAAAACATTTTGGTTTATGCTTCATTCCATTTGAAATTCAGGTCTCATCCATGTTAACAGAATGTAACTGAAGAGTAAAGCGGCAACTTCAGGGAAGATTGGAAGAGGAGAAGAATTTTAATTGCATCTGATTTTAAAAGCTTCTGCTTCCATATTTCTCTAGTTTAAATATGACCGACATAAATATTTTAATGAAGAAGCCTTAAGATTTCTGTTGCCTCAGTAATCAGTGAACAGCCACCTCACACACCATACCGCAACAAGTGCATGTTAGCCAATTCATATAAGTACAGCAGGCCTCTGCTTCCAGTTTCAGTGCCCTGGTATATAGGCACCTGTAATAATGTGTATGCCATGCACACGCATTCCCTTTTGGTACGCATACGCTATATTGGGTTATAACCTTTTGAGCCTGAGAACTGCATTCCTTTCAAGGCAACCTTCTGGGGGACATATACCAGTGGGGGGTGAAGACAGAGGCAAGAGTGGGCAGAGCAACTAATGATCATCAATCTTTATTACAGCCCAAGACCAGACAACAAAAATAGCAATAAAAACACATGTAGAGCAACTAATGTCCATTTTATCTCTCCATGGTAGGCTTGTTTCAGCACACATGGACATCCCCTCTCTGTCCTCCATTCAGACAAGAGTTACTATCACTGTTCAAGGACACACTCCACCTAGGCAAACTACTAAAGGGGGGGGTGAAAAACATGGCCAATGAGCAGCTTGGCTTGGGAGAGGAAGCCTTGTAGGAGGTGTGGTGTCAGCAGAGACCAAGCACTAGATGGGAACATCTGAAGGTTCTCTACACCAAAGGTTCCTCACCTCTGCACTCTGTGAAGTGATCCCTGAAGCTCACAATAAATATCAATCCATCCTTCCAGCAGTCTAAACAAATACTAGGCAAGGTTAAGTCTTATATACACTTTGCATTATAAATATCCCCAACAAAAAATATCTATTTCATACCTTATCCTCTGTGAAGAAGGGAAAAGTCCTTTGAGGATCATTGTCAAAACAGAGGTAGAGAAGTCACTAAAAGAAAATAAGAAAGAACTTTTATGAGAGAGTTAATGCAAATTGTTAAGATGTGTCTATCAGGTTAAAAATACCTAAGCACCAGCAGAGGTTACATATTTCTATTATTTCATATATTTTAATCTACTAGCCATGCAGTTCACTGTGCAGCCTCAGGCCAGTCACTCTCTCCCCTAGCCCCCTTCACTGGGTTATTCCGAGGATAAAATGGAGGCACTCCCATGCACTCTGAGCATCTTAAAGGAAAGATGGGGTTGGAGAATGAAAAAGAATGACAAGCAGATCCAAGCTCAGACCACAGCTCACTAGATGGCCTTAGGCAAGTCACTATCGCTACTACCAGATTTGAGAACTGATGAAAAATTATAAAGCATATTGTACATTTAAAGAGTGTTGCAGGAAATGCAAATAGAAGTATGTTATGAAATCCAAACCAAATCGTATCCGATATCTTCCTCCTTATGCAAAATATATACAGTAGTCATGAAAAAGAGCTGTCACTCAGCCAACATAAAAGAAGGTCCCTTCCCTGAGATATGGAGCGTGTCACCTTGATTAAGCCCAGCGTTACTTGAATCAAGAGCCCCTTCATTATATGGTGAAGGCACAGGCAGCTGCATAAGAGCTGCTTATGCCAGATCAGACGAAGAGTCTCACAGTCCCACACTGTCTCCCATCCTTGCCTTAGGGCAGCTCACCAATAGAGCAAGATGGGGGTAGCTGTCCCTTGTGGCTTGCTCCCAGCATCTGAGGTACACTGAATATGGATGTTGCATTTATCTCTGGCAGCTAATAGCCATTGATTTACCAGCTAAACCTGAGAGAACAAAAACATTCTGGCAAATAAATACCCACCTTGAACATCAGCTGCTGGGAAAGAGAAGCAACTGGATTCCTCCTTGCCAGCTCCTGACATTCGCATTATGCCTGGGTTCCTCCCCTCCTCCTTCCATGGATGTTTAGGAAGCACTTACAAACCAGCTACCCTCACTTCATTATCACCCGGCTTGGAAGAGGATTGTTTTGTTTTTAATATGTGATCAATATCACTTCCCTTCCAAATCATATCGCCTTCCACCCAAGCTGTCAGCAAGTCAACAAGGGCTGACCTCTTCTGGCAGCTCTATTTAATCAGACCCTGAGAGGGAGCGAGAAAGAGACAGACAGACAGACAGAGCCTGCCGTTGTTTGCACTTTCTCTCTGTCTCCCTTCTCTTTCCCTGACATGAGTTACGCAGCATTTCATTCTACAAAAGCCAATCTGATTCTCACTGTGCAAATTTCTCCACGGCGTCGCTCTGTCAGGGCATTTCAGCTCTGACCCGCAAATCTTCCCACATAACTCTTTCAGTGTATCTCTCGCTCAGCCTGGCACGTCTCCTGCCATGCTGCTCCCCTGGATTCCACAGTTCTATCAATACACTCTCAGGCATGACTGCAAGATTGCAATGCTCTGTTCTCGATTCTCTCCCAAGTTCGGTCAACTTCCTCCCCCTGGAGTAATAAGGTCTGCATCGCAAGATTTGTTTCAAAGAGTGTCCTCACGGGAAAAATTCCGACCACCAGGCTAATTTCATTTTCCACCTAAACAGTGTTTTAGCTGAAGAGGCAAGGACTGCACAGTGCATTCTAAACCACTGTTTACACAAATAAATGTAACCCCCTGCCTAGACTATATTAAATGTGTCATCTCTGTCTCCTTTCTACCACTCAATTATGAAGTGGGGGATTATTTTCTTCCTAAAATATGCAGGAACTATTCTAGAAAACGGATATATTCTCTCCTGGCACAAACATTGTAGTCTGAGGCAGACTCTCCCCTGATTTTCTTAGCCCATGGAACATTCTAGAAGAGAGCTATGGAAGTGGGTATAGGAACTTCCGAAATATCACCTATTTGGCTTCCTAACATGGTGCCCATTTTCTCCCACCAAGATTTTCAAAAGCAAGTTCCTGTTAGCAATTCTCGCTTGGCTAAGAAAACTAAATGTATGTGCCATACTAAGAACTTTGATGTGCCCCTTATATTAGATGGATAAACAAATGAAGCTACCGGTATATACATTAATATAGCAAGAATATCTACTATTTCCCCCCTAACAAGGAGGAAAAGAATCATAGCACAGAAAAGCAGTATTTAATCAAGTCTCTTTACCTCAAGCACAGCCTCCCACTGCCTCCCACAGAGAGCAACCTGCAGCTCCCGCTGTCATTAAAAGACACTAAGATATTAAACAAGAATTAAGCCTAGAGAAGCATGCTGGTAGAAATATACAAACGGAGAGAGGGTGAAAGTGGAAAGAAAGGTTCCCCTCACCCCTGAATTTTCCATAGTAAATACACAACGTTAAATAACCTGCTGGTGGGGGCTTTTTGGAAGGCTCAGGGAGAAATCTCTGCCTCCCTTAATAGGTCCATAGCAGGGGTAGGCAACCTAAGGCCCGGGGGCCGGATGTGGCTCATTCGCCTTCAAAATCCGGCTCGTGGACGGTCCGGGAATCAGCATGTTTTTACATGAGTAGAATGTGTCCTTTTATTTAAAAGGCACCTCTGGATTATTTGTGGAGCATAGGAATTCGTTCATTCCCCCCACCAAAATATAGTCCAGCCCACCACATGGTCTGAGGGACTGTGGACCGGCCCACAGCTGAAAAAGATTGCTGACCCCTGGTCCATAGCCTTGCTCTGTGGCCTGGCTTTTGATATCTGCGTTTCCTAGCCTGATTCTTGTACTGCATAGGCCCTTGCCAAACCCAGACGTGCAAACATTGTTTCTCTTTCCTTTCCAAATACAACTCTCTCTATCGATAATAGAGGGGAACAGCGGGGGTCACTGTGTGCCTAGATTTTGGCATTTAAGGAGTCAATTTGCAGTTCTTGGCTTCCCAGGAATTAAGAGATCTGAAGGTTCTGCAAGGCCCTGTGTTTTTCTTTTAATCCTCCAGAGATCACCACCAGATACTGGCTTTAATTCACTTAGGTGTTTTGACAGACCTGTACCCCATTGGGTGACCATCCCAAATCTCTCAGCTTAATCCTGCATACCTAAAAATCCCTGGGAGGGATATTTCCACTTCTTAAGCCATGTGACCCCCATGGGGAGTAGAGCCACACCCATGGGTACTGACCTTGGACTTGCAGATTAGAACTCAGTACTCTTCACTCTCGCCCACCTCTAATTTCAAGCTGAACAAATTAAAAACAAAAGGTACTCCTCCAAAGGAAACCTAGCTACAGACTTTTGTGCAGTTCTTATATGAAGTTTCTCTTCAAAGGGGCCTTGAACTTGAAAAGCTTTGCAGGAGAGACAGTATAAAAGGAATAACATTTCTTTAACCCCCCAGGGTGCTTCCACACCAGGCATTTAGTGAGAAACTGCAATGCTTCATTCACTCACATCTCAGTATGCCAACAGCATTTCCTGGGCCTAGTATATTGTATGTGGTTTGGGGGCCCTGCACACAAACACCCACCCATACACCCCCTGGCAATAACTGTTGCTTATGTAAGTACGTATATTAGCATAGTCTACCTCACAGGGCTGTTGCAAAGATAAAAGGGGGAGGGGAGGTCTTGAGCTCCTGGAGGAAAAGGAAAATGCAAATATACATAGACAGATAGTCATTCACAGATTCTGTAAAGAAAAATAAGCATGCCAGAAAAGTAGCCCCACCACCACTTCAACTGCAATGGGTCATATTCCTGATTATTATTATTATTATTATTAATTACCCGCCCTTCACCCTAAAGTGGATTACAACAGGGTGGATTACAACATTAAAACATATATTGAAAACAGTATAAAACAACCTACACACAAACAAGGTGGGTCCTAAAAATATACACTTCAAGTGCCAGGGTAAAGATGTGTGTCTTCAGCGAAATACCAAAACAAAACAAAAAGGTTTGCCAACCCTGATCAATGACAACAAGCAAAACAATACTCTAAGTATGTACAGTTTCATAACTCTGGTGTCTGTACTACCAACTCTCAGCCTAGTTTACATCATAGGGTTATTGTGAAAATAAAAAGAGAAGGGGAAAACAATGTACACAGCCCCGAGTTCCTAAGAGGAAAAGCAAGATGCAAGCATGAAACAACAACAAGCAAGAGATACCCTACAGCAGCGGTTCTCAACCTGTGGGTCCCCAGATGTTGTTGGACTACAACTCCCATAACCCCTAGCTAGCAAGGCCAGAGCTCAGGGATGATGGGAGTTGTAGTCCAACAACATCTGGGGACCCACAGGTTGAGAGCCGCTGCCCTAAAGCATGTGCGGTTTTTACAACTCTCAGCAAGCACACACTCATGAACAATACTTTTGCCATTCTTGATAAACAAAAAAGTATCCTTATGTTAAAATACAGTCTGTAGGATTTTTAACTTGCTGCAGCTGCAAGGTGTTTGATAATTTTATGGTTGTATCTGCAAGTTCATTTTGTATTTCTGTTTTCATGGTTACTTTATATTAATAAATAACAGCCCCATGACAAGCAGTAGTTGCTGTGTGGGAGAAATGGAAAACTTGGGGTCTACAAACTTATGCAACTTTTCATTTTCATCCTTGCTGCAGTCTTTAGGAGCCTACAGTTACATAGGAACAAGTTTCCTTTTTTCCCCCTTTGTCGTTTTTGGTCTTCCGAGCAATCAGAGAGATGAGTAGCTGCTTCCAATCTCTTCTCAGAACACCTTATTAACTACAAGGCACCATGCCAAATCCCAAGACAGGGCAGTCTCAGATGCCATCCAGGAATTCATGCAAAGGCAGAAACGTGTTTGGTAGTAAACTAATACAGTACTACCGCCAGAAAAAGGCCAATGTCTGAAGAATTCTGGTTGACGGTAAATGGATACTATCAGAGGAAAATGATGGGATGTTGTACTTGTTTCTTTGTCAGGGGGATATGTGGACTGAAGGCTTGTTTTTTTATATTATTAATAGCACATAGCACCAGCAATGTAACAGGCATTAAGAGCTTAGCTATATCCCAATTCAGGAGACATGTTGGGTCTGGCTAATGACACAAATTTTAACTGTTGCAACAGGTTGTAGTCATGCAATTCTGTCTTTATTGCAATTTGCCTGTTGCAGTGGGTTCAGAGAGCTCGTCTCACAAAACCAATGTCCCTCTGATTATGCATTTTCCTGCATACATGGAAATGCCTCCAGAGTAAAACCACAAGAGCCTATAGCTGACAAGAGCTTGTTCAGCAGGTAAAGAGAAATGGTCAACTGAGCAGCTACTATTATAAACATAGGAACCTGAACTGATGTAGGCAAAAGGAGAAATGCCATGCCAGAGGACAGGAATCTGACACCAATGATTAAAGCAAATCTCTAGGAAATGTTTCCCGACAGTGAAGTCTATTAGATTGATGCATAGGCTCCCAAGGGATACAGTGGAAATCCCATCTCTCTGCTCAATTGAAGAGAGGAAGTGAGCAGTAAAAATCGCAGTGCAGGATACTATGCAAAGAGCGAAATGGGCAGTGCCTATCTGCTCAGATTTCAGTTAGCAGGCTGTGGTCTGTATCCATACTAATTTTAAAAAGCATGGCAAGTCCATGATGAAGGTGGTAGTGAGTAGCTTTTATTGTCTATAATCCAGCGGCGTAGCGTGGGTTGTCAGCACCCGGGGCAAGGCAAGTAATTTGCGCCCCCTAACCCGGGGCAAGGCAAGTTATTTGCGCCCCCTAACCCAGGGCAAGGCAAGTAATTTGCGCCCCCTAACCCCTAACCTGCCGCCACTGCCAGCTTCTTCTTGCTGCTGCCTGGGCTGGTCTGGTGTGGTTCTCTCCCGCGCTCAGCGCTGCGCTGGGCGGCCGCTGCACTGTCCCTCCCCCAGATAGTCCCTCGCTCTCTCTCCGCACCGCACGCCTGGCACCCCCCCTCCACAGTGGGCGGCAACCCAGCGGCTCGGATCGGATTCGCACAGCCAGCACTGCAGTGAGAGAGAGTGAGTGAGCCAGGTAGGGACAGAGAGCTGCGAGTGCGAGCGCCCCCCCCCAGATGTTGCGCCCGGTGCGGCCGGCCCCCCCTGCACCCCCCACGCTACGCCACTGCTATAATCTGAGAAGTGATCAAAGACATGTGCCAAAATTATTTATAATTTGCTAGTGTCCATCTGTTGAAGAGAGGATAAGTGTTTGCCTCCATTCTTAGTTCACTGGTCATCAGTGCACAATATTAAAGACAGAAAGTTTTGAGTTTCTGTAACATACCGGTACTTAGCCCTAACATTAAATATAGATTCACACGTGCATGTTCATCACTTAATGACAGCAGAATCAAACAGAAGCCGCTCTGAAGCAAAGACAAAAATGAGTGAAAAATGGGATTGTGGTACAGTGGGGTACTGCCAAGTTTGTCAGCGTATTTTTCCTCATGCCAGGTTTGGGATCACTCCTGGCCCCAACAGAACTTTATGCGTAGAAAACTACGACTGTGTTTGGACATCACTATAAATTATTGTTTATTATAAACTATGGCTAATCATTATGAGAACAAGCCTAGACAAGCCTCACTTCTCTTTCGTTTTTAAGCACATCCATGAGGAACAGATTGGAAACTTTCACTTCTGTTTTGACTAACCACAGTTTATATGTCCAAACCCAGACAAACTATGTTAGTCAATTGTTCTTTATTGAAATAAGCCAAACTGCGGTTCACAAAACCAGCTTGTTTCAATGAAACATAGTCAAGTTTTACCAACTTTTGATTGAAATTCAATGCTAAAATGTGGACAGTTGGAAATGGAAGCAAAAGCTTTCAATCTTTCTTGTTTCTGTCCTGGAAGAGAGGGGAGAGGGAAAGCACACAAGACTTCGGCTTGCATAGGCTAGTTTGCATAATGTCATGGCTGTGTCTGACTTAGAAGCAGCCATGGAGTTCTTGGAGGATGAACTGGACACGCCCACAGGATGAAGACCTTGAGGAGCAGGCAGGGCCTCCAACTCTGAGGATCTCCTTGAGGGGCCCTCTGGGTTGCTACCTGCATACCCTACAACATTTCTCTGAAATAGGGACATTCCATTCCATAATAATAATTTTAATATTTATACCCCACCCATCTGACTGGGTTGCCCCAGCCATTCTGGGCAGCTTCCAACACATATAAAAACACAATAAAACACTGAACATTAAAACACTTTCCTATACAGGGCTGCCTTCAGACGGCTCAGGGATCAGATAACTCCATACACTCCTTTCATTTCTCCAATGATAAATGGACATCCTAAAGAAAAGTGGGACATTCCGGGATCAAATCAGAAACTGGGACAGCTTCTCTAAATCAGGCACTGTCCCTGGAAAATAGGGACACTTGGAGGGTCTGTATCTGATGAAGAACCAGTGTTAGAGACTGAGATATGAAAGCTAGGAGCTAAATGGCACCTTAAACCTAGGTTATGGGCGCAACAACGGAATGTTTAGGCACACTTTTTAAATAACAAGCATACAAAGCTGAAAATGAATGAACTGCAGCTAAAATATTATGTTCATTTTTCACGTGCTCTACTCCTTCCCCTGCCTACCTTCCTAATATTTTTCAGAGGGTCTCTTCTCCAGTCTTCAGAGAGTAGCTGGAAGTGGGGAGGCAGAAAGGGTCCTCCTTTCCTTCTACTCGGCAGTTTTAATCGGAAATCTTAGGCACAGTACTGCACCCAGACCTCAAAAACTGCTTGTGCTGATGAAATTCCCTGTTACAAAAAATGCGCCTAGAAAAATGGGAATTTCAAACACTGTGAAGAACCCCTGGAACTTTCAGAGAAGGAGGCGGAGCTGCTCACCAGTGAGAGCAATGTCACCAAAAGCTTTGGATCCAGGCTAAAGAGCAACAGCGCAGTATGCATGTACACACCCAGAGTCATTGGTCTGTTTGTAAGTAAGGGGTCTATTCATGAGCAGTGTATCTCTGGTACTCCGTCACTGCCTGCAGCTGTAGTTAGTGTGTGATTTATATTGTTTCCTAATAAAATATTTCAATTTATATGCTCAGGTCATTGGAAAAACAAACATTAACATGTCATTAATACTATTTTTAGTTTTGCTTACTAAAGACAGGTCAAATAAACATGTTAAATCAGATCCCAATCTATTTAAGGCATTGGAAATGCAAAAATCCAGGAAACATTCTCCCCCACAAACCCCACCCCCCAAAATCCAGAAAATCTTCTGCTTCTCATGGCCATGAATGCAAAGCACTCTACTAACAAACACTCCTAGCCCAGCAGGAATACAGATAGAAGGTATATAACATCAAAGAGTGGCAAAAGACAAATTAAAACTCTCTAAAAGTACACCTACACCCCCAACTCCTAACCATTTTCAGTGAGAATTTCAATGTAGCAGTGAAAATTCCTGTCCATATCTAAGCCCCCCACCCCCGCCGAAAAGATAAAGCTTTGAATGATATAGGATGGGGAGAGGTGTAGCTATTGGAAAAGGCCCAGTTGTTTTTAGTCACTTTCTGATGCTCTCTGTGTACTCCTGGCTCAGCATTTAGCCAGGTGTGCTAACGGGTGCAGGAGGCTTGGTATCCATGGCCATGAGATGTTATGTGGGTTGAAGCCCATTTACGTAGGGATACAAAGGGGCACTTGGGTGTCCTTCCAGCTTAGTCCCGCCTCCCCTTTCCAGTTTGACTGTTTTGAGTAGTCATTACAATTTCTCACAGCAGATATTTTATAATTAAAAGCAAGGATTTATAAAAAGCAGATTAAAAACCGGCAGTTTTCTGAGATACTCTCTGCTTGCAATTCCATTTAATCATGTGGCCCTGCAAAACAGAATTTCCATGCAACATGTCTCTTTTTCTCCCTAGGAATGTGGTGCTGTTTGTCCATACCACCGTTCCAAATTATTTACATCCTTACGTCACACGGTTCTGAGCAAATCACATTTCAGAAGGGCCAAACGCTTACTTAATTCGGAACTGTTTCTCTCTCAGCTGCTTCCATCCTAATGTGGATGCTGCCTGTTTGAAATGTGCCACCCACGGTGTACTGTTTTGGGAATCTCTGCAGGGAACTCTGGGACAGGTGCCCAGAAAGCCTCTGAACAGAGTCTAAAATTACTTTTAAGTCAAGCAATGCTAATGTGAATGCAGAGCAAGCCCATAACAGTTTACACGAAGCCATCTGCACTCAAGATGTGTCCACACAGCTGGTTGAGTCTCCTCGGCTGCCAAGGTTGGAGCTTGGCCTCATTCACACACTGAGAGGTGGTGGCAGTGTACCATGGATGGACCACTTGTTCCAGCAAGTTAGCTAATGGCTATCATCGTAGTTCCACAGGATCATAACCCACGCATAACCCAGGAAGGTGCTGCTAGGCCCTCAGCACCACTGGGTGGTCATGATTACAAAGCCATCAATAAGGCTTTTCATTAGGTACAATTCAATGATACAATATATCCTCAAGTAGTTGCTAAGAAATATAAATACAAGAGAGAATAATCCTCAAAGAAGCTGAAGAGAAATACAGTGGTGCCCCGCAAGACGAATGCCTCACAAGACGGAAAACCCGCTAGACAAAAGGGTTTTCCGTTTTTGAGTTGCTTCGCAGGACGAATTTACCTATGGGCTTGCTTCGCAAGACGAAAATGTCTTGCGAGTCTTGAGATTTTTTTCCCCGCTCCCCCCCTTTTTTTCTAAGCCACTAAGCCGCTAATAGCCTTTTAGCAGCTAAGCCGCTAAGCCGCTAAGCCTTTAATAGCCGCTAAACCGCTAATAGCGCTAATCCGCTAATCCACTAATAGGGTTGCTTCGCAAGACGAAAAAACCGCTAGACGAAGACACTCGCGGAACGGATTAATTTCGTCTTGCGAGGCACCACTGTAATAGCTGCAATCCAGACCCACCTGCACAAAGTGGGATACACAATTGCTATGAGTAAGTGCTGCCTGGTCTGAGTTGTTGGGCTATGCACTGGATGTATGGGGGAAGGGGGGCATGCCTATATCTTCATTGCCAGAGGTTCCAGGTGAGTGGAAGAGACCTGTGATGGGAACTGATTGTGTTTTTAATCCTGAAGTCCTATGTATGGGGGAAACTACAAAAGAAACAGCTGGCTGCCTGAATTTAAAAAGCATGGGGCTTGGCTCACTCTTTAATCAAAAGGGCCCCCAGCAGAGTTTAGAAACACAAGCATGTATAACATTTATCTAGCACAGAAAAAATAGGTTATTAGTGTTGGTTTCTATTTCCCTCACTGAGCAGCAACTGCAGTCACAAGACATTGTTTTACATTCCACAGTCTGTACTGTTGGAGTTTCTCACGGGAAAGGGAGACTGGATGTGACGTACACTGGTTTCCTGTTTTTCACTGTGTGATTCTCTCCAAGCTGTCGAGGAGAGAGGATGCATTTTTCTGCTCCGGCAGAGACAAGATGTCTTTCTGTAATATACCAGCTTTGAACTGTAAATAAAGCAATATAGAGTATGTAACACATTTTCCTCATCCTTCCGCTGGGCAACCAGACTCTGCTTTAAATCAACACGTGGTTATGGACTCCAGAGGTCGAATCGGAGTGCCGGCAGAGGATCGGAATGCAGAGGAACGGATCGGAAAGGAATCTGCTCTGCGCGTAGAAGTGATTGATGAGGTATGTGCTACTGCTCCGGGCAGCCTGCCAGCTTCAAGATAATGGCTTTATGGCTGGACTTTGAACTTTTAAAGCCGGTTTTGCCGGGAATAGGCAAAAGGCTCCCAGGCACAAGTCACTATGCTGGGAAATCGAAAGTAACTTTTAAGTGTGCCTTTGTAATGAGGCAGCTGCAGCAGTGACGCAGCAAGATTTAAAGCAGCATATGACGCTGAAGGCTAATGCCAGAGTCATGATGGCCCTTCAGGATGCTTGTGGGATTCCTAAGCTCAACAAGAAAAATTACAGCGACTGGGTTCAGTATGCAGAGGCAATTCTGCGGAAAGAGGGTTTGTTTGAGGTGATTACAGGAACCCCCAGTTCCAGTTACAGATGCATGGGAAGCTAAGGATTCCAAAGCAAGGGGAACTCTTACATTGATAGTATCCCCAGAAGAGCTCTGTCTATTGCGTGATAAGACCTCAGCCAGAGAAATTTGGGACGCTCTGAGAGAGGCTCACTTAAGGACAGAAGCTGGATCCACTATGTTTTATTTTAACAAGCTGCATAATATGGCTCTTGCTGAAGGTGGAGATGTGCGTTTACATCTGATGCAGATGCAAAATCTGAGACATGAGCTGCAACAGAGAGGACTCAACTTTCCAGAGGCTGTGTATTCTTTCATGATACTACAATCTTTGGGTTCAGGTTGGGAGTCTGTTGCAACCCAGATTGCTGTGCAACCAACTGCTCAGCTGACAGTGGACTTTGTTACTGCCGTGATTTTAAATGAAGCAGATCGCCGGGGTGCTAGCTGCATGGGCAAGGAGAGTCTTCACAGACGTCATCCCATAGTGCAGTGGAACCACCAGATGGCGCCAAAGCTTTGAAGGCAGTGAAATGCTACTCGTGTGGACGTCTAGGCCATATGAAGAGGAATGCAGACATCCCAGGGCCAAGACAGAGCAGCGCAGCGAGCTCATCGCGCGGAAAGGCCGAGGCAAAGGCAAAGGTCCGGTGTCTAGGACAACGCAGCACAAGGCTATGGTTTCACGCTTCACTCCAAAGGTTGCAGAGGTCCAGAAGACGTCTAGATCTTTCTTCGTTGTTGATTCAGCGGCCACCCACCACATGTGCAACGATAAGAAACTGTTTGTGTCTTTTACACCGCAGGAAGGTGCGATTCACCAGGCGGATGACCACACTATTCCCAGTAAAGGCTACGGAACTGTTGTTCTTCACAGTTTGGACTTATCGATACAGAATGTGCTTTACGTGCCAGACGCCAAACATAATCTGCTCAGCGTTGGACAGCTGAATGAGCGGAACATTGACGTTTCCTTCAAGAACAAGAAGTGCATCATCACAAAGAAAAATGATTATGTATTGCATGCAGAATATGTTGATCATTTGTTTGTTTTGTATTATGATGATGTGGTGCAGGATGACACTTGTTGCATTGCAGGTTCTAACAAAAGTTTGCATGCAGAATGTATTCACGATTTTCATCGAAAATTTGGTCATTTGCATTTTGAGGCAGTATCTAAAATGCCTGCCTTGGTTGAAGGTATGACTATTAAACCCTGCAGGTACCACATGAAGTGCAAAGCATGCGCAGCAAACAAGGTGAAAATGGCTGCGAAAGGTAAGGTGTCTAGTAGGACAGCTACAGAACCATACCAGGTTGTTCATGCTGATTTGGTTGGACCACTACCGCCCTCTTTGGGTGGAAATAGATACTTCATGGTTCTCATTGATGCATTTTCTAGATATATTTTTGTGTACAATCTCAAGCAGAAATCGGAGGCTTTTCCTAGGTTCAAGGAATTCTGTGCTTGGTTGGAAAATGTGCATGGTAAGAAGATAAAGACTCTTTTCAGTGATCGCGGGGAAATTCACTTCTCAGCAGTTTGAAGCTTTTCTGACTGAGAAAGGAATTCAACACGATTTGTCTAGTCCTCGCTCGCCATGGCAGAATGGACTTGCGGAGCAGGCAAATCAGACATTGCTTCAAGGGTTAAAAACCTTGCTGCATGATGCCAATCTTCCAGAGAGTTATTGGGCCGAATCTCTCTCGTGTTTTGTTTACAGTTACAATCGCAGATTATCTTCAGCGATTGGTTGTACCCCCTATGAGAAGATGTTTGGCAGAAGCCATACATCAAACACATGAAGATTTTGGTTCTGACATGTGGGTTCGCTCACCACAAAACTCCAAGTTAGACAAGCGTGGATTGCATGGTATCTTTCTAGGTTATCAGAAAGGGTCTTACAGAATAATGATGACTGACTCTAAGACAATTAAGCTCACGAGAAGTGTTGAGTACAATGCAAAGTGGGGGAGAATGTGGGAATTTTCCAATGTTATCCTGATGACGGTGATGAGACTGAGGATAGTCAAAAGCAACCACAACAGCCCACACCCACTGATGAAGGTTCTGAGTCTGAATCTGAAACTGAATCGGGTGATTCAGAGGATTTCAAGAGTGCGAAAGCCTCTATGCGACCCTCTGAAAGCTCTGATCAAGAATTGGAGGAACCATTGTTCACAATAGGTCGTTTTTCTCCTAAGAAGGAAGAGGAGAGTGTTGAAGACTTAAGGCTAATTCGTAGGTCACAGAGAGCCACAACAGGCAAACCTCCAAAGAGATTTGCTGATGAGTTTGCTAAGATAGCAGTAACAGCTGTTAAAAGCTCCAAGAAGGTATTTGAACCTTCAAGTTTCCAAGAAATCCAGGGTTTGGATTCAAAGGAAGCTGAGCCATGGTTAAATGCCATGAAGGCTGAGCTTGATTCCTTAGAAAGGAACAAAACATGGGAGCTAGTTCCAGTAGTTCCAGGAATGAAACTGCTTGGAAGCAAATGGGTCTTCAAAGCGAAGACAGATCAAAATGGCAAGATAGTCAGACACAAAGCCAGATTGGTAGCCAGAGGTTTTGCACAGGTACCAGGTGAAGACTATCACGAGACCTATTCACCCACAGTGAGATATGAAAGCATTAGGCTTATGCTCAAGCTAGCTGCAGAGGAAAATCTACACATTAGTCACCATGATATTAATACAGCTTTTCTGTACGGATCTCTAGATGAATCACTTTATATGCTTCCACCTGATGGCGTACAGGTAAAACAGGGATTTGTTTGTGCTCTGAAGAAATCCCTTTATGGTCTCAAACAAAGTGCACGGTGTTGGCACACAAAACTCACTGAAGTATTGTTTTCTCTAGGTTTTCAGCAAGGAAAGCTGATCCATGTGTATTTGTCAAAGAGGAGGGGCAAAAGAAACTGTACTGTTTGTTTTATGTTGATGATTTATTATTCTTTTGGAAAGATGTTGCAATGTACAATAGCGCCCTAGCTCAACTGAAAGAGCACTTTGACATGAAAGATCTTGGTGAGGTAAACAACTACCTATCTCTGGAAATAGAGAGAGATCAAGATGGTAACATTCTAGTACACCAGTCACGGAAAATTGCTGATGTGTTAAGCAAACTAAATCTGATGGATGCTAACCCTGTAGACACACCGATGACAACAGGTTATCAGGTAGATGACACTGAAGAAGCATTTTCTGACACTACACTGTACAGGAGTGTGCTAGGCAAGCTAAACTTCATTGCCAGATGTTCAAGACCAGACATTGCTGTTAGCTGTAATTTGCTAAGCAGACAAGTCAACAATCCTAGTGTCAAGGATTGGAAAGCTCTGAAACGCATAGCGCGGTATTTGAAAGGCACTATGCATTACAGACTGAGATTTAACAATCAGAAGTCTGGTGGTCTTGAGATATTTGCAGATGCAAGTTTTGGAAGTGACGCTACAGACAGGAAAAGTACGTCTGGAGTTTGCTACATGTACAATCAGAGTCTGTTTGATTGGTCATGCAAGAAGCAAACAACAGTTAGCTTAAGTACTTGTGAAGCTGAACTGAATGCACTGTCTTATTCACTTAAGGATTGTGAATGGTTAGTACAATTGTGCAAAGATATGAAAATTCCTGTCAAATGTCCAATCCAGGTTTACCAGGACAACAAAGCATGTTTGGCTTTGCTGAAGTCTGAAGGTTGTAAGCAAAGCACAAAGCACTTGCAATTAAAGTTGCAGCATGCTAGGGAATGTATTCAGAAGGGACTCGTAACGGTGTCCTATATGCCAGGTAATGAAATTCCTGCTGATGTATTGTCCAAGATTGTATCAAGGGATCAACACTGTACCTATGTGCAGAAGTTGGGTTTGTACTGATACTGTACGAACACGCTGCCCAGTGATGTTCACAGAAAGGGGAGGATGTTGGTTTCTATTTCCCTCACTGAGCAGCAACTGCAGTCACAAGACATTGTTTTACATTCCACAGTCTGTACTGTTGGAGTTTCTCACGGGAAAGGGAGACTGGATGTGACGTACACTGGTTTCCTGTTTTTTCACTGTGTGATTCTCTCCAAGCTGTCGAGGAGAGAGGATGCATTTTCTGCTCCGGCAGAGACAAGATGTCTTTCTGTAATATACCAGCTTTGAACTGTAAATAAAAGCAACATAGAGTATGTAACACATTTTCCTCATCCTTCCGCTGGGCAACCAGACTCTGCTTTAAATCAACAATTAGACCTTTAAATAACTCATTTTAGACACTTAAAATGTGCTGCTTTGTCTTTCCCCTGTCTCAACCCCTTTCACAGTGAATAGACCACACACTTTAGTAAGTTTAAATGCTTTACTCACATAATTTGAAGTTTCATTAATGCATCAGCCAATGCGACAGCAAAGTTAGCACAGGTAAAAACTTTTTGAGTACAAAATACAAAATCAGTTCCAAATGGGAGCCTGGGCTCGAAGTAGAGCCCAGGCATATCTGTCTGCTCACATGGTGTGAAGGAGAGAGAGAGAGAAAAGGAAACAGGAAAACCTTTACCTCCTCCCTCCCCAAAGGTGAGGGAGCATGACCTAGTGGAGCCTTCTCTAGCAAATTCAGGTCTATGGTCTTAGCCTCTTCAGGCATTAACTAACATATAGTGCACGTGCATTGTTAGGTTTCACTGCAAAAAACTCCCACAACCTGCTTGTTGTACTTTGGGTCCAATAATTTACAATAATTCACAACAGCACAGCTAAGTGTAATGGGCCTGTGGCTGTGGTAGATAGTGCCCGGGACCCTGTGGGCTCTATCCCCTATTCCAGCCTTCCTCAGCCTCTTGCCCTGTGTGCTGGCTGGGGCAGATGGGGACACCAGGCTGGGAATGACAAATCATCATATATCAGCTTGGTTTAATGCATTTCTGCCTAATACAGTGGTACCTCAAGTTACATACGCTTCAGGTTACAGACTCCACTAACCCAGAAATAGTACCTCGGGTTAAGAACTTTGCTTCAGGATGAGAACAGAAATCCCATGGTGGCGGCGCAACGGCAGCAGAAAGACCCATTAGCTAAAATGGTACCTCAGGTTAAGAACAGTTTCAGGTTAAGAATGGACCTCCAAAATGAATTAAGTATTTAACCTGAGGTACCACTGTACTGTAGCTAGGATCCAAAGAACCATGTAGCTAGTTTTGTTCGCTCTGTAGGGCTTTGGAGCTGCGCTTTTCAATAGCTTCCTCTACTGTCTAGCAAATCACAGAAAACCAGGTTAGAAATTGTTACTGAAACTCTCCTCAGTTTTGTGTTTTAACCTATACAGTTGCTTCTAGTGCCAGATGCTGTATGCCAGGTAGCTGAAGCCACAAACTCCCCCTGCCACCTAAAGCCCACCTACAATTCAAGGTGTGGTGCAGCCAGCACGGTGCCTTCCGATGTTATTGGACTCCAGTTCCCATCAGACCCTGCCAGCATCGCCAATCGCAAGGCATTAAGGGAGTCGTAGTCCAATACCATCTGAATGGCATCACTTTGTCTACCCCTTAACAAATAGTCACAGCTGTAGCTAAGCTAGTATGCAATGAATTATTTTGAAAGTCTGCTTAGACTGGGAAGTTATACTTGGTTCATTCCACCCCCCACCCCCGCCGCTGCCTAATTTTAGGTGGACCATTAAAACATTTTTGTTCTTCACAGCTTTTGGCTGGCTACAAATGTCATTAACTCCACTCTGTTTTTTAATGCAAGATTTTTTCCCTCTTGTTCTTAATCCATTTTTCGTATTGCTTTAAAGTTAGCTATAAATTGACTTGAGCAACCTTTTGGCACTGAAAGGAAACTCTCATATCTATTTGAAGAGGAGGAGATATATGAATATCAACGCTTTAGTATTTATGACACCTAAACATGAACGTGTACATTCTGAAAATTTGAAAGTAGTTTTAATAAAAATTACTCACGAGTCATGCCCCTCATCTTCATAAAGTGTTGGGCTCATTTAGCTTGTACACTGTCTGCTTAAAGTAAAACAAAAATGTACCCACCTACATCCCATTGTCAAATGCTAAAGGGTAGGGGGAAATATAGGAGCAGTTAAAAAAAATTCAACCCCCCCCCCAAACTCTCAAGTCACTTCCCTGGAATGGGAGGGAGAACTGAGTAGAGGGTGGGGACTGAGAAGAGATGGCGTAAAACTCAAACCACAGTATTGAAGGGGCATTTGGCACTAATTATATACATCTAAAATATTTGCTACTGGGAAGGGATTTACAATAACCCAGTTTCTTCATAGTCTTTTCAAAAACAAAAATCCAAAGGAGCTGCCCACTTTAGTCCCTAAAGTAAAGCAAATATATGAGAAACTCTGGAATTATTTGTGTGAGTTTATCAAAGGTGAAAGTTCCAGACTAGAAGTTCCTGAAAGCCTCCTCAAGAACAGATGCAAGGCAGTGAAAATAGACGCTCCATGCAATCCTTTCTCTATACCCCTCTGTTGGGCAAATGAATGCTACAGAATATATTGTCCAAGTTCCAAGACAAGGGATTCACAAAACCCATTCCAGCTCTGGACCACAAGCAGAACCCCATTTCCACCCCCTTTACAGTGGACCCTCTAGTGATGTACTGCTCTGGATACATAACTTATGGGTTACGAACGTGGCAAACCCAGAAGTGTATACTTCCGGGTTTCGCCATGCACGCGTGCGCAGCAGCACCTCTGCCTACGGGCTTTCTGGGTTGTGGATGGATCCCTGGAACAAATTTAATTCGTATCCAGAGGGTCCACGGTATTTGAAATTACCTTTTAACTGTTAATAAAATATGTGAACTTACAGGAATGGCACAATACATGCTACTTGAAATGCCAGACATCCGTCTTGTACAAAACCACCACTCTTGGGACCATAGCCCAGAGGCAGAGCACATGTCTTGCATGCAGGAGGGCCCCAAGTTCAATTCATCATTATCTCCAGTTGAAAGGAGCTTGGGTGGAGGGCCCACAAAAGACCTCTGTGTAGGACTTTTGAGACCTACTGTCACTCACGGAAGACTGTACTAAGCTAAACGACGATCTGGTTAGCAACAAGCAGGCTTCAAAAGTAATAGTTCTTTTAACTGAACAACATTTTGGGGCTGATACATCAGGCATACAGATATGCAATTGTTAATACAGTGGTACCTTGGTTCTCAAACTTAATCCATTCCGGAAGTCCATTCCAAAACCAAAGCATTCCAAAACCAAGGCGCGCTTTCCCATAGAAAGTAATGCAAAATGGATTAGTCCGTTCCAGACTTTTAAAAACAACCCCCACAACAGCAACTTAGCATGAATTTTACTATCTAATGAGACCACTGATCCATAAAATGAAAGCGATAAACAATGTACTGCATTCACACAATCTATCAATCAGTAGCTGAACTGGGTTCCACACAGTCACAAAAACAAAAAAAAGAGAGCTGCAAATACAAAATGGCAAAAAAATAGCAAAACCAGACAGACCTCAGCGTAACACTCAAATTGGAAGCGTAACACTCAAATTGGAAGCATAACACTTAAAACGGAGCACGTTCGGCTTCTGAAAAAAGTTTGCAAACTGGAACACTTACTTCCAGGTTTGCAGTGTTCGGTTCCAAATTGTTTGAGTACAAAGGCATTTGAGAACCAAGGTACCACTGTATAGGCGCCTCCCCGTTTACGTGCAATCAACTTGCACACGAGCATATATATGCACAGCACCGGGAAAGAAAGAAAGAATTAGAATCATAACCAGAAATGGTGGGAGAGAGCTGGAGAGTTCTTGTGGCTCGCAAGCAGACTCTTCCCAGAGCCCGAAGAGGGCGTCAGTGTGGGTGGAGGAAGCCCCAAAGCTCAGTGGGGCTTTGTTTAGGCTGCTCAACCTCCCCACAGGTAGCACACCAGCAGCACTTGCTTTCCTACATGTCCTGTATGCTCCTGCCAGCCCCAGAACTTCACATCTGGATATTTAGAGAGAAAGCTGGAGAGCAGGGGGAAATAGGCATTTAGAGGTTTTTTAGAGGGTGCTCCCTGATTTCACTTATGCATGAGGGGCCCCAGAACATAACCTCCTGCATAAGTATATTTCTATTGGTGAAATTGTTGTCCTTCTAGAGTCTAGTGCTTGAATTGTGGCCCTTTTCCTTCTTCTTTTTAAAAAATAGCTAAGGGGATAGTCACAAAGGAAAAGCGAGGCAGGGCCCCTCTGGCCCACCTGTAATTTGAGCACTGCTTAAGCCTAATGGATGAGATGAAATAGAAATGTAATAACTAAATATAACCTGCCAGGTGACAGGCATACCCACATGTCTTTCCTCACTGCTTTAGCAGAAACATTTAGAAATTCCACTAAGACCTGCTCTGGCATACATCTTAATTAACAATCTAAAGCAAAGGGTGAACAATGAAGTCCAAAATATGCTGATAACACAAAGCTGTTCATTACAGTAGAGTCCAAAGCAGTCTCTGAAAGAGTTGCAGAAAGATCTCGCATAATTGGATTACTGAACAACACAATGAGCACATGAAATTTAATGTTGATAAGTGAAAAATAGTGCATGTTGGGGAGGGAAATAATCTGCTCTCTGTGGTTGGATTTTTGAATAACTTGGGAAAGGGATTTTGAAGGCATTGTATATAGACCATTGAAAACACCACTTCAGCATACAGCAGCCATTACTAAGGCAACGAATGTTACAGATAGTTACAAAAGCAATGGAAATGGTTAGGGCACATCTAAAAATCATTGTGTGTCTAGCTGGACCTTGAGGACTTTGTTCTGTTTCTATCACCCTGGGTCAAATCAAATACTGTAGTATTAGAAAATGCACAAAGGATCAAGTTTTAGAAAATTCAAGCTAGGGATTACCAATTTAGAAACTATATGGTGTAGAGAACGTGTGTTTGTGTGTGTGGCTAAAAACTATTACAGTCATATTTTGGAAGTTGAATGGAATCGGTTTCGGAACTCTGTTTGACTTCCAAAACTTTCTGAAACCAAGGTGTGGCTTCCGATTGGCTGCAGGAAGCTCCTGCAGCCAACTGGAACCCACGTCGGATGTTCAGGTTCCAAAAAACGTTTGAAAACCGAACATTCACTTCTGGGTTTGCGGTGTTCCGAAGCCAAAACATTTGAGTCGCAAGGCGTTCGACTTCCGAAGTACAACTGTACTTGCCTTTGGCACAGCAATCTTATGCTCACATTATGTGAGGATCAAAGCTAATATCACCACTATTCCAGTGGACTGGCTACTATATCCAATGTAAGGTTAAAAAGGTAAAGGTAAAGGACCCCTGGATGGTTAAGTCCAGTCAAGGGCAACTATGGGGTGCGGCGCTTGTCATCTCGCTTCAGGCCGAGGGAGCTGGCGTTTGTCCACAGACAGCTTTCTGGGTCATGTGGCCAGCATAACTAAACCGCTTCTGGCACAATGGAACACTGTGATGGAAGCCAGAGCACACGGAAATGCTGTTTACCTTCCTGTCGCAGCAGTACCTGTTTATCTACTTGCACTAGTGTGCTTTTAAATTGTATCCAATGTATGATCAGCCCAGGAGCGGAGAGGAAAAACACACAAACAGAAAATACAACAATGGCATAAAAACATATGCCCAGCAGCCCTAGAAAGTCCTCCTGTGCCCACAAGCCAGCCATGCACTGGGAAAGCGCATGAACTCCTGATGATGGGGGGAAAGCCCAGCACATGCCTCTGCAGCGCCACATACACTGAACATGCACAATAATGCTACAGCAGTAGCACCAGTGGTAGAGACAGCAACAACCCTGAAACTGAAAGTTCCCAGGCATTCCTACAGACAGGCATTTGAATCCCCTTATGCTTCTCACAGCTACCATTTTAGAACATTGCACAAAAAACAGAGGACTAGTATCTACAAAACATACCAGCCACATAGCTGGCTGTGCTGGATATCTGTAGACAACCTGTAAAAGACCCACACAGGTTGTGAAAGATGGTGTCGCCAAGCAACCCAAGGAGATGTTAAGGACATGCAACAGAGGCAGACACAGACAGGCACCCCAATAACATTAGCCTCCAGTGAGTCATTCCAAAGGGCATGGAGCTGGAAAATAGGGGGTGGGAGTTCAAGCCCAACTAGGGGGAAGAAAGAAAACATGCCTCCACTCACCATTTGCATGCACAGAGAAAAGTCAAGCCTGTGGTCAAAAAGCGGGAGGTAACAAGCCTTGAACCCACACTCAAACTGAGCAGTGTTCTCTGAGACACTCAGTCACAGCGGCAGACCCAGAAAGTTCAATTCCCCACTGCCTGACATAGATGTCATGAGCACAGGGCGTGCAGAAGGAATCCCATCCAAGTGGAACAGCTAACGTTTTATGTGCTGGAGCTCTACTGCTCAATAGAATGGGCCAGGCATGCAAACTGGAGCCAAACAGGGCAAATGCTGCATAGGCTCCAGCTGGGAAACAATCTGGTCCTTTGGGGTAAGCCAACCCATTTGGCCCACCCTAATCCCTGTGACCAATCCACCCCACTTCTGCTATTTTGCTGGATAGCCCAGCCCTGCTGGGTGACCTCCCAGCAGGACCCCTTGACATCTCCATCTCCATCGTCATCCCCATCTCTGTCTCCCTCATCCCATTCTCCCACCCACAGCTGACTGCTACATGCACACTGGCAACATCACCCATCCCACTTGTTTCCCCTTTCAGACTCCAGGGAACAAGGTGAGCCAAGAATGGAAGGGGCATTGCCCCTGAGCCCATCAAACGCCCTGTAGCCTGCCATGCTCCTACTGAAGTAGGAGAAAAGGATCCCTTTCAGCACTCCATGGCAACAAAAAAAGCAGCACATGCAGTATAGTCAAAGCCTTTATTGAGTAGCATACTGATAGAGTGCGCAACATGCTGGATTAAACTAGTAATAATAGTACTCTTCCATTCCAGCTCTAATCAAGATTACTCAGAAGTTGTCCTATCTGGTTCAATGGGGCATGCATCGGATTACAACAGTACACTACTGACCTTCACAAGCCTTCACAAGCACAGCACAACCTCACTAGTACAGTATTTTTCTTTAAAAATGGGACAAAGATTCAGGCACAGCAGAGGCACCAGTGGCTGTTAACCACCAGAAGAACACAAACAGCACTCACAGTATCTTTAAGGTTGGGGTGAAAAAATCTAGGGATCAGAAATCCAGAATAGGGTTGCTGAAGAGGGCAGAAAGGAGGAGAAAGCAGAGGGAGAAGAGCTGGCTCCTTCAATAGTAACTAAGACTTCTGAATTTAGACTGTTCCCTATTGGTCTTAGTCACAATATTTATCAACACGACTTGAATTAACCTGATGGTACTGGATAAACATGTTTTGGGAAGACAACAGTCCAGAAGTCAAAATAAACTATGTCTAGTTTACCAAATAAAATGTAATCTAGTGACTACAGTTTATTCTATGCTTTCTCCAAGGAGCTCAAGGTGGCATAGATAGTTCCCCTGTCATTTTTGCCTTATAACGTATTATGTGAAGGAAGCCTCTCAATGAGCTTTATCAGGGATTTGGATCCAGTCTCGCCAATCTCTCCTGCTGTTTCTTCCCAGGCTCCTTTGATCCTGAAGGTAACATATAGTCACCATGGCAATAGTCAGTGACAACCTTCCCCCATGAATCTGAAAAAATTACCTAGTCATGACATTTAAGTTGGTGGCTATTGCCACACCTTGTAGAAGTTAATTCCATACTTTAACAATGTGCTGTTAGAAGAAGTTTGGGTCTAGCTGCCCCAAAGTCCTTTTAAGTACTGGTAGAGAAGTGAAACAGGAAATTGGCAGATGGAACAGCAGAAGTGTCTGCTGCTGTTTCCTAGAGATCCTTCAGATGCTCTGCTTATTGCTTGCACAAAGCTTATGTGGCGACTAGACTATGTCCGGTCTTTATTGAGCATTGAGACCAGCTAGTTATAAGGCAATGAGCTTTCATCCTGAGTTGATTGTGCAATAAGGTAACACTCCCTTCTTTTTGAAGAAAATTAAGGGGTCTGGAGTGATTATACCTGCCATATTAGGGGCCTCAAATATTTGTTGCCAAGCGATGGGGACACGTTTGGTGGGGACTCTTCTATCTGAATACTTCCGAATGACATGCATCAGACATAAACCCATGCAGTAGTTCGTTATTTGCAGATTTTGGTATCACATGTCCATTGCATGCTTTCTGTTGACAGGAGTTTTGTGGTTGTTGTTGTTATCACTATTATTAGCCCACCATTCACTCTAAGGTCCCAGGGCAGGTTACAACAATTAAAACACAATGTTAAAAACCGTTTAAAAGGACTTATGACCACAAACATAGGTCCTAAAACTATACATCTCAAGTGTTAAAAGTCAGGATAAAGAAATTGTAATTGTTTCAAGTCAGCACCCCCAAAATGTTCTGCACTTTCATTATTGGTAAAGCCATGTTTCACAGAATCAAAATGGCTGACAAGAAAAGAAAAGATGTCAAAGAAACCACAATGTCAAAAGCAGCTTTTTATTGTAACAAGAAATTAAAAAGTGCACTCAGTTCACCAGCCAACGTATTTGTGATATATTCTGTCTATCAGCCCTCAACTGTGGCTCCTCAGTAACATGCCTCTTTTATCTTGAAATCACTTTTCAGTCTCTCTCATTTAGATTAATGCATGAAAAGCTGCACTAATTCAGATTTATTCTGCCTCTCCATTTAATGCCTTTCAGGCAACATAAAGCACGTTTGGAAATAAAAATTGATGCATGACTAACGCACGCCACCAGTATATTGGCGCAAAAGTGACGATCTGGCAGAGCTGCCTGTTAGGTTTTGCCTTTATTTCTACACATACACCCCAATTAGCCACAAAAGCTTTTCAGAGAGCAAGTGTTTGAGGTTTGCAATCAAGGTTTCTGGAGACTTTGAATTTCCCTGCTGTCATCAGCACTGAGACACACAGACCCATTCACAGATTTAGTCCGCCAGGATCATCCGAACAAATAACCATCCTTCAGATTCCTCAGGCTTTCCTCTGATCTCACACCCTCAAGCAGCAGTCTCTTTGCCGCGACCCCCTGAAACTGAGGGGGAGAAAGAGCATATTTCCCTCTGTCTTGTTTCTCCACGCGAACTATAACTGCTTCCAGTTGCCACAAAATGTCCTGCTCCGTCTCACAGGATGCCCTCAAACCTAAACCGTCCAATTCCTACAAATGTAGAATAATACTAATTTTTTAGTTGATTCTGTGTGACCCACATTTCCTCCAAAGAGCTCAAGGTGGGATACAGGTTCTCTCCCTCACAACTACCCTATGCTGGCAGGTTATGCTAAGAGGCAGTGACTGGCCCAAGGTCACTGAGAGAGCTTCATGGCTGAGTGGAAGGTTGAACCCTGATCTCTCCCGGGTTCTAGTGCAATACTCTCACTGCTACACTGCAATGGCTCTCAAACATTTACAGGGAACTTTGGAATTTAAAGCATATGAATATAAGAAGAGCCTTGCGGGATCAGGCCAAGACTTTTCTTGTCCAGAATCCCAATTAGAATATTGGCCAAATTATGCTACTGGAAGCTTGCAGCAGGACATTAAGACAACTGTCCTTCCTTGTTTTTGGCCCCTTCCCCTTCCCGCCCCCTCCCACAATCTGGAACCCAGAAGACTAGCACCTCCAGACCTGGAGGTTCCCTTTAGCTAACCTGATTAATTCCCACTGATAGAACTGTCACTCATAAATTTGCCTAATCCCATTCTGGTCATAACACCTTGTATGTGGCAGTGAATGCTATGCATAATACAGGGGTACCTCAGGTTAAGTACTTAATTCGTTCCAGAGGTCCGTACTTAACCTGAAACTGTTCTTAACCTGAAACACCACTTTAACTAATGGGGCCTTCTGCTGCTGCCGTGCCGCCAGAGCACGATTTCTGTTCTCATCCTGAAGCAAAGTTCTTAACCTGAGGTAATATTTCAGGGTTAGCGGAGTCTGTAACCTGAAGCATATGTAACCTGAAGCATATGTAACCTGAGCTACCACTGTACATGCATTGTGTGAAGGACTATGTCTGTGCTAAATCTACGATCACTAAATTTAATTGGGTGACCCCAAGCTCTTGTATTAAAACAGAGGGAGAAGGGGGGAAACCCTCTATCTCTCCACACATAACTGTATGTCACAACAGTGGCTAACCTGTGGCCTTCCAGATATTGTTGGGACCCCAACTCCCATTAGCACCAGTCATATATGATCATGGACTAGAAGGAGACTCGGGTGCTAAAGGGGTTTTTATAAAATCAAAGTAGCCCAAAGAGAACCAAGCAGTGGCGTAGCCTGAGCTGCCAGCGCCTGGGGCCACACAGTGGGGGGACAGAAATGGATGGAGTACACATGTGCATTCAAATGCCTAATGGCATCTGTGTCACCCAGGAAATCACAGCCACAGAGATAAGTAAAGAAGAGCCATTCTGTTGTCTGGAGAGGTCACTTCCTGGTTCGAATGGAAAAACTGTTTTCTTTTATTATTATTATTAAATTAATTTTTATTAATTTTTCATTAATAACAATCCAATGGAGGCCACATTAATACAATACCAAATCATGCCAAATCACAATACAATAAAAAAGCCAATTAATCAGTTCCGAATTCAATGTTTTTGGATGACTTCTTGTGTTCCGGTTATCTGGAGTTGATGTTAATCCTTGGTCCTGCTCCAATTCTCTTAATTAGTCCAAATTCTACAATTGCTATCTTATTCCTTTGTTTTAGCAGCCACTGGTGTGCTTTCGTTCGTATTTAATAAATCCATATCCATTAACTTACAGAGGGAATTTATATCCTGTAGTTTCTGTGTGAAATATTTACCTTCTTCTTTTCCTTCGTGTTGTAATCAATCAATTTTCTTCAACATTGCCCCTCCTCCAAAAACTCATTTCTAAGTACGCCACAACTCCATTTTGCCTCTCCAAAACCGAAAGCACTCCAGCGTCCGGCCGTGACTCTTGGCTTACTTCCAGCACTTATCTCCTTTACTCCTTTCCAACCTTCTAACGAGCGGGTGTCCCGCCAAAACCATAATAAATCAAAATTAGAGCTCTTTAGTAGGCAATGTCACAAATCATCAAAGTATTTCACACAGTCTATTCTTTCAAGTACTGCAAAAAGAAAATTATAGGTTCTTGTTGAATCCCTCTTGCATTTCATATATAGTTGTAATCCATTCAGTGAAGGCTTGCTGAATCATAGCACAACAAATATAATGTAAATATAATGTAAAACGAGAACAAAGGCTCCCCTTCACTTACATAGCGTTCCAATTACGATAGCGAGAGTCCTCTCCAGATCAAAACACTGACGCTCAGTTGCTGATTCATTTAGCAGGTTATCTTTCTCTTTCACCCAGAACACACCTGTTTCTTAAGTCCAAATTCAGATCCATTTTAAAAGAAACAGAAGTACCTCCGCTCATGGCGACTGCCTTAGGGAGTTTCCAATATGTACAGTGCTATGCACTCTGCGTCCCTGTCCTTGCATTCCATTGGAGCGACAGGCAGTTATCGGAAGATCGGGGGGGGGGGGCTTGTAAGGATAATTACTCCCAGATTATCCTTAATTAACTGTACGGGTGGGATCCGCTGTTCGCCATGGCGGGAGCGCTGGAAGTTGGAGAAGCTGTTTTCAACATAACCCAGCAATGGAAGGGCGCAGCTCTATTGAGGCAGCACCAGGTGTTGAAATTTTGTGCCCCTAACAATTTTGTACATGGAGCAATCACCCCACTAAGCTGAACCTGCAAGAGTGTTCGTGCCAATGTCAAGATCTGCAGCAAGGACTTCCTGTTTCATATTTAATTCATGTATGTTTGTGCAGAATCTAATAACAGTGCCTTGACATTTTTGAAACCAGAGTAAAAGCCAGTTAAATAGACACTGGAAATGCCAAAAAGAAAAAGAGCACAAATTGCTAATTGAACCAATAGGCTATAGGACAGATGGGGAATTATCTTTTTAGGCTGCCAATTTAGCAATGCATTCCTGCTGCATGGTAGTTCCAAGACAACATCCTGGAACCACAGCAGTGAGGTTCATGGAAAAGCAAAACAAAAAGATCTTAGGAAATCATGGTAAGACATGGAGGCAAAAATAGGAATTGGTACCAAATGTTGCCATCTTAGGAATATGAAATCGTAAAAGGCGGGACAAAAGAAAAATAAGGATGATTTATGGAGAGGAAGGAAACGCACATAGGGCATGGATATAGGGAGGGATTTAATTCATTTAAAAGATACAGAATAAAAAGCAGCTTTTGACACATCACCTGATGTCCACATGTCCTCGTCATCTAATACATAAAAATAATTGAGGACACAGAAATTTCTCTAAATTAGATTTGTCAGGTGTCAGTAGACCCTAACAGAATAACACTAAATACAGAAAGTGGAGGCGTTCCAGATGCAGGTTGGGATTAATTCCATAGGAGTTTCTTATGAGAATTGCAGAACAGTCTCCACAACTACCTCCCTAACATAATCCTGTCCTGCCTGCCAGTAATCTCGGGCTCAGCATTTTAACACAGTGAATAAGCTATATTTTTCCACTTCAGGCTACAAAATCTATTTTTCTTTTTAATTTATTGATTCCATTTATATCCTGATTCTCAGTCAAGGTTCCTGAGCTGGCTAGCAAGTATACTTCAGATTTTTTTATTCCTAGAAGGCCTTCAAGTTGCCTCTTCTCACCCCCACCCCACTGCTGCTTCTTTCGCACACAAAAGCTGCAAAAATGCATCTCTACCAGTTTATTAGAGGCCTGAGATCAACAGGAGACTTACCACCACCATATTGAAGAGACTCCAACTGAACTCACCAAGCTGGTTGAGGGATTATTGCAAAATAAACCGATGCCAGATTTTCAGTGCTTGATAAGGACTTTGTAACCTCCATTATAAACATGGGTCTATCCTCAATAACTGGGACAACACTTGCTGAACATAAAAAAAGAAATATGTTCATTTTACTATTCAGGCATAAAAGCTTCTGAGGAGACAGGTCCCTAGACTTCTATGCATGAGGCAGGGTGGTGGGCTGGTCTCAAGGAGAGCGCTAAGTGGGATCCAGAAGCCTTTTGGGAGAAGCCTATACCGACCATGACTGACAGCCGGTCTGTTTTTGACCTATCAAACTCTAAATGGCTGACAGCCACACATGGTTGTCATATCCAATTATTTATTTGCAGTTTTCAAACTTTCCAGCATGGAAGTGCTTTTCCTGCTGAAAACATGTAACGTGTGAAACACCATCAAGCTTGGTGGATCGGGGGTCCAAGCTTGTAACTCTGTCAAAAAAAGAAATGAGATTTTTCTGGCATGATTTATGTTTGAGAAACCCATGCTGGGTCTCAGTAAACACAGCATCCTTTTCTAAGTGCTCACAGACCAACTGTTGAACGATCTGTTCTTTGAACTTCCGTGGTATTGATCTCAAGCTCACCGGTCAGTAGTTACCTGGGTCTTCTTTTCCCTCCTTCTGTATGTAATTTCTTTTCTTTTTCAAAAAAAGTCACCTGTTCCAAGACAACATCATAAAGTATACTGGGGAATGGATGAAATGTTAGTAGGGCTTGGAAAGGTTGAACCTTCCAGAGCCTAGCTGCCCACCTCCAAGTTTAGCCATCTCATAATTTCAGTTTCAACCTCTTCCTCACAGTGAGGCTGTTTTCTCTCTTCCTCCTTGTTTTCCACGTACTTGGGCACAACTATATGCCTGTCTAAGCAAAATTGCAGGGGGGTGGAGATGCAAGTGCACCACTGGCAGACGTGGTCCCTAGCTGAATTTTTGAAAATTTCTAATACTTGTAGTCATAGAACAAATGGCATGTGCAGGTGGTGAGTGGGGAAGACGTGGGAGACAGGACTTCAAAATGAGGAAAGGAGGAAGTGCGGCAGCCCAAGCAACTCGTACAAAGAACAAAGAAGGGAAGGATGCACTCACACTGAAAAACTGGAATTCTAGCCCTCAGAAGAGACTAGTCTCTTAGTCTTTATCCAGTCTGTGACACTTTTTTTATATATAATACTGCATCAGATCCCCCATCTATAGAGGCTTTCATGAAAGCTTAAATCATTCTAGAACATCACCCTACCACAAGGCCACAGCAATCCATTATTCCAAAAATCTCCTCAATGTACAAATCACAAATGTGGCTAAATCGCCTAAGAGAAAGCCAGCTGCGTGTTAGTGTGAAATGTTGTATTGTATGTGGGGTTCAATCCCCAAATTATGTTAACTTCCCTGGCTGGTGCCCAGTTTTCTTTCACGTTGCCCTAGGGTTGTTAGAATGCATAATGTGGAGCAATATGTGCCCAGCAATAAGGAGCAACGTGAATAGTAGAGCCACCCAGCAACTCAAAAGTACCAACATGAAAAAACAATGAAAAGCACTATGGAGAGAAACAGAATCCTGTGGATAACTATTCTGGCAGGAAGAATGGTGATAAGCTTTGACAGTGACATAGTCAGTGGATGAGGCTGGTAGAACAAGACACATGCAGACATTTTCTTTTACTTTACCCCTCTTACATTGCTGAGCTCCAAAAGGAATGTTCATGGTGATGTGATGTGTGGTGCAAAAAAGGATTGTGACTTCATTTGGAGGATGTTATGCATTGAGAACTGGTGGATTCAGGAACAAAAATGAATGAATTGGGTATACATTGCATCTCTTACTGCTGCTTGTGATTTCTATACAACTTTCAGAATATGAAGTTGTTTACAGACTTAATCCATCCTCCAAACAAGGTCATGAATGTTCCTAATTTACAGAAGGGAAGTTGATGTTGAGTAATAATCACAAGACTTGCTTATGACCAGACCACCCAGTAAATAGTGGATTTTGCTGGGATTTGGACCCCGATCTCCCAGCTTAGTTCTCTAGTTACTGGGTCACACTCCTGTGTTTTAGGGAGTGGATCACTGAGGAGAAACCAGGTGTCTCCAGTAACCAACCAATTGAGGATGCAAGTCATGGTAAACTGTGATGCTTCGAATATACAAGCTTAAGTTTTTTTCACTCATCTGCCCATTTGTGCCAGTCTGCCTGCCTTAAAATTCCATGTTACATCTTGCGCTCAGATTATAGAAAATGGAGCAGCAGATATAATGATCACATTAGTCACTGAAGTATGCAGCACATCAGTTCCATTTCCATGTTCATTCCTAAATCTCTAATGAGTCTCTTTTAATCTTGTGGCGTGTGGATCTTCTGTATTGGTCTAAATAACTGGAGAAAACATTTTAGTAAAATGTATGCACAGGTACTCTTACAGCAGACTCCTATATGTGTGTACTCAAAGCAAATGCCAGAGAGTTCAATGGCGCTTACTCCCAGGTAAGTGGGTATCAACCTGAACACTGAGGACAACTGAGATTTTATCACTGTGGGATTAAAAACTGAATAAGCTTTTCCTCATTCCCATTCCAGAAATGTTCAGAAGGCTATCTTGTTCCACGGGTTGTTGCATAGGTACCCCAGAACACAAGAATATAGTTGATACATAATTGAAGTATTAAACAATAGATGTCAGACTACTAAGCAACAATATTTTGAAAACTGGAAGGTATTGTATCACCATAGGCTGGCTGGAATAGTACTTTAAGTTTTCATGTTTGCCATAACTGAAGTGTCACCTCATCCTCTGAAAGGAATTGAGAGTCAGATAAAAGGTTTGTTTTGGATCCTCCTCTGCTGAGGAAAGATAGCTGTAATTTTCTCTCAGAGCCCCTTCTATGATTTTTAAGTTAGCGGAGTCTGTAACCTAAAGTGTATGTAACCTGAGGTACCACTGTATTTATCTGGTATCAGAAGGACAAACCAAAATTCTAGCCCATCAACCCTAAATTTCCATGACAACAACTGCAATTTATGTCAGAATTAAAACTTCCCCTTTGCAGCTATGCACTCAGTTTTTATCACTCTGGAGTCTTCTTTAACCGTCTGAAGACTGCAAACACCTGGAACTAATTAAAATGCAGCAGTAGGCAAAACTACACTGTACTAGAACCATTATGTATCAGAAGCTGTGCGCTGCCATGTTTGATGGGAAAGCCCTAAAAGAGTATTGTTTGGTTACTACTGACCAGGAGCACTGGTGGCAGAGGGTGGACCAAGTCCGAAATCTTTTTGGTGCATTCTCCAATATCTCTGACCAGGCATTTCATGCCATTACAGCAGGGTTGAAGAGTCAAGTGTGGGTGCCGAATGGAGCTCTAGCGGCTACTGAAGGGAGCACCTCCGCTACTTGAAGTAACAACTACAAAGATTAATCCAGGAGTTCCCTGGTATCAAAGCTCCTAGGGCTGTAGAATTACTTCCTGGCATTCCAGCTCACAAATCCAGATTGGATTAATTTCAGTGCACATTTTTAAGGTTCTCTTTGTTGCCAAGGTTTTTCAGAGAGGGTGAGCTGAATGCAGTATGAAATTCTCCTCTCTGATCTCCAGTGATTTATTTATTTATTTAGATATTTAAGTCATCTAAAATTTGATAAATGCATTTTAATTAAATTGAAATAAGTAAATCAGAGCCTGTTGCCATGGTGAATTAATGTGATGTCACAGGCTCCAGCATCTCAATTTCAGAACAGAATCAGGCAAGAAAGCACAGTGGAGGATGTGGAATTGTAAACATCTATTTTAAGGCAAATGGGTTTGATAATTAGCAAGAAATTTGGTGCAGGAAAAAAATCATTATGACATTTGGAGGGGAGTGGTTGTAAAAGGTAAATAGTAAAGCTGTTTCAAATACTATAAAATAATAATCTTGTAAAGATCCACATTATTAATGGACCTTGCTTTCAGAACAATTTTTTCTTAAAACAACAGCAAAAACAACAACTGTGTTTACAATGACACAACTCGACTTTCATGACTGTTTAGCTTTTATTTTGAAACCACAGTTTCTCATGTGTGTATAAGCCCTGAGCTCTTTTGGGAGGAAGGGTGAGATAGAAATACAGTAAACGTTGTTGTTTTACATTTCTTGATTTCACTGACATGTTTTCAGATATTTTGCCATTTCACAGTGAAGCCTGCTGGAATGGCAAGATCTCCCCCTCTTCATCACCACTACGGCCGCTGCCCAATTTCTTGACTCTCCTTCTGGCCCAATCTGCACCATCTTCCATAAGGCATATGAAGGTTACTGTTCCTTCTCCTCACCCCGTTTGTTTGCTGGCTCAGAGAGCACTGGTGAACAGGCAGCAACAGAAAATAAATACAGTGGTACCTCAGGTTACATACGCTTCAGGTTACATATGTTTCAGACTCCGTTAACCCAGACATAGTGCTTCAGGTTAAGAACTTTGCTTCAGGATGAGAACAGAAATCGTGCTCTGGCGGCACAGTGGCAGCGGGAGGCCCCATTAGCTAAAGTGGTGCTTCAGGTTAAGAACAGTTTCAGGTCAAGTACGGACCTCCGGAACGAATTAAGTACTTAACCTGAGGTACCACTGAAAATAAAAGTACCAGAGCCAGGAGGCTCTAGAAATTGGCAGTGCCCCCGACTCACTACTAGGTCATAGGCCTTGGCAGCTGCCCAGCAATGCTGATCCCTGATGCCAGTCCTACTTAAGGGCTCTAAACCTGTGTGCCAAATAATTTTGCCCATGTCAGCAGTGCTAAAGGCTTGTGCATTTTCACCTATTAAAATCATATGTCAGCCAGATTCTTCAGTGCACCTTCCAGGAAGCCACGAAAGGCTGCGGATCTTAAATGGTCACACACCATATATTCACATTTATTTATTCAATTTTCATACCTTGATGTAATCTCACAGAATTCAGGACAGAGCAAATGCTGCCATCCTCATTTTATACTCAACAACAATCCTGTGAGGTAGGTTTAGTTCAGACCAAGTGGCTGGCCTAAGGTCACCCGTTAAACTCAGGGCTGAGAAGGGAGATCTGAAGAACTGAATATCTCCTTAGACCAAGTCCCACACTCAAAGCAACACACCTGTGGCTGGGCTAACTAAGCAATGCTGCAAATGAGAACTGTGCAAGATACTTTCCCATCTCCCTTTGCAAAGTTTCTATCTACTCTGCAGCCTAAGACTTCAATATGATTGATTGCTTCAGTCACATATTCATCATTTCTTTCTCTTCATCCTTTCCCAGCACTACCTTCCACCAGCATCTTCTGTCAAGTTTGCCCAAAGTTACGCAGCATAAACTCTTTTTCCCCCTTGGCTGTTCTGCTAACAGCCTAGCTGCACAGAGTTAGGTAAAGGTAAAGGGACCCCTGACCGTTAGGTCTAGTCATGGATGACTCTGGGGTTGTGGCGCTCATTCACTTTATTGGCCGAGGGAGCCGGCGTACAGCTTCCGGGTCATGTGGCCAGCATGACTAAGCTGCTTCTGGCGAACCAGAGCAGCGCACAGAAACACCATTTACCTTTCCGCCGGAGCGGTACCTATTTATCTACTTGTACTTTTTGGCATGCTTTCGGACTGCTAGGTTGGCAGGAGCAGGGACCGAGCAACAGGAGCTCACCCCATCACAGGGACAGGCTCTGGGAGTTGCACCACCATGGCAGTGACAAAAAGGCTCTCCACAGCAAGAGCCCTCTCCATAACCACTCTTACATCTTGCTTGAATTGTACTGAAGAAAACCTTTCCATTCTAGATTAGATGGGTCTTTGGCTTGTTCCAGCAGGGCTCATCTTATGTTGCAGACACTTGGGACATGCTCTCCTTCTAAGTTTTCCCAAGACATTTGGCTGGCCATTGATGGAAATGAGAGTGCTGGACCAGATGGAGACAAACTGCTAGGAGCCAAGGGGTATTTGGTCCCCCAATAAAATATTTGAGGAGGCACGGCCCCCCAAATTTCATGGGCTTTGCCATTTAAATGATGTGCATGCACCGTGTCATAAATTATGTGGGGTGGGGCTTACTTGGGCCCCCCAAATATATTTTTTTACAAGTTGGCACCCCTGGAGACAAGTTGGCCTAAAAACACAAACTCAGTACAAGGCTGAACTGGCATCTGAGCCTTTAACACCAAACCATTCCTTTGACACAACATTTACCGAATAATATTCATTTTGCAAAGGGCAAACTAGTGAGGATCAGGCACAAGTGATTTGCCAAAGGCTGCAAACCGGAGGTGGAATATGAACCAAAACACTTGTTTCCCTACCACATCCTTCCAATCAGCGCCTACTTCCAAGTAATTTATCCCCCTTAATTTCAACTAGGCCTAGACCCTAGTATTTGCATGTGCAGTGTGAATGTCTCTAAGGAGGATCCCTTGGAGTGTGACTAGTTTCAGAACACTACATCAGTAATAATAATAATAATTTTATTATTATTATTATTTTGCTATTGGTATGAGCTTTCGTGTGCATGCACACTTCTTCAGTTACTCATACCAATAACAAACTTAGTTGGTCTCTAAGGTGCTACTGGAAGGAATTTTTTAATTTTGTTTTGACTATGGCAGACCAACACGGCTACCTACCTCTAAATAATAATAATAATAATAATAATAATAATAATAATAATAATAATAATTTATCATTTATACCCCACCCATCTGGCTGGTGAGGGCCCATTTTTCATTCATGTATTGGTCTTTAGGCTAACTTCTAAATAGGGCTATCCTTAGGTGGTCCTGAACTTGGTATTATCTGAATGAAATCAGGAATTTCATATAGCTATTCTGTTCTTCTTTACAAAAGACGTTCCTCCGAGCTTTCCATGATGTGTTGCTGGTGTATTTATCTTAGATGCATTAAGTTTCTGCTTGTGGGGCTCCTGCAGGCATCTGGCTGACCGCTTTGTGAACACAGGATGCAGGTAGGGCTATTCTTAGGGGCCAATGAAGAGGTAAGAGATAAAGGCATTATTATGTTAGGGGAGGGGTAGTACATCTGGTAGCAAACAGGCCGTGCTCATCCTGAGGTACTTTGTCCACCTTTGGTCCCCACCCTGCACTCAGCTCTCACCCGTGGCTCCTAGAAGCTGTCAGCATGCAATAATGGCCACATCCTGGGAAAGAGCTTTGACTGGTGAGCTAAACTAGGTGAGGGAAGCTGATGGGTCTCAAACCCTCAGTGAGTTAGGAACTTCTCCTGTATGCAAAGACAGGCTCCAGTGGATGAGACCAACAGTGGGTCCAACAGTCAAGAAGGCAGTTTCTGCACATGCTGTAGAGCAGAGCTTTCCAAACTTTTCATGTTGGTGACACACTTTTTAGACATACATTATTTTGCGACACGATAATTCAGTTTTGCTAGCAAACGGGAGGTTAAACTAACCCCTTTCCAGCCCCAGGAGGAGCATGGGGAGAGTTTGTGCAACACACCTACACGCTGCGGCCGACACACTAATGTGTCGCACTCGCAACACACAGTTTAGAAAGCTGTGCTGCGGAGGGACGTGAGAGGCACATGGGGATCATCAACCTGGATCAGCCCAGAACCTCCACATACACTGCCAGGCTTGTGCCCCTGAGAGGTCATTTTGGTGCTGCTAATACAGCAAAAATAAGGTGGTTTTACTTCACTCCTGGAGGCACACACTGCATTGTGTCTCAAGATAGATGGATGTCAACAAAGTTCTGCTCCAGACCACAGCAGGTTAATAAACCCACACTTGTCTAATAAACCCAGGATTTCCCATTTTCACAATTTCAGGAAGTATTTACATCTCTTCTCAACTTTCCATCATACATAAAACTCACTTCCAGGTCAATGACTTGGGTAGGAAGAATGAAATAGATCAAAATGCATTACAACATGTATTCTTGGCCGGGGCGGGGGGGGGGGGCTTTTATTTTATTTCTTGTGAACACCTTTAGGTTAGCAGCCCTGTACAGAAAGAAGTCAGGTCCTTAGTCATAGTAATTTTCTCCCCAGCCCAGGCCCTCAATACTAAATTTGGGTGAGAACATTTTGAGAGGAAAGGGTTCCTTCAAACCTGCAGTGACTTCTACTGAGCTGTAGCTTTCTGAAATCAAGAGGCATGATTTTACACAACATGAAGCAGTGATGTTTTGGTGTAAGGACAACCCTACACCCCTCTGCTCAACTGAGGCTGCTATCAGCACAACCAACCACCTCCCCATTGGGCACCAATCCATCAACGCACTATGGTTATCTTTTCAGCCTGCAGCCTTTCCGTAGCTTA